CGGAACGAAAACCTCGTTGTCGCTCTCAGCCGCAGCCGATGCCATGTTTGTTCACACACAGGTGAAAACAAGCGGGGCACTAATATATTACTATGACTCACTCTGATTGGTTAAGGGTCAAACAAAGGCGTGTCATTTGCCGGAGGTAAGTTCCCTTTTCATTCAGAGGCAGAATTTCAACAGCAGAGCTGTGAATCGTGATAAAAAGGTCTCTCAAAAATGACAGACCGTCAGATGTGTAGATCGTAAAACGGTCTAAAATCGTCATATCGCCCAGCCCTATTCTCACGTATGGTATGTCAGCAGATACTGCGGTAGTGGTTAAAAAAACAATTTAGGGAAAAGCATACCTGTACTGGCTCATGAGGTGAAGTATCTCAATATTTTGCCAAATCGGTATTTTGTTCCACCCCTACTCCTCAAGGACCATGATCAAACATTCTCCAAGTTCCCAAAGCACATGTAGACTGGTTGGACGAACTTGCGTTTATTTACTAAGTTATTTCCATAAACGAGGGGTTAAAAGCAGTTAATAAACATAACTAGAAAGTAAGAAAAAAGAAGAAAATATTTGGATGTACACAGGGGGGCTGCCAGAGATTTTGGGTCCCATGAAAAAATACCAAGTTGGGCCCCCTGGGGGCTCATCCATAGCTAGTGCTGGGGTTCCACCCTCCCAGATTCGAAGGGAGAAAAAAAAATTTATATTAATGTTTCAGTTTTGCTTAATTATGTAGGTCTACATGCATTCTTACTTATTTACATATCATTTTCACCAGCTGTCTCTCATTAAACAGTGAATTTCCTTCAACAGAATTAGCAATATCACTGCTGGAAAAAGCAGGAAATGCACATGCTGAAAGGTATTAATCTCCTTTTCCCTATCACTCCCTTAAAATGTGTTTATTTATTCTTAGATTTTATTTGATGATAAAATTCAAATTTGGATATCTAACTACATTTCCATGTTGTGTCAAAGCTTTACGTAACTTCATTTTCAGCTGTCTTTCCTCTAGAAATCAAGTATTTCTGTATGACTGACAAAAATTAAGGATTCCCTGCTCACAAGGTGACTTCTTTATTAAGTCTCCATGGCTTCATCATAGACACAAAATGAATAAGCACACAGTTCAAACCGGAGTCAGTTAGGGTTACATAAAATTTTAAAGTTGGACAACTTTGCATGAATACGTATATAAGTCTCTAGAAACCCATTTTTCTCAACAACAAAAAAACAGCTAAAAATATATTCAGCCTTGATTGTACACAGCAAGATTTATTATTTACAGTGATATAATTAATAATACTCGATAACGATCAATACTAGATTTCATATTTTATTGTGTTCAATGTTATATTAAGTTTATTTATTACAATTATTATAGCTTTTGTTTCATTTTTGCTCTCTGATGAATTATTTGGAAATTACTGATTTTTGGTTTGTGTTCTAAAAGCTACATAAACAAATTACATCTTGTAAAACCTCCCATAATTCAGTCAGATTCAAAACATTTCATTTCAAGGTATTTAGTAGATGAAGAGGGTTTTTTTTTCTTGTATGGTGCCTTCAAAAAGGTGCTTCACAGTAATAATCTTATAGTAATTTATGTTACATTAACAGACTAAATAACAATACTTCAACCTGCCCAGCATCCAAAACAATCTATACATTTTTACTGATTGTGTTTCCATGTTTTTCCACATAATGATAATTATAAATATCAATGTGTTTATCACCAAAAATAGCCTTTTTATATTGCTTTGTAATAGTACTGATAGAGAAGAGAGCCTTAAGTGATTCCCACAGACCCCCTTAAAGAGGCTGCTAGCTAGCATGCTACATTGCTCACCTTCTTGAAGTTCATTGGGTTGTGAGGGGACACCTGCTGACATATCATCAGCTGCTGATTCTGGTAGGGACAAGGACGACAACCCGTTTACCATAATTAGATGAAACATAGTTCCTCTCACTGTGGATATCAGAGCTAGCTAACAGGTTGAATTTAACCACTCACTAACTAAACCCATCTTTCTTTGAGAAAAACTGTGTGACATACTGACACCCTCTCTATTCTTCCTGTCCTCTTTCTCCTTTCTTTCTTTCTTTCCTTTTCTGTGACCCAGACTTTGTTTTTGCAGACATATTTTTACTGCAGCCTTGACGCACTCTGCTGTCTGAGTGACTGCTGCGAGAGCTAGCCTCGCTTGCTACGCGCCCCCCGGCCAGGTGGACTGTACCATTTTATGCCGTGGTGGGTGGGGTGGGGTGGGGTGGGGGGTGGTGGTGGTGGTGGTGGTGGTGGTGGTGGTGGTGGGGGGGGGGGGGGGTTAATTCAAATTAATTAGTCAAAATCAAGTAGGGACCTCTGAATAAATATACATTTCATAAAGACTAAAAGATTGCTTGTTTAATGTCTTAAATGAGAAAAAAATACTGCAAAGTAAAGTACTTGTGATTTTTAAACTTCATTTTTTTTATTCAACTTTGAAACATTTTTGGGCCCCTGACAGCTGTGGGCCCTTAGAATCTTCCTAATCTTTCACCGCTTTACGGCGCCCCTGGATGTACATCTAAGACTAATAAACTATTGGAGTTGATCTAATTCAGGATGGCCTACACAGCTAATAATGTTAAACACAAAAATGGCTACAACTTGGTCAGTTTTACAGAACTTGAGCTCAGTTTTGAGGAGTTAGTTGCTGAGTGGCGTTCACATCACAGTGCCAAGAGATCATTAAAGATCTTGTGGTGTTGTGTGAGTTATGCAATAATGTTGTTTCAAGATTTGACCAGGAAGACCTTTCACGTTAAAATGTCTGCTGTAAAAACCAACCAATTCATAATTAAATACTTTATTTTGAGCTATTTATGGATCCAAAGATTGCTTTAGCATCAAAACAGCCGGTGTCACATTATCAGTTGATTGTGAAGTTGTTCATTTGTTTTTATATTTGCCTCGACACTCAAGAGAGTTCCTTAAATATTTTATTTTACTGGTCTGTAATATTATCTATTATCTCTTCCTTCTACATACAGAAAGCAGCCAGAACTGTGTGGATTTACTCACTTGAGATCAATTGTTTGAGAGGAGGATACACATCTAAAGCTCTCACTACATATGTTCCACCTGTGAGCTTTACATTTTAATCTCTGAGCGGTGTGCAACTAACAGTGTTTTCTCAGTTACTTCCTGTGATGCCGCCACTAATATAGAAACAGTGGATGAAGAATTTAATCTTCATTAAAGATGCTTCTGTTATTTTTGGTGCATCAGCTGAGATGGACAGGCTCAGGTGGCAGACATGACTTATTGAGGTTCATTACAAGCAACTGAAATTGACCCTTACACACACACACACACACACACACACACACATATACACTTAAGCTACCGCATTCCAAATCTCTAAGCAGCTATAAACAAAAGCTTGTTACTGAGGTTTCCTTCACTGTGAATGAGCAGACGAGCCTTTTTAAAGCCTGTGTGAGTTTGTTGTTTGACAGCGGAGTCCCCTCTCGGATGGTTGTAATGTGATCGTTCCTGTGTGTGAGCAGAGAGACGGCATCGAAACACTAGAATCAAAACACGATCGTCCAGCTGGAGTCCTGCGAGGGATTTATGAATAATCAGGTGAAGGAATCCGGAGGCGATATAACACCTCTCAGCAGCGCCGTCGAGCTGAAAGCGTCAGCCGAGACTGTCACTCACACCGTCACGGTTTACTAGAACCCATGTTAAAGAGCCCCTGAACCATTCAGAGCTGTTCAATTTGTTCTACTTGTCTTCTTCATCAATCAAGATAAGCTATCAGCAGGTGACGCGGTGGCATTTAGACAAACCGATTGAGGTTCTGTGGCTCAAGCTGAAGAGAAAGCTGTAGGGAAAGCTGGCGGCTCTTTAGAAATCAGAGCTTCTGACCACTCACATGCTAATTTCTTTCTTCCCCCTTTTGGCAAATATGTGTTGGATTTAAAATCTTAAAATGTAGACAATCAGTCTTCTTCTTTCCCTTCTGTGCTGTACAGATCTTGTGTGTGTGTGTGTGTGCGTGCGTGCGTGCGTGCGTGCGCGTGTGCGTGTGCGTGTGTGTGTGTGTGTGTGTGTGTGTGTGTGTGTACCAAACCACCACAGAACAAAAGTCAGGGATGGGTGCAGTAGCCTGACAACAAGAATCATCAGTCTCAGCTGAAACAGGAAGCAGGACCTTTATGTTCTAGTCTCTGCTCTGAACAACGTGAACTTCTCGTTGGGATGCATGCAGGAGCTTGAACATCTGCCCGTTTCTTTTGTGTCAGCAGGATGGGAACGTTTTGAGGTCTGTTGATCTATGGCACTGAGACAGGCAGCAATAGGTGGATGTATGGAAAGCTAAAAAGTCATAAATAATTCAAGTGTGAAGAGCCAAATTGGCCCAAATGAATGCACTTTGAAAATGACTAATAATGGACCAGGAGTTTTATCAAGAAGTATCAAGAAATACTTTCAAAAGAGGTTTGATTTTAGTCAAGTCAGCAAACCGAACCTTTAATAAACATCTTGATAAATTATGCTTAAGAGTTGTGTCTGTATGCAAACTTGGAGCTGCTCTGCCTCTCAAAGCCCTCAGAGGAAACAAAACAGGGCTGATACTGTTGGTGCTTATAAGCACAGAGATCTTTAACAGCTATGGGATAATCTGCTTGGTAATAAAGGTGCTCGTGATCGACTAACACAAGCGACAACTCTTGACCCGATTAATCAGCCGGCTGATGGATTTCCCTGCCTCTGCTTACAGTAGACTGTGTCCTTTTACTAATATATGCAGTAGTAACCGATCTTCAGCAGCAGGTCTACTGTAGGCCTCAGGCGGATGGAAAATGCGTGTCCTGTGGGGGACAGGTGATCAGTGGCAACAAGAGGTTCTCAGAAGGAGCTGGTTTCATTTTCTGAAATTTGACATGTTACTGGACGATGGGGGAGGAGTTGAGTGTCTCACTTTCATCTGTTATTTGGCTTCAGGGAGGGGAGCACTGCTACTACCATGGGCGGGTGCGGGGACGGCCCGGTTCCTGGGCGGCTTTGTCTACCTGCCATGGCCTGCAGTGAGTCAGACATTAAAAGGTGCATTATGTAGAAATAAAGTAAAAATGACATCCTGTGGTAAAATTTGGTTACTGCAACCCCTTTAAACAATTCTGGAGGTTTTTGCTGGCCGTCGTCAAATTACAGTTGTCGGTGCTGCAGCGTTGGCTCGTAGGAGACATGGCAACCCCACACTCACTGATGGTAAACAGTTACGTCCCTCCTTCCTTTGTTTTAAAAGGAGAAAAACGGACAATGCCCGCAGCCAGCTGGATATGAGATATGTTTCAGTGTAATATTCCTTCCAAAATGACTGAAATCTCTTTTGGGATTTTCTCACGGTAAACTTCTCACTATATTCTTACATACTGCACCTTTAAGGCATGTAGATGTTTCCCCATTTATTGAATTTGGAATCCAGCTAAATCTCATAAAGACACTTTAGAACAGTATTTGTGTGACTTTCAGACATCCTGTAACTTGCTTTTGTTTCTTTAGGGGGATGTTTTCAGATGGAAACTTTTCTTATGGGATTGAGCCTGTCGGCAGCAGAGAGGTACGTTACTACTTTTGGCATTTCTGCAAAGCATTAATAAATATTTTTGGATTTCCCACAAAGCAGTTGCCTCTGCTGTTTCTCCCTCTGCCTCCAGTCTGGAGGACTTCCTGTCTGTGCTGACAGTGTTACTCTATCTTTGAGCTGCTGAATGGAAAATATTGAGTTGATGCAGTCCACCTCCACTGAAACGCCACCTCCGAGTCACATCTGAAGACACATGTTTGATGAAAAAACAGGAAATAACTGGCAAACACCAAAGCTGGTCCAGGACAGTTATAAAATACATTTTCCATCAAAAAGAGAGTTGGAGAGTGGGTGAAAGTGTTGAGAATGGAAGAGCTGGGTTTTTTTTCCCATTAAGGCCCACAGTAATCGAAGCACAGCTCAATTACATAGAGAGATGGATCAATAGCCTCTCAGCTTGTCATAAAACTCCTTCACTCTTAGTGGAGCTCACTGCTCACTCCATCTCTGGTCAGTCATTTTCATAAAGTATTTATCCTGAACTGAAGTCTACCACCATGTCCAGTCCTACTGTGGCCTTTATGACAGCGTTGTGACTGATCAATTATGCATTAGGGCACTTTGCTTCTAGTGATTTGTTTGTTTTCTTGGGGACGAGGTTTTCTTTACTTGCTTAAACCTTCAAAGTTGCTTGTGAATCTGCAAACAAGCTAGGTTTTGAACGCAAACACGGTCATGGAGCACTCACCCCTCTCCTCGGGTATCTTCCCTGAGATGCTTCTGCCAGAACCAGAAACCCATTTTGCGAAAGGAAACGAGAGAATGCTAAACACTAGTCGCCATTTTCTACATCCAAACATCTCTGGTTGTCCGCGACTTTAGATGCTGTTTTTCTTATTGGGAGTGTTTAAGTTTCTCCTTCTGTGATATTATTAAGTGAAGAACCTCTCACATCAGTGGTGTTCTGTTGCTAAATACACAAGTGTGTAATGAGTGGAGTACCCAGGGACAGACTCACAAATGAGTGAACCACTTTATTACTTTTTTCTTATTTTTTTTATCTCCACAATGTACTTATATCTATTCTATATTAGAACGTTGTTAAAAGGCATGAAAAAACGTTTAAGTTCATTTGTTTTCCTAATTTTCCATTGTAGCTTTAAAGGAGCACGATCATATTATTTGAAATCTTGGAGAGCAAAGCTAGACACAATATGTGATAAAATTTTACCGTTGGCACTATTTATCTTAAATTCCATTTATTTTTGTTAGCCTGAACAGTGTTTCCCTTAGAAATTTTTACAGCTGTTGCACGCAAGGACACAATGACAGCGACAAACTGATCGGGGCTTGAACCTGCAACCTTCCGATTACGGGCCGAGCACTTAACTCCTGTGCCCCCGTCACCCCAGTGTCTGACGCGAGTGTGTTGATGTATTGGCCTTGGTAGTCCAGTGGTTAAAGTGAATCATCTTATTTAGAGTGTTTAAAAACATAATACTGGCAAGTGTAGCAAAAAGAAAAAAAAAAAGAAAAAATTTACTGCTAAGGCCGGGAGTCGAACTTTAAAACAGCATGCCAGTCTAGCACTCTTAACTACTGGACTGCCAAGTCTGCTATGGCCCTTACACACTAGCATCGGCTCCACTCCGCCTGGACCGGGATGGGAGTGTTCTCATTCAGGTAGCCTTGGATTTTACCGCGCGCAACTGGACGTCTTTTCAGCCCTCCTCTCGAGGCAGTCTGCCTGGAGCCGAACTGGTCCAACACGCCCACTGCTGACTGATTGGCTGGCTCTAAATCAAATGTACCATTGGGGGCCTCTGATTGGCAGAAAGAATCAACCCGTGGGGGCTTCTGGCATGCGTGGTTTATTATCATTCTGGATGCTGTGGAGTTAACGAGCCTCACACACACACACACACACACACACACACACACACACACACACACACACACACACACACACACACACACACACACACACACACACACACACACACACACACACACACACACACACACACTGCTGGTAGACACAGTAAAGCAGGATGCAAGTGTGATGCTAGTGTGTAAGTGACATTACAAAGCAACAGTTGCCTAACACACACATCCTGTGTTGGCCATTGCCTGTGTCTTTGTGGACAGGACGCATGGTTTTTACTGCATGGTTGTTTCCAATTCAGAAGTAATTTGTCAAAATTTCCACTCTGGTGGAGGTTTAAAGCAGTCATTTGTGACATGAAGGTCACATTCTCAACTTCCTACAGTGACCTACATCCAGGGGGAGGCGGCTTTCAGATCAGAGACTAGCTTCAGGTGGAGGAGTAAGGCCTGATTACGCACATAGTTTCCATCAAGTCTTTGGCAGGTGTTTCTAAAATATCTGAAAATTTGCAGCTGAGAGAGGAGAATGCATGAATGCAGCCAAAAATGGCTTTGGGGGTATTTTTCATTAAGGCAATAATAATATCACATGGTAAAAAGTGGATTTTCCATGATATGGCTCTTTTAAGTTGATATGGGATTCTTAATTGGCTGAGATACAGCAAATGTTTGTTTCAGAAGCCTTTGTTTACTAGTGTCTACTTTCTATTCCACAAAATTTGAAAACAAAAAAAAATAAATAAACAAATAACATAAATGCCTTGTTAACCTTCTGTAAATATTATTTTATACAAATACGTTGTATTTGCATGCACAATAATGTAATAAAGTCTGTTTTTTAATAATTTTCTTGATTTTACCATGTTGTGTTTCTCATGTGTTTGAATAATTTTTGCTGTGATTTGACAAACTTCTCATTCTTGAAAAAAACGTTTTAGCATCTTGTTAAACTTGTTTATCAAACTAATTTCCTGGTTTATTGTTTGTTTCTGTGTGTTGGAATAAAATCCATGATCTATTACCATTATCTCTGTAAATAGTCTAAATGAATCTATTGTCTAAAACAAGAGAGTTTAATAAATATTTTCATGTTTTTTTCACCATCTTCAGCAGGAGGACCACGTTCTCTATCGAATGCCCAACATTGACCTCCAGCTCTCCTGTCCAGGTACAACCACATCATTCCAACTTTAGGCCTGAAAATATTGTAAAGCAGTTTTGAACGCACATAAAAATCCTGTAAGATCTTGCTCCAGTTATCAGAGTGAAACATTCTGCTGCATAATTTTTCAAAACCACTCCGTTTTAGTAAGGAGATAAATGTGATGAGACAATTTCCTGTTTGTGTTTGGACTTCATCAGCTCTGTCCTTGACTTCGAGCTGCGATAATAAAATATTCTCTGCTGCTTGGTTGTGTTTTCTTGTCACATACTTACTCTCAGGATGCCCATCTGTCCTCTTCGTCCTTGCTGAACATCTCATTTGTCTGTATCTCTGCTCCTTTGTCCTTTAGACTTTTTCACCTCCCCTGATTACTCTCCCCCTCCTCCCTCCTAACTCCATGCCTACTCACCCGACTCCATTTTCCTGCTCTTCCCTCCACCAGCCATGTGATATTGATCTCTTCTGCAGATCAGAGGACTAAAATACACAGTTGCATTCATCCTCGGACTGATGACTAGTCACTTTTCTGTCTCTCCGTGTGTGTGTGTGTGTGTGTTTTGCAGGTTGCATTTTGAACATCTCGGAGCCTAAAGGGCAAACAGATGTCCACAGTGACAACAAGCTAAAGGATGGAGACGACGGGTCTAAAGAGGAGAAACACGTTTCTAGAAAAGGACAGAGACGCTCAAAAAGACAAGTTAGTGTTAATACACACTGATACTAGGGAGGCTCCGATCGGGCAGGCTGAATAAAAGACCCCTAACCAAGTGACCTGAGAGAGTCATTACATTATTATTAGATTTATTTATTATGAGTAGCAGACCCTAGTGGGCGGCAGCCTGTGCGATGCTGCACACAAGGTCCCTGCCGGCTACAAAGTATGAGCAACCGGTGATCAGCTAGTATGTTTGGCTCTGAAAGGAGTTGATCTGAATTTGCTGATCATGTGTTTTTCGTGGAAACGGGCGATTTTGATCGGTGGCCGATCAATCGGAGCATTCTTAACCGATACAAATAAATATACAGCTCCAGTCACTGTCCATGCCCGAGCAGGGATATGCCGTTTGGGTTTTCGTTTTGCCAGAAGAAAATTCTCTGACATGTCTGGAGCTGGTTTCTGATATCGGAGACAGGACCTAACTCATGAAATCTGATTATAAAGTTTTGTGGATTCTATCAGACAAGCTTCTAACAGCCTATCGGGTTGCTATTGGAAAGGTTTTAGATGTAACATTCAGAAAAACTGACCAACTAGCTTCCTGTTAGTGTGGAAACTCAACAAATACTTTCATTACAGCTTGAAAATGAACCTTTTGAGGAGAAAGTCTGTTTGACTATGGTAAGTGGCCTGAAGTTTATATAGCGCCTTCTAGAGTCCTGGAACCCCCAAAGGCACTTTACAACACAATCAGTCATTCACCCATTCACACACACATTCACACACTGGTGTTGATGAGCTACATTGTAGCCACAGTTGCCCTGGGGCGCACTGACAGGTGAGAGGGCCGAGCACTGGCGCCACCGGTCCCCCCGACCACCACCAGCAGCCAAGGTGGGTTAAGTGTCTTGCCCAAGGACACAACGACAGCGACAGACTAAGCGGGGCTCAAATCTGCAACCTTCCAATTACGGGGCGAGCACTTAACTCCTTTGCCCCCGTCATCCTCATCATACATAATGTGGGGGAATATAATAGGTATTAAAGTGGTAATGGCTGCACAGGTTTACAGTAACTAACTGCTAGCTAACCAGCCCAGATTCATTTAGGAGGTTTGGATGATCACCTAAAAGCCACTGATGCACAACTTGATGTTCTTGTACCTTCATAAGGATGGTGTCTGTTTGAGTAATCACTACCAACAATTGTTTTGTGTATTGGCATCATTGACATGCGAAAGGCATTATCTGGGGAAAAACATTAAAGAATTTATTTTGTGGTCATTTTTAATACGGGTCAAAACCTTCTTGAGGGTTCTCAATTTCCTCACAAGTGGCAGTGCCTCGCTCTTTCCAAAGCTGGATTATCCCAAGGGCCCTGGAGAGAAGAGAGGAGATTTGAAACTGCAGCTTGTTTTCCCACTGTGTTTTTATCACTGCATTTTACATAATATAATAATATTTGTTACAGATTTTCTCAAAGATAAAAAGTGTCCAATCAGCCTCAAACTTTTAAAATTTAAATCAGTCAGAAAGTGGTATTAATGTGAGACAACTTTGGGAAGGATTGTTGGTCGGTATAGCTAAGGCATTGCTTGGACTTTTATTCCTCTGTGTACAGAAACATGTTGGTGAAAGCCCCCACATTAACTACATTTGCTGAGAACAAACATATTTAGCTTGGCTAAAATTTTACCCCAACTCCAATTTCTTATTGATAATGTGTACTGTTTCCTCTATCATAGCACATCGATAAAATTTTGTGAACAGAAAATTGATTGGTGTGAGTACCACTGCAAGGTGATCCGTTTGTGACATAAAAGCACAACAATGGAGGACATGGTGGTGATGTTGAACATGCTTAGCCCCGACAACTGTAGACGCTCATCCGGTGTGATAAATATACTGCTGTCTTGGCATTTCTGCTGTTTGTAGATGATTTCATTTTTCTTAACACAACTTTTCAACTGGCTTATTTGAATTGTTGCAGCAAACTGAGCAGGGTTAGTATTTTTTAAGGTGGCGCATTAGATTCGTAGTGTTGAACGCACCTTTCCACCACTTTAAATGCTCAGTTTGCACACATTACACGTGTCTATTACACTTCCTTTGTTTTTCATTTTAAAATACATCCAAATTACAGACATTTTCTCTCTTTTGAGGCAACAAGTATGCTCTGTGTTGGCTAACTGCTACATGTAATGGTGTCTGAATTCCCAGACTACCTTAAATTGTAGAACTTTATGGCGTGGTTGTCTGCGAAACAAAGATTACTGATGTAGAGGAACTTGTTGAAATTAAAACTAAGCCTTTTTTATTTAGTCTGAAAATGTATTTGTCAGGATGAATTTAAAAAGTAATGTTTGTTGTTTTATATGGTTAAATTAGATTTTATTTTCCACCTGATTCCAATTTCTTGAAAATCACGTGATCAGACCCAATTTCCGATCACGTGATTGGATCGGAGGATCCCTACTTGAGATGTTTTTAGAGCCAACTATTTGCTTCAAATTCACCATTAGCATCATCAGGTCAGTGTTAACCTCTAGCATTCTTTACCCGATATTAGAGTAAAACAAAAAGATGCCATGGCTTCTTAAGAGTACAAGAAATAACTTTTAGGTTGCTCGTTACTGGCTTCAGTGCTTTAAACAACTTTGGAGCTTAATGCCGGCTGTAGTCAAATCTCAAAACCGGTGCTGCAGCATTAGCTTGCAGGAGACACGGTGACCTCACACTCACTGATGGTAAACAGTGGCTACATCCCTCCTTCCTCGCAGTTGAGAACTCATTCATTCATTCGTTCATTCAGTCATTCATTTATTGAGCACCTTCCACAACCTTTAGCAGAAGCCCAAGGTGCTGAACACAACAATAAACAGGCAATTGCTTCAATAAAGACAATAAAAAATAAAAACTGAATAAAAAAAACAGCATAAAAAACTGATGAGAACAATTGTTAAACAATTAAAATCAAGACAAAATTGCAGCCCCCAGTGGTGAAAATGCCTGGACATAATAATGGGCCTTCAGAAATATGTTTCAGTATAACCTTCCTTCCAACATTATTGAAACATTAGTTGGTTTTGGGATTATTTCACTGTAGAAATCTTACTTTATTCTTACATATTGCACCTTTAAAGAAGACATGAAACTTGGGAAAAGGTTGCCCCCTGTTGCCATTTAGTGCATTGGCTTTGCTTTTATGATCTGGAGGTTTTTAGATAGCATAACCAAACCCAGGCTGTTGCTTATTTACGGTTTCAATCCATATTTAATCTTATTTTCATAATTTTTCAGTCTGTGAAAGTAATCAAACACAGAGGCTGTACTTCAGTCAGTTCGGATGCAAATCAATATTCAGCTTCATGAATGAATCATTGTTGTTCTTCAAAATGTGTTACCCTCAAGGACGAGGACTAGAGTTTCACTCTCATCAGCAGGTGTGTATGTGTGTGTATTCATGCGGTGTGAGTAACGGTTTCACCTGCTGGCTTTTGTTCATGCGTGCCTGTCCTGTGTGAAGGTTATTTTGACAGCTAATTTAAAACTAATGAATTGTTTTTTCTTTTCACAAATCTTTCTCCAGGTGAGGCGAGGCCAGCGTAACGTTCAGACCGAGACCAAATACATCGAGCTAATGATCATCAACGATTATGAAATGGTAGGTGTGATGTTACCTCCTACTTTCTGGGAGGCTTTAAGAGGAAGTCTAGAATTCATCTGCGCTCTTTTCTTTCATTAGTTTGTGCAGCTTCGTCGATCAACCCTTCAGACCAAGATTTTTGCCAAATCGGTGGTGAACATGGCAGATTTGGTGAGGATTTTATTTGGTTTAGAACTCCTCTGTAGCACTGGACTTTCTAATGACGCCATCGCTTCTTTTTTATAATAACATTTGATGTTATTTGCACAGTTGCTGTTATTTACTCCAGACATGCCTATTTCTATAATGGGGAGCCTAAGTCTTCTCCCCATCCGGTCGGCTCATGAGTCCTCGGAACAAAGAAAAAAGGAATTCAAGTGAACGGAGCTATAAAAGCTATTTCCTAATCCACTTTGCCTTACGCCCTGAATCACACATATGTTTTACTTGAACATAATTGTCACATAATTTGACATTTATTAGTTTGTACAAATTGGTAATTAAAATGACTCCAAATTAGATGTTTCTTATTGACTCTTTGCACCTACATGCCCTGATCATGTGAGTCCACCATATTGGTTGGCAAAAGCATGTAAATGGTGAGTGAAACTAGTATTGAACAGAGGGAATAGTAGTGCCTGAGATAAGTATTCTGTTGTTGTTTTTTGTGATGTTTAGCATGGCTTCAACTAGTTCAAGCCCAGCTCAGTTACTGGAAGAAGTAGCACACCTAGGTGGGGCAACAGTGAATTTTGGGAGTATTGAACAAGAAGAAAAGTGGTGACTGAGGTTGTGTTTTTTGCCAGTTTAGCTTGGTTTCTACTGGTTCAATTCCAGTTCACTTGTGGGAAGATTTAGCACACCCAGATGAGGTTCACAAAGAGCAGTATTTACAAAAGATATGTGTTAGCTACGTTGGCTTTCGTTCTCCCTGCTGCTGTTCACCGATTTAAACAAGTTGCCCACTTTGTCAGAATTCACCCCACTGGACCTATAGCATTATGTTATAAACAGCGTTTCACTTTAAACTGGAGCTGATCACATATTTTTTAATGTGCGGACCAGTTTTTGGCACTGGCAGGGTCACGGGTTCAGATGCTACTCACACAGGGATGAGACATGATGTCTCATAACAGCGACGCTCATCACGCTAAATAATAAACATATTTTTCACACATGTAATCCTACATTGGAACACTATTTTAATAAATAATTATCTTGCAGTTCATTGTAGTGGACGGTACCACTCATGGTGAAAAATGTAGAATTATGAGGTGTGTTGTGAGGTTTACATAGTGTATTTAACCACATTTCACATGAAAGCGTTCGGTGCAGCTGATTAGATGTGATTATCCTTCGAAACAAAAGCACCAAGTGGACGTGCTTGAGCCCTCAGCTGCAGCATCACCATGGAAAAACCCTTCACTGATGGGGAGCAAACTGTTACATTGGTTTCCATGGAAACGGGCTGCTGTCTTCTTTCTCACACTTCACAATCGTCTCCACAGCCTGTGACATGCAAAGGCATGATTTTCTTTTTTTTATGAACTGACTCCTAAATAGGTGCTGAGTAATAAATATATGAATCTTACACCAGCCGATTTAAGCTGGCACTCTTTTAGATGCTGGGTTTGGTTAAGCCGAACACAAACGCCACCATAAACACAAAGAAGTGTTTATTCTGAGTGTTTTTGCCACCTAATGTCTCAGAAAAATGTCATTTTCCTCATAAAAGACTTCAAAATGTTCTTTTCTTAGAGTTTGTAACCCAGCTATGCTCTTTTGGTGCTAGAACTGCATGACGGGAGCAAATTAATATTAAATAAAGTTCCAAAATGCCAAAGCTATTCATTAATTCATACATATGTGAGCCAGATGTGAGCTGCATCCTGTCAGTTGAAATTATTTAAACCTTTTGGGTCTTCACACATGATTTTGCTGCTGATTTCAATTAAATTAAATAGATTTTTTAAATATATCTTGTAAAATAGAAAAAAAAACATAAATCTGAGTTCACTGAGCTGACTGCTCTTCCCTCGTTGCCTAATTCCTCCTAATTAGCCATTTTTGATGTTTCCAGATCTACAAGGAGCAGCTCAACACTCGCATCGTCCTGGTCGCCATGGAAACCTGGTCGAGTGAAAACAAGATCGCCATTGGCGACGACGCCTTGCTAACCCTGCGAGATTTCATGAAGTATAGGAAGGAGAGCATCAAGGAACGCTGCGATGCTGTTCACCTCTTCTCGTGGGTCTCCTCTTCTGGTTCTTGCTGTCCTCATGCTGTGTTGTTCTTCTAATCGTTGTTCTGTGTGTCCTTCAGAGGGAGGACGTTCATGAGCAGCCGCAGCGAGGCAGCTTACATCGGAGGCATCTGCTCAGTGACGCGGGGTGGCGGCATCAATGAGGTGACACATGGAGATAAATAAACTGAGAACGTTTTCTATGGCTGTAATTCAAACTTTTACTTTATTGTACGACTCCTCAGTTTGGGAGTGTGGGTCCCATGGCGATCACTCTGTGTCAGAGTCTTGGACAAAACATCGGCATGCATCGGAACAAAGAGCGGATGACTGCAGGTGACTTTGAATAAAACTTTATGAAGTTTAGAGACAAAAATTGAGACAAAATGATAAAAAAGTTAAAATGTCCTTAAAATCTTTATTCTGTATTAAATTTAAAGTTGCCTAAGTGCAGGTTAAACTTCTGGACTGTTCGTAAACATGTTGCTTCTTCCTTTATGTCACATCCGAAGAGGTCAGACTAGACTTTATTCTTCATCAAACTGAACCTCAGAAGTGTTATTTGTGTGTGTCCAGGAGGGTGCAGGTGTCCAGATCTGTGGCAGGGTTGCATCATGGACGATACGGGGTAGGAATACGTCTCGTCATTCATTAATCCTCACCTACATTTTATAAAAGTCTCTATGGAAGAAGTTTAATTAGTCAGAAATGATAATATTTTGTTTTTGAGCTGGATTTTTGAAGAAGAAATGCGCTGATGTATATTTTCTGTATTAATCAGCTACAATCTGCCCAGGAAGTTTTCTCGCTGCAGCATAGATGAGTATCTGCGTTTCCTTCAGCAGGGAGGAGGCAGCTGCCTCTTCAACAAGCCCACAAAGGTCAGAGATGGTTGTTTCTGGGTGTACGGTAAAATATCATTAGGGGTTTGACCAATGTATCAGACCGAAATTTACCTTGTTTTGATTTATTGACAAATATACCATTTAAAGTCAGGCACATCCATGGGCAGCCGGGTAGTGCTCTCTTTTACACAGTACTCCTAAAAGATTTCTTTTATGTTGTATTTTTACCTCTAAGATGCTTAACTCTTGTAATTCTTATTGAGTATTTGTCCTTCGGATATTCTAAGGATCTTTTAGATGTTTATTTGGATTTTCGTCCATTTTTACTCATTTTCAGTCCAGTTCCTGACCCATATTTGAGGATTTTTTTTGTTTTTTTTTTTGTTTTTAGAGCATCTAAATCAGACTAATGAATACTTTGGAGGTCAAAAGGCCCCCAAATGCCACACTAAACCAGTTTAGATTCATTACAGACAACAAAATCATTTTGTAACCAGCTGCTATGTGAATAAACACCTAAGATGTCACAGTTTTACAGACATAGACTGTTATTTTAGCACAAATGAGGCATTCCCAAACATGAATTAGCTGACAACTGGTCATAAAGGAAATGAAAAATAATTTTTTTCTTTGTTTTCCAGAGAAACGACTGTGTTTCAGGCCTGATCTTGATTTGTGCTCCACTCCTCCACCTTTCCTTGCTTTTAAGCACAAGCTACACCAAATAGTGTCGTGGTCAGAATATGCGTAAAAAGCTGCCAAAGTCCTAATAAAACTGATGATTCAGACCATTTTACAGTCTGCAGCTTTGGAGACATAACATATAGCTTTCCCACATGCCTGTGAACAGGAATATGAAGGAATTATTATAGGAAGTATTTGAGGAATGTCTTTAATTTATTGGTCAGTTTGGCACTCAAAATCCGCCCTCGGTTCTGACACGCTGACCGTTTCTCTGTAGCTGTTGGACCCTTCAGACTGTGGCAATGGATATGTGGAGCCAGGAGAGGAATGTGACTGTGGATCTCTGCTGGTGAGGTTCCTCGTTCACTTAAACTCTCCAGAGTTGTCTTAAACAAGTCGGCATCAGTCATGCAGCTGGGAATTTTGTAAACAAAACACATTTGTTAGACGTGCAAGTACCAGAAGGTGAATGCTGATGAATTTTGTTAACGTTGCTACAAAAATCTATTGTTGTTACACTAATCTTGCTACAGCTGGCTGTAGGAATGCCTTTATTCTAAAAGTTAGATGTGGATTTTGCTAAACAAGGAGTTTGATCTCACTCAGTTCTGTTAATGTTTTAAACACAAACATGGCACAAAATGCATTGCAGGTTAAAATAATTCATAAAAAGAATAGCAAATGTTGCTTTTTGCATTGTTTGACTTGAGATAAAGCTATTTATCCAAAGGCTAACAGTAAAATACACTCTATTCTGTTTTATATAGGAGTGTACTCAAAGTGGAGCCAACTGCTGTAAGAAGTGCACTCTTACCCACAATGCAATGTGCAGCAATGGACTCTGCTGCAGGGACTGCAAGGTGAGCTCCGAGGACTTATTGTCCACTTTAACCAGAGAAATCTTCTTGACCAGAACTTTTTTCAAGGTGGGATCAAATTGTATTTTCAAGTGTTTGCGGTCTGACAAAAACATTATTTTTAAAATGTTGGTGAAGTTTCTCAGTCTTCCAGGTCATGGTCATCCAAAGGAGTTTGAATGAAGGCAACTGGACTCCGTTTCGCTTCTCATCCGAGGAGCTCTGTCAGTTCTGACTGGAATATGGGAGAGTCAAGCTTATAAACTGTAGCTGTTTGTTGTCATTCATATGTAGTTTCTGCTCGTTAAACAAAAATAGGCAGCTACAGCTCATAAACTTGACTCTCCCATATTCCAGTCAGAACTGGCAAAGCTCCTCGGATGAGAAGCAAAACATCTTCAAGAACCCAAAGAAGTCCAGTTGTAGACCTGAGACAATAACAAATGGTGCTGGACAATATATGGTCCAACAAATTATTGATGATAAGCCATATTATTGTCAGCATTATCGAGACCAAAATAACCACTTGTGTAATATTAATATATCATAATAATTGGAAGTTCACCCTTTAAAATACAACAAATAAACCGTTATTTAACATTGAAATGTCCAGAACAAGAACTTCTTAGGTGTGTTCTTGCTGTGTCGTGGTTCTAATTCCATGCTGTCGTTCTTTTTTTAAAACACAGAAACCGTTTCGTTACCTGTTTTCTCGCTACGTTTCGTCTGCGGCTGCAGACTTCCTCAGGCTGACACAGCTGAAATATTAAAAGTCACTGTGAAATAAATTTTACTTGCGATTTTTGAAATATAGTTTAACAACCAGGCTAAACATGAACACAGTCATCTACCCCTATTTCCTGCATTAGCCACCCCAAAAAAATAGATGTGGAAATGCTTGGGCCAGAAAAATCCACACAAACTAGACTGAAAACATTCATGGACTCACCTACCTTGACTCGTGATGGGGAAGGCTGTTGTTGGTTTAGCATCCAGGAAACAACTCAGCTAGAGAAGCTAACTGTTAGCATTAGCAACTCCACAACACAGCAGAACTCATCCAGGCTTGTGTCATTAGTGAAGATAAAACATCAACGCTGCAGAACAAATGGAAAAATAAACTTTCCTCTACTCTCAGCAACAAAAACAGGATCTAGGTCATTAATTGGCGTTGCTGGTGTATTAACTCTAGTTATGAGTGGTTGCATCCAAGTCTACTGAAGTCAGTGAAGGTTCATGCTTTCTTTCACTATGAAATTGAAACAAAAGCAAAGAATTCATATTGTTCTAAGCTTTTACCTTTATAAGAAGAATTTATTTGTCTGCTGTTTTTTTTTTTGTGTCAGGTGTCTCGTTCACAGAATGATTGGTTCTCTTATGCTGGCGCCTTATTCTGTGTTTGCTTCGTCTCGTTGTTCAGTACGAGCTCAGAGGGGTGGTGTGCCGCGATGCTGTGAATGACTGTGACATCCCAGAGACCTGCACGGGAGACTCCAGTCAGGTGATTTTATCAGCCTGTTCAAATAAATAATCTGAAATCTTAAGCTGAAAGGGAATACGACTGTCCCGTCTCTTGCAGTGTCCTCATAATGTCCACAAACTGGACGGGTACACGTGTGATGCGGGCCAGGTAAAGTGGAATATTTGTTACTTTGATTTTAATGACAGTCATTATTTTTCTGTCCCCCCCCCCCCCCCTCCCATTTAAATTTTCATTGAAAGTTTCACATTTTTGTGTGTCTTACATCATGAACCAATAATTGTTGCTTACAAGGGACAGTAGTAAGTAAAAAAAAAAAAGAAATGTAAGTAAAATTAAAGCTGCAAGCAGCGTTGTTCGGCCCTTGCAGTTCCGCGTCACCCCGGCCTGGCCGGCAGTGCACCGGGCAGGTCTGCCGAACATAAACGTCGACCACCCTAACACCAGAAACCGCGAACTGTCTCCTCGTCTGCACCTCACCCTGACTCAGCATCTTCTCTGAGCCCACCATTTAATTACACATCTAACCACTAGGTGATACCAGGGGCGGCGTTAGGCCTGGCTACTTGGGCTCAAGCCCCGAATGTTTTATGAAAAGTCCCGGATCTCAAACGTGGAAGTAACATGCAGTACCAAAGTCCAACAGAGAGGGAGCAGCTGGCAGTAGTTTGTATACAGCCTGCCTGAGCCTCCACCACCGAAGAAGAAGCCCTTCAGCAGCCGGCTTCTTCTACGGTCTCTGCCTGAAACGCATGTGTCACGATGGACATAAGGACGTTTTTTAGACCAAAAGTACTGCAGTAGAACCCCAGTTTTGATGAGACTGGTGTTGACTCAGGTTTGTGAGTCTTATTTGAAAATATTTGTTGTGCTGCTGGTTTGCCTAAAGTTAGCTTATCAGGTAAAGTTGTTGGGGGAAAGAAAGGGAATATTTACTATCATCTCACACTAAACACTAACAGGAACAATACTCTGCCCTGAATATGCTGAATATGTAGCTTCAGATTAAAAAATTATGTGGTACAAGACAAATATATATGATGTTGACTAGTGCGACTAGAGTGTGTGTGTGTGTGTGTGTGTGTGTGTGCTAGGGGTTGTACGAAATAGTCGACTAGTCGACTTCACGGCTCTGTAGTGACTTTTTATGCCTGTCATCAACTAGTCGCTGTTACGTGATAATGACTGACAAGATGCAGTCCTCGGAAAAGACAGCAGGTGATGAGCCCCTGCGCGTCTGGATCGAGGCGGAGGCGACGCGCTGTGCGGTACTGACACCAGCGGTAAAACGGACATTTAACCAAACTGTGACCTTTTCCCTCTTGCAATTTAACCTTCCCCTCACCCCCATCCTAATCTTAACCAGTTTGCGCATGCAAAGCTCTGATCATTGACGTGCGCTCCAGACATCTGCGTCCTGAGCACCGCCAAATCAGGTGTCACCACCTCAAAAACAAATTAGACACGCGATCGTTCATGTCGGCTCATTTCCTTTCATGTTTTCTGTCTGTTATTTGTGCCTGATGCATTTAGCAGCTGCGGAGCGAGGCGCATCACCTGTTGTCCTCCGGTGACGCACCCCCAAGATTCCACTATCTCCACTCCGCTCCGCTCCGGCATGAACTCCGCAGCAAAAACGGTCCCGTTGTAGTCGGCCGGCGAGCAGCGGCACTCCGCTGTTTTTGCGGTCGGTAGATCTTTTAGAACTGCAGTTCAAAGGTAACTCATGAGGTGAATATATATGAACCCAGGTAGCAGTTTCTCTTTAGGATTGAGAGGAGATGCAGGAAGATAATAAACAGAGACAGGACAGAAAAATAGTCAAATAAAAACAATTAGTTTTTGTACCTGGTGGTTGTAACAAACAGACACCACTGAAGGTAATCAGAAGTGAGGAACAGAAAATGAAATAATTATTTTAATGTTTAGAGCAGCAGGAAAGGCTGCAGGCGCATCAGTGAGTTTGCGGCTGCTGCGCAGGGGGAGGGGGGAGAGGACTGAAGTAGGATGCAGAAACTACCGTTGTTAAAAGAGATGTGTTAACTTAGAAAATGTGGGCGCAATTTTAATTGTCAAAAACTCCAGCGAACCTACCGACCGACCCCCCGACCCCGCCGCTTCCGGCATATCACGTCATCAACGACTAGTCGAAGTCGACTCGACTTTCATTACTTGACTGTCGACTTTAAAAAAAATAAAGTCATGCAGGCCCTAGTGTGTGCGCGCGCGTATGTGTGTGTTAAGCCCTGGATCTTCTTTAGTCCTAAATCCGCCCCTGGGTGATACTCTATCTTTACCACACTGCTGGTGTGATGACACAGACCAAGTTTAATGCTATCCTGACCACGTTTTTTTTAAGTAATTGAAGGTTAAAGTTATCTAGGGGGCGCTGTGACCAACTATAGAAAAATCCCAATGAGGTCAGCTTTGGGTGACAAAGATGGTTTTCTGTTATTTTGGCATCAATCAGACGTTGTGTGTGCTTTCTAGAGCCAAAGAGCTGAAAGGGGGTGGAGCTAAAGGGATTTGAACCAACAACCACATCAATGTGTTTGGTGCAGTCACGTGATGACACAAGCCAAGTATAATGCCATTATGACCTTGTCTTTAGAAGTTGATAAAGTTTGAACCTATCTAGGGGGCGCTGTGACGATTTACAACTAAATCCCATAGAGGTCATCTTTGGTCATCAAAGATGGTTTTCTGTTAATTTGGCATGAATCAAACGTTGCATGAGTCATCTAGAGACAAAAAGCTGTAAGTGGGCGGAGTTAAAGTGATTTGAACGAGTGATCACATACATGTGTTGATTGCAGTTGTGTGATGACTCCCACCATGTTTGATATAGTTTGGAGCATTTTTGCAGAAGTTACAAAGGGTTGATTGTATCTAGGGGGCACTGTCCCAAATTTAGGAAATATTCCATGAAGCAGTTTGTAGGTTGACAACAATCATTTGTGTGAATTGCATCATGCATGTGTTATTCAGGGCCTAATATCTGTCAGGGGGCGGAGCTAAAGCGATATCAGCCAATGACCACAGGATTGTGTTGGGTGACTTTGTGTGATGACACATAGCAGGTTTGGTGCAGTTGTGACCTCGTCTGTACGAGTTATTCATGCGTATCCAAGTCGTACTTTTCTTTCATTTCTTGGAAGCTCTCCAGCTGCCCATCTTTCTTTAAACACACCATGCTGTAATCCCTTTATTTACCCACTGCTTAAACCCAATGTCATGTCTATTGGGTGTGAAATTACTATCATGTGTTATCCACCTTAATAGTTTTATATCCTTCTGTGTTTTGTTTCTCCTAATTATACTAAACCATAATTTTAATGTGTATTTTGTAATCCCCTCCATTTGATTTTTGGTTTTCTTGTACATTTCTTCTTCGCCTAACATGCTCTGTATTGGGTTTTATCCATTTTTTATCTCTAATTCTTACCATTTTGCAGTATAATTCGGTTTGCACCAATTCTACCGCATATCTTAATTGTGCTGCGTGAAAGTACTCTTTGATATGTGGGAGTCCCATCCCACCGTAGGCAGCCAGAGAGTATCCATCCTTATTCTAGGCCTCTTGCCTCCCCAAACAAACCTGGATATTATTCTATTCCACCCTACAAATTGTTGTTGGGGCACCTCTATGGGTAGAGCCTGGAACAGATATAAGAGTCTCGGTAACACGTTCGTTCTGATTATATCAATCCTTGAGCTGAAGTCTAACGTTAATATGGACCGCCTTTCAATGTCTTTTTGTATTTCTTGATTTATCTTACTATAATTGGCCTTGTATAATTTAGTTATGTTTTTAGTGATTATGACCCCCAGGTAACACATTTTTTTTAATTTCCAATTAAATGGAAAGGCTTCTTGGACTGCTTTTGCTGGGCTATAGTTAATTGTTAATATCTGGGTTTTGCTAATATTCACCTTATATCCTGAAAACCATTGATATATTTCTAAAAGTTGGATCAATCTAGGTAGCGATTTGTTTGGTTGTCTGAGGTAAACTATGACATCATCAGCAAAAAGTCCTGTTTTTTGTTCTCTTCCATTCACCATCACTCCCTTAATATCTTGATCTTGTCTGATTGCTTGTGCCAGAGGTTTTATATAAAGGGCAAATAGAGTGGGTGATAGGCAACAGCCCTGCCTTGTTGACCTTCCTAGTTTAATTTTGTTTGTTAAAGTTCCATTACTTTTTATTCTAGCAGTAGGTTCTAGGTATAGCGTCTGTATTGATTTTTTTTTATTAAAACCGAATCACTCCAGAAATTCCCAATTGACACATCTATGCTTAGTAATAATGCGTCTTCTTTACCTTCTGTTGCATGTACCACGTGTAGTGTTCTTCTAATCTGGTCATGTGTCTGGCATCCTCTAATGAATCCTGCCTGATCATCCTCTATTAATTCTGCCACAAATGAGTTCAGTTTATTTGAAATTATTGTCGTGTATATTTTATAGTCCACACCTGTCTTTTCTGTTTAATATTATGTTCTCTTGTTTTCTCATCAGGGTCGCTGCTATGGAGGCCGCTGTAAGACTAGAGATGGACAGTGCAGGACTCTGTGGGGCTTTAGTAAGTTATTCTGGAGGCTGTACTGCCCCCTGCTGGGGATTTCTGAATATACTCTTATTTTATCCTCCTGGGAGTACTTATCATATTTAGGAGAATGTATTTATCTACAAACAGCTGTTTTTACTAATGAGTGAAGGAGTTTGTTTCCTTTCAGACTCGGCTGACAGGTTTTGTTATGAAAAGCTGAACTCTGAGGGCACGGAGAAGGGAAACTGTGGGCCGGAGCCCGGTGGCCAGGGATGGGTACCGTGCAACAAACAGTGAGTGAATTCATCTTAGGCTTTAAGTGTTCCAGTATCTGGTGAAGTTGTACGATTTTCTCTTTGCAGAGACGTCCTGTGTGGGCTGCTGCTTTGCACCAATTTGACAGAAAGGCCGAGGTTTGGTGAGCTGCAGGGAAAGCTGACCAGCCTAACAGTCCACCATCAGAACCGGTACATGGACTGCAGGTGAGGCCGTTTTTCTCCATCAAGCATCATGTAGAAAAATCCTGTCAAAGTTGAGAAGTGGAATACTGGTAGTAGTGGTTCACTGTGACTGTCTGAGCTGCAGGGGGGGTCATGCAGTGCTGGATGATGGGTTGGATTTGGGCTACGTGGAGAACGGGACACCGTGCGGGCCCAACATGATGTGTCTGGAGCACCGCTGCCTCCCTGTCACCACCTTTAACCTCAGCTCCTGTCCAGGTTCCTTGTTCTCACAGATCTGCTCCCACCACGGGGTGAGCCCTTCAGCTTTCCCTCCCCTCTCCAAAAACTCGTCATATATTTTACATTCTCTGGATTTCTAGGGCATCTTCAGATATTGAGCTTAATCCTGACATTAACCCGACTTCCTGTTTTGTCTTGCTTCCTGCAGAATTGCAGTAACGAAGTGAAGTGCATTTGTGATCCCGACTACACCGGAAAGGACTGCAGTGTGTTTGACCCCATTCCCACGCCTACTCCAGGAGATGGGCTGGAGAAGCACAGAGGTATGTTTGTAATTATCCAGTAAAGACTATCAAGTGTTTGAAATGCATGTGTTTCAATACCTTACAGTGAGTAAATAGTGGGGACAATAAAAAAAACATGCCCCAGAGAGCCAGGAAACACACTTAAAAATGGTGAAAATACTCCAGCTTCTGGGGGCTTTGCCTCCTGGGACCCCACAGGGGCATTGCCCCGTCACCCCAGTGGGAGCCTAAGGCGGCCCCCGCTCCCCCGTCCGTTTTAAGTTTTTTTTTTCCCTTGACCCAATCACATCTCTGCATGAGAGAAATTTCATGTACATAACTGTTGTACAAATTAAAACTTTCATGACGAGTGTGGCATTGAAGCAACTCAGGAACGCCTACTAACAAATAACAAAATGTCCTGAAACAAAGGTTTTCTGACCTGTTCAGCTAATAGATATTAACATCCACTTTTAACATACTGTGAAACTCCTCCACCTTCTGCAGCACAGCTCTGAAGAATTAGACATGTTGTTTTCATGTTCTGCGTAACTCTGTTCTCCAGTAAAATTTTGCTGATGTCTCATTTTTTCTCTTTTTTTTAAAGCAGCAATCTGGAGTTTTCACTATTTCAGGAATTATGTTGTTTTAGAAATCTGTAAAAGTGATATTCTTACTCTGTAATGTAGGCATTAAATCTTTTTTGATTGTTTTGCTATGCCCGTCACTGATCCCATAGAAACCCATGCAATTTGAATTGAGCGCTGCTCAGCATTAGCCAATAGCGTTAGACATTCACTTACATACAGATGTCAAATTGTGAATTGAAAATATTTAGCCTGGCCTGCCAGACTTCTCTGTCTAATTCTGCACAGAGGAAGGGTCTGGGAACTCTCCTATTCAAATAACCCCACCCACTGAGAATTCTAACTGAGCCAATAAGCGCTGAGTAGCATATGTCACACACCATGACGCCGAGTTTGTCGAACATGGCGACAGAAGCGGCGTTCGCTGCGGCTCTTTCCTCTGTTCTAAATGACTTGGACACGTCTTTAAAACCAAAAGTAGAAGCGCCAAAAGCCTTTCTTGTAAAGTAAGATGTTTGCGCTGTCGCTAGACGCCATTTTCACACAGCGACACTCAGTTTCTCATAAACAACAAAGACAGCGGCGGAGTTCGCTGCGGCTCTTTTCTCTGTTCTAAATGACTTGAATGTCTTTAAAACCACAACAAGTAGAAGCGCTAAAAGCATTTCTTCTAAAAGAATAAAAGATGTCTGCGCCATTGCCAGACACCTTTTTTTTAAACTACATCTAAAGAACTACAGCGTCACGCGGTACAGTCAGCATTTCCGTCTTTTTTCTGATTGGTTATTTTTAAGCTGCCTAGTCCCGCCCCTCATGTGCCTCTCTGTCTGTGAGTTACCAGACTCTTTCTCTATGCAGAATTAAACAGAGGAGGAGTCTGGCAGGCCAGGCTAGAAGATATTAGCTACAAGGTGTGCATTCATGAAAGAGAGGCGTTGCTTCCAGTCATAACCACTAAAGTAGGGAGAGGGGCTTAAAGTGATACTAAGCCGTTCTTAACACTTTAACCAACACTCTGCAGCCCTCTGCTGTCCAACAAGCTCATGTTAGCTTGTTGTTAGTGCTAGCTACAGCATGTCACTGCAGGGTTGTTTATGACAGTTGTAACTCCACTTTGAACCAATAGGCCGCAGAAGCTGGAAACTATTTAGGCCTAGTCCACATGTAGCCGGGTTTTTTTTTAAAACGAATATCCGCCCCTCCAAAAACTTGCATCCACACCACCTCGTTTTAAAGAAAAACTGTCCACATGTACCCGGATAAATACGTTGTTAAGGACATGCCAGACCTGTAGGCGGCAGTACTTCCCCCGTTCTTAACCTCGTCCTTCGTCTGTGGTCTTCCGCAAGGAGCAGTAATTCCGCTTGCAAAAACAAACGAGCAAAAAGCGCTTGGACAACTGATAAAGCGAGCGCAGCTCTGAGGGCATCCATGCTGTTGGCTAGTGTAAACACAGGTCGCACACGTGATGTCAGCATTTTTTGTCGCGGGAAGTGACGTTGCAGACCTTAAAACTCTGGTTTTGTCTGTCCACACGCAGACACCCAAAACGGAGAAAATGCAGATCTTCACTTTGGCCGGAGTTTTTAAAAAGATCCGTTTTCGTGTGAAAAAAACTTCGTTTTCGTGTGGATGACAGGCCAAAACGTAGAAAAATATCTACGTTTTGGCAGATCCCCGGCTACGTGTGGACAGGGCCTTAGTCTTTTTCTGCCTCTAAATGGGGCCTTCTGACAAAGTACTCTGGATTTCTGCTTTAATCTATGTTTCTGTTTTATGAAATACTTTTAGCTGAACCTCATCCAGACCTTGCTCCTTAGCGTTCTCTCTCAGTATTTTAATAGTTCTTCTTCCCTTGCTCACGTCACTCCCACAGGTCCCAGTGGCACCAATATCATAATAGGTTCAGTTGCCGGTGCAATTCTGCTTGCAGCGATAATCCTGGGGGGAACAGGCTGGGGATTTAAGTAAGACATTCTGGCACGTCTCTGAGCATGTCTGTGTGTATTTGTGCCTCTGTGGGCCGTGTTTCTTTACACATGCCTGCAGATGAAGTCATGTAGGTTCATTCACGCTGGTGCATGTGCTGCAGGTGGTTGTCTGCCTCCTCGTCTGCTCAGTGGCTTTTACCGTGTAACTCCCTGCATGGCCTTAGGAACTTTAGCAGGACTGGTAGCTGATGCAATCAGCATTTTCATTATGTTTGTTTTATAGACAAATGAGCTAGATGAGTCGTGTTTAAACCAAATTTTACTAAACTTCTTTTAAGTTCTTGATTATTTTTCTGAGAATTCAAGATAGAATGTTTATTAAAAATATAAAAATTACCTCTTTGCACGTTTAAGTTGATTTGATAGTCGTAATATTTGATTGATGGAGGAATAAAAGCTCGAATGCACCTGTTTGAGGTCTTCAGCTGGAGGAGAAAGTGGCTTCAGATGACGTTTGGAATCTTATTTCCCGAAATTCATTCAGACATCTCACCTCAGATTGGTTAACAGCAACTCAGCTGTACCGTTCTGCCATGTGCTGGAGTAGTAATGCTAACGGTTAGCTTCTACTAGCCGAGACGTTCTCTGCTTTTTCCTAAACACTAAACCAACAACAGCCTTCCCCATGGCGAGTCAAGATGGGTTAATTAATGCTAAGGGTAGTCACACCCAGGGGGAAGTCTTTGTTCACCCACACTTCCTGTTGGAAAAAATTACAGTGTAAGAAAAAAGTGACAGCAGAACAAATATGTGACAATATACAACAGTTGTTTTAAAGAAGGTATTTTTATGAAAAGATTAGATAAAATTATAAAGATGAGACTAATGTGGATAAACTCAGTAGGTAAAGACTTTAGTTTGAAGCAGAAAAGATGTTTTGAGTCAGGATGTGTGTCCAGGGGGGTGAGTTGTTCCTGGTTAGGCTAAGTTTAGTTGTTTGAAATATAATCAAGAAAAAAGATGACCTGATGAATGTTTGACTTATGGGACCAAGATTCTGTTTGTTTATTTGAGACCTGTGAATGGTAGAAGTGTTCATGTCTTCTTATGTGGACGTGGAGCTGACTTCTGTCCCCATAAACACCCCTCACCCTGAGTTCATTGGCTTTTTCTTGCAGAAGATTCTCTGCTAAACAACATTTATCCAAATGACCCTTTTATTAGATCCATCTGAGAGATTTGCTTTAATGATAATGATTAAATGTCTAGAAGGAGCAGCTCTTTAGATCTTGATACGATGTTTAGAGGAAGCCAGGGTGATTTTAATGTGTGTGTGTGTGTGTGTGTGTGTGCGTGCGTGCGTGTGTGTGTGTATTAAGAGTCAGTCCAAAGGAAACTGTTGAGGTCCAGTGTCTCATTTAGTTAAAAGGCACATGAAAACAGTTTTCTTGGCTAGTTTCTGTACAGAGTTCTCTGTTTCTCCCTTTCTGTTTTGCTCTGCTAGCTTACCTACAGAAACATTATTTGTACTTTTGTCTTCAATGCTTGGCTTTGTCACCGACTCGGCACCGAGTAGTAAAATTATAACATTTACATTCTTCTTTACTGCTTTGCTTTGAGAGCCGTGCATGTTTTCCCCTTTACCCACTTTCAGCATTCATGAATTATTGGTTAATAATTAGACTGATTTGTTTTCTTCTCTTTGTGGTCTTTTCTAACGCTGCTGATCCAGAAACATCCGGAAGGGAAGGTATGAATCCACCTTTTAGCCCTGACCTCACTGCTGGGACTTTCCTGCCTCCTGTTTATTGAACCCCCACCTGATCATCTCATTTTAGTTTTCAGTTTATCACCTTTTAAAATATAATTCATATTTTCTTGTAATTAAACAGCATTACCATGTGTAGCTGCAGGATCTTAAACGTGAATAAATTATAACTTTATTTTATTTTGCATGTGTTTTTATGACTTTGGCTGCTATTAGTAGAATGTAGCTGCTGTTCTGGATTCATTTGGACAAATTATAATGTGTTGATTCAGTTAATAAAATCAGAAATTCTCTCTTAACCTTTTGGTTTTTGCCCATTTTAATATTTTGGTTTTCAAATAGTTGATCAGACCTCATTTAACTATTTATTTTAATTATAATGTGTCCATCCAAAAATACAATAACCCCTTTAGCTGTTTTCCATCCCTTTGTTTATTAATATCATATATGTGATAGGTTTTCTAGCTCATGGGGTCAGGGCGAACCCAAATGATCAGAAAATAGTTTTTCCAGTTTTTGGTCTGCTGATAAGAGGACATAGTCTGTAGTCGAGTGCAGGTATTTCATTGAATCCAGTGGTGTCCACTCCTCCTATCCTGCATGATGTGTGTCTGATCTGAGCCACATGATCTGAATCAGTCGTTTGTTTCCGGGCTTCTGCAGAACTTCAGAAGGTCCTGAACAGATAATTATTTTCTTTCCCCCTCTCTTCTCTTTCTGCCCCGTTTCATCTTCCCATCTGTGTTTCCAGATCTTCAGGAGTCTGAGTCGTATCTCTCTGCTGTCCTGTCTCCCTCACACTGTGAGCTGTCCACTCTGAGGAGACGGAACTGAGACGTCTTCCACCTTTAATGAGCCATTACACCTTTTCGGTTTCCTCCTCTGACTTTGTTGATCCTAACTCCATCCTGAACGGGAGATCTGGAGAAGATGCTCTCTCTGATCAGACCGTCAGGAAGTGTCCTTCATGCATCTGGTCTTTGGACTGTTATCATGCTTCATCCCTTTAAATGATTTAATGAAGGACAACCAAACACTTTAATGAGCGAGGCCCTCTTTAATCACTGCTATTAACCTCACAGAGAGCACAACCGTCTCCACTGTTGTGTGACGTTTAGCAGCAATAGAGGTTTAGGAATAACACTGAATGTTGGCTTTTGTCCGTCCAGATGAAGGCCGTTTGTTAGACCTTTACATTCCACAATAATAGCCATAATTTATCCTCTTATGCTGCCTTTCTGTATCAGACTGAAGTCAAATTGTAGTACATCAGCGCTTATGAATAATGTGTTGTGTGTATGTGCAGTAGGAGCTTGCTAGGGAGCTTATTATGTCTCTGTGCCTACAACATGGAGTGCAGGTAACTGCTGTATGATATCTTAATCCGTATCCAGGCTGTATGCATACGGTGATGCTGCACATGGGTGCTGTTGTAAATACTGTTCGGACTCCTTTTGAGTGACTCACTGCCGCTCTGAACGGAAGCACAAGTCTGACAACAGACTCTTCCTGCCTACAAGATCAGCCAGAAAGGATTCGGTTCCCCAGAGAGGATGATGCGTGTGCCGTGGGTTTCATACGTGCCAGAGATAATTAACTCCAAAGGTGCAACAGAAATGTCTGAGATCAGGATTCCCTCTTTAGCTACAGATGTGCTGTTTGTAACTTAAAATCATTATGAAAAGAGCAAAATTTCAATAAGTTTAACCCAGAAAAGGCTTAGCATTAAGTCCTTGTTGAATAAATCAAGTTAAAAGCAATAAACATTTAAATCAAAGATTTCAGGGTAAAAACAATCCTCTAGTAAACGATTAGTCCAGTCTTATCCCTCCGGTCTCCTGTGTTACTCTCTGGATGCTTCTAGAGGGTTCATATGGTTCAGAATGATGTTTTGATGTAAAACATGTAAAGATGATTTGGTTGAAGAGGAAACGGATGCAAAAAAATGATCTAAGGTGCACTGCCAGTTCAATCCACAGTAACTGTTTTTATTTACCAACAAGCAAAAAAAAACCTTTTAAAAGAAAGCTGAAGCGCTGATTTTTGCATCACATACAAAAATGTTAAATGTCAGTAAATTCATCAGATTATTTCCTACACACACACACACACACACACACACACACACACACACACACACACACACACACACACACACACACACACACACACACACACACGATAAGGAAATGAACCCACTAAGGTGACGCTATGTTTACGACCACTGTGATCACTTGCTGTTGGACTGATTACGGGGATTTTTGGCACCATAAACTTAGTGTAAACACTCATGTCAGCATATTAAAAGAGCTCTGAAAAGCAGTGACCGTGTGGTGGTTTTGGTGTGTGTGTGTGTGTGTGTGTGTGTGTGTGTGTGTGTGTGTGTGTGTGTGTGTGTGTGTGTGTGTGTGTGTGTGTGTGTGTGTGTGTGTGTGTGTACCTTGTAGAAAAGATAAACGTCTAGCAGGATGGTTATATCTGATTCTTCACGTTTTCATGAAGCACAACTCATGAGTTTTACAGTTTATATTTAAAATATATATATTTTTTGTACAATGTAAGATTTTTTTTATCTTGGTTTGAGGATTTTCTGCTCATTTTTGTGTTTTTGTTGTCTTTACACCTGTTGTGGAGTTTTTTCTTCAGACTGGTGACACATATATTGATGAAAAATGTTAAATGAGAATCTGTTCTAGTTTTTCAAATGAAAAATAACATGTTAGAAGACCTTAAACTTAGAAAAGTTAGTCTTTTTATTTATTAAATAACAAAACCGTTGATAAAAACAATCCGCATTTATAAACGTAACATATGATAAAGTTATAATTTAGGTCAAATCTGGGCACTTTTATGTACAATCTCATGTAATATTGTAAAAACCACATGATTTGTTAGCACTCAGGCTTTGTGTAGTGCAAGACAGCTACAGGTGCATTACATTTTAGATGAATAGATTTAAAACTGATAGAGTTAAAGCCATGGGTTTTGCTGAAGTTGATGGTCATCTTCACCCTCAAAGTTAATCAGTTAATACGAACATCATCGTATATTTACTAGCTTTACACACCCTTCAGCCGTGGCTGAGAATGATTTTTTAACTTGAATTAATGCATCAAATGTATATAATAAAAAGGCGTTACTAAATAATACAAGTGTAAAATACTAAAAAGGATCAGGGGCCTCATTTATCAAGCTTGCTTACGCACAAAACGGGGTCGGAAAACTGCGTAAGCAACTTTCCATGCAAACTTTGGGATTTATGGAAGAACACTTAGTGGAAAACTGTGCACAACTTTAAGTTGACTAAGGACCTGGCTTACGCACATTTTGGACATAGAGAGCACCTGCAGTGCAGCTGCTGAGAAGGATAAAATCATGAAATCCTGCAGCATTATCACTTGTACTGCTTCGTTTTCACACAGAACAAGACCCCCCACGCGCACACATGTGTGCACACTCACACACACACACACACACACACACTCACACACACAGCCTGAAGCGCAGAATACGGAATGCAGATTATCAGCAGGGGGACAGATTGAGACAGAATGCCATGCGTCTAGTGTGTGTCCTGTCACTGTGACCCGATTAATCATGCGCCCTGGCTACTTGGTCAAGGGAGATCTCGGTTTCGGTGACTGGTTAGCGTGTGACTTCACCTGGGAGTCTGGGGATCAAATCCTGATTGGACCATTTTTTATATCCGCCACAGATCTCTCTGAAGAACTCAGCATTGACGGCTTCAGCAACGCTGTGCCACTTCGTGGATTTTCTCTTATTTGTTTTGCAAAAGCACTTCCTTTCATTTCTCCACCTCACCCACAAGTACCTCAACTTCTGCTTCTGTGAAATTGTGCTTCCTTGATCTGCCTTGATCTACGGTCGCCATCGTCATTGGCGGAGCGCTGCAACAGCCGGCTTATGTATATGCATGAGATCCACAAGGCACTTTGCATTGACTATTTATGGCAGTAAGTGGGCGTGGTGAGGGCGGGATGTGACTAAAATGCAGCTGAGAAACATTCTCGTTAGTCTCCGATTTATGAAGCGGAGATTGCGTGCAGCTGTGTGTACTCCATGTTTGATAGATCACAAACCTACTTGGCGTAAGTACATTTTTTTGCTGAGCTTAAGTACGGTTTTAGTAAGGATTCTACGCAATGCTTGATAAATGAGGCCCCTGCACATTTTAAAAACCACATTTTTTGGTATAATTTAGATATCATGCAGCCCTAATCAGGAATAAAGTACTATTTGCTACAAAACTCAGATGAGGCTCCTCTCTCAGCCTTCCTCAGACATCAGGCTCACCGGCATCTCCTTTCCCCCTCATCTGCCTCCAGTTGGAGTAGATGGACTCCTCGTAGTCTCCCAAGCCTTCAAACTCTGCATCAGGTGACTCTGAGGCCAAGAGTGCAGCATCCTCTGGTCCAAAAAAACCCTCAAAACATAATCAAACCCATTTTCATTTTAGCTGAACCTCTAATAAAATAATACAATTTTATTAGCCTTTCAGATTGATATTGATTCAATTGAATTGATTGATCAGTCTTACCTCATCGTCAATCTCTAAGTACATTTCTGCAAATGTCAACATCTGCTTCTGGGTGATGGTCTGGTTGTAGTGTTTCAGAGCCTCCTGGTAAAACAGATGGATCATCAGCACATAGAAAACAGAAAAATGGATGGTTTGTTGTTACAAAATATTCACATTTATACAGCATAAACCTGTTCATCAACTACATTCACACAATATTCAAACCAGCTCATTTAAAGGTACAATAAGTAAGATTTCTACAGTGAGATAATGACTAAACAGTCTAATATCTCAGTCAAATTGGAAGGAAAGTTAAATTCAAACAGATTTCTTTCTCAAAACGCTTATAGGTTGTGTTTTTTCTTTTCAAAAAGGCCAAAGATTGACGTGGCGCTGAGTTAACGATGCAGCGTCAGCATTTGTAATTCCACAACGTTAGGCAAAAATCTTCAGAGTTGTTAAAGAACCAAAGCCAGTAAAGAGGAGCGACCCAGAAGTTATTTCTTGTACCCTTAAGAAGCCACGGCATCTTTTTGTTTTACTCTTAATTTTGGGTGAAGAACGCTGGAGGCTAATGTTGAGCTAATAATGCTAATGGTGAATTAGAAGCAAATTGTTGGCTCCAAAAATATGTCAAGCTACTTTTTCAATTAATAAACAACTTGATTTTACAGTGAAATGCACTTTTTACTTATCAACTTACTGTGTATAACTTGTCTTCGTTTGTCATCTAGAATATTCTGGTGCTGAGTCGTAGCTGGCAACTGCCATGAAACTCACGGAACAGGAGTGAGAAAGTTATCCAGCTTTTCCACTGAATGCGTAAGCAGTGTTTAACATAATAGACGTGTTTTACCCGTGAGCACCTTTCCAATTGGAGCAGTTCAGATGAGAAACAAGAGCGAAAGCGTGCCACGCAGCTAGTCCTGTGAGGTCATGAAATCACAGGAGAATTGCAACATCACACGTGATTTCATAAATTTACATAATAAAAAGTAAGGAGAAAGATGACAACATGTATCAGAAGGTCTGTGGTTTATTTTCTGTTCTCTTTACCTCGGCTGCAGAGGTTCCCAAGAAATGACGTACGTTTTTCAAGCAAATGGAAATCTGCGTGTGGCTTTTATTTAGAAAATTTCTGGATGTTTTACAATGCTTTTGTGTTCGACTTCCGGTTTGACCCGATCTGAACTGCGGTGTATGACAAGTTCAGCAAGTGTATTGCATGAACTGTTAGCAACGCCTCCTTACGCTTCAGAATAAGAAGGGTTTATTGCCATATGTGCGAGATATCACCACATTAGAAATTGCTGCGGTACTGGGTTCAAAAACGAAAGATAAAAATACGAGATGAGCAAAAATAGGAAATAATAATATAATCTTGATAAAATAATAACAAAGTAGCAATAATTACAGAAACGACTGTTATATACAAGACAGTGTTGATCAGAGTGGATCAGTTCAGGTACAAACACAACACCTGGTCATGTGACTGAAGCCAAGCGACTGGAGTGGGCAGCCCTAGGATTGCCATTCATGAGTCCAACTGCAGAGGGGAAGAAACTATTCCTGTGGTGAGAAGTTCTGGTCTGAATGATCAGAACTTCCTGCCAGATGGGAACGAGTCAAAAAGACTGTGTCCAGGGTGACACGGGCCTGGCACACATCCAAAATGCAATGCTTTGTGGCCGGTGGAAAGGCACCCATTCACTATAATGGTGGCGAAGTACATTTCGTGGGTGTTACATGATGCAAACGCATCCAGTGTAGAGGAGGGGTCACTTGTTTGTTTTAAAAATGGACTCCAAAATTGGCTATGAGGTATCATTCATACATCATTCTTACATCGTGCACCTTTAAAAAGTTTGTGCCACCTTAGTTTGAAGGCAGACTGTCCAGCTAACCAACACCTTTCCTACAGGAGCAAAAATGCCTGAAGCTAGGTGGCTGGTTGCTGTTGTAGATCTGTCACTCTTTGTTAGATCCACTAGTAGAAGCAGAGTCTGACACCAGAAATGAATGAAAGTCAGACAAGTCTTCCCAATTGGAACAAGAATAAATCCTTTAAAACTAAAGTGTTTAAAGTTCTATGGGCTGTTGGGTCCATGCTTAATGGTTTTTTTTACCATCCTGGGTCTGAAGTGCTCAGGCTGAAGTCCCCACTGCTCGCGGTAAGCTTTATAATACATCAGGTTGTCCTTCATGACCGGGTCTTCTGGTTGGAACAGGGAGTAGCTGCATGCACAGGGAGCAGCTCTGCGGCCGTCGTTTACTGCTCAGAGGAGATGGGAATCACACAGACTTATATAACAGAGTTTCAGCTGGAATATCAGCTCCGCTGCAACTGAACTCACACTTGTAATAGGCATACTGGAGGTAGTGATAAATTGTGGCCACGAGGTTCTTCACAAAGTACCCACCAACATTTGGCATTAAGTTTTCCTCACACTTTAGTTTGCACTTTAATGTGTCGACATAGACTTCTGGTGAAAAAGAAAATGGAATAAATGAAATAAAATATGTCTGAAATGGTCTGATACATGCATAAAAACAACAAATCCCCTTTTTAGCTTTAACAAAAGCTTGATCCAAACACCAGTTCTAGCGTACCCTGGAGGCTTGCTTGTGTATTGATTAAATCCTAACCTGCTATGAGGACGTAGAAGTCCCTGTCTGATGAGACACAGCTGATGCCCTCACAGTCCACCTGACAGAGGTCGTACTCCTCCAAGTAGAGCCTCAGAGCCTCCTCAAGGAGCTCCACGCTGCTGCTGTAGTTGCCTGAGCTGATCAGTTTCACTCCTCTTACAAAGGACACCTGCAAAGAAAATATATTTTCACTGAAGAATGCAGTTAAAATGTGGACAAACTCATAATGTAGGTCACAAGATGTACATGTGTACGGCCCTAGCTTTGGTTTAGTTGGAGTTCATGTCAGATACTTTGTATTCTTGTCTTTTTGAAGATGACATTGTCAAGTTTGTGTCAAGTTAAAGGCTAATAATTTTATTTCTTCTCTGTTTAAATGGTTTTCAAAGAAAAAAAAAGAGTAAAAGCACTTCACACTATAGAAGCGATGTTAAGTGCATTTCACACCTCAGAAGGTCGCTGTTCTTGGTCGATGAGGTAGCCGCTCAGGTCATACTCGTTCTTGTACTCCTCCGTCAGCTGCTGCATCTCATGGTCCTCCGGGTTCTTCTGGAGGAAGGTGAAGGCACACGGGATGGCCCTCTGCAGGTCCTTCAGCTGGACACACACATGGTAAATGGCATGCATTTATATAGAACCTTCAGGGATTCTACAACCCCTCAAGGTGCTTTACAACTAACCAGTCATTCACCCACACACATTCACACAGGTGGTGATGAGCTACACTGTAGCCGCACCTGCCCTGGGGCTCACTGACAGAGGCGAGGCTTCAGTGTGGTGAAGAACACTGGACATGGGCTCTTTGGGTCATTCTATCAGATTAGATATCAAAGCTATTGTAAAATGAGCCAAGCGGATAGCCAAGCGGGGTGCAGCAGTGGCAGTTGCCGAGGCTAAATCTCGAGCGTGGGAGGAGTTTGGTGAGGCCATGGAGAAAGACTATCGATCGGCTCCAAAGAGGTTCTGGCAAACTGTCCGGCGCCTCAGGAGAGGAAGGCAGCAACTCGCTCACACTGTTTACAGTGGGGATGGGGAGCTGCTGACGTCAACTGGGGCTATAGTCGGACGGTGGAAGGAATACTTTGAGGAGCTCCTCAATCCCACCTACGCGCATTCCGAGGAGGAACCAGAGCCGGGAGACTTGGGGATGGACTGTCCGATCTCGGGGGCAGAAGTTGCAGAGGTAGTCAAACAACTACACAGCAGCGGAGCCCCGGGGGCGGATGAGGTTCGTCCTGAGTATCTCAAGGCTATGGATGTTGTAGGGCTGTCATGGTTGACACGTCTCTGCAACATTGCGGGGTCATCGGGGGCAGTTCCTGTGGAGTGGCAGACCAGGGTGGTGGTCCCCATCTTTAAAGAGCAAGTCACCCCTAACAAGAAGCGTACTTCACTCCCACTTCATGTTTGAAAAATGCAACAAATACTGTTGCCTAGCAGACCGAGAGGGTGGAGCCACTAACAAATACACACACTCACGACATTGCGACATCATAATGTACCAGTTTACATCATAGCATACCTCTTAGCCAATAGCGGTGGCAGATTTAAATTCAAATGGAGTGAAGAGTTTTTACCTGACAACGGCACAACACTGACAGTTTCAGGCAGAAAATTTAAATTTTAACTAAAATGCACTAAAGTGCAAAACTATTGACTACACGTGTCTGCAGCACGATTAGACACACATTTATATAGTTTATCAGAAAAAAATAGTTGATTTGGGGGTGACTTGCTCTTTAAGAAGGGTGACCTGAGGGTGTGTTCCAACTATAGGGGGATCACACTCCTCAGCCTCCCTGGAAAGGTCTACTCCAAGGTACTGGAGAGGAGGGTCCGATCGATAGTTGAATCTCAGATTGAGGAGGAGCAATGTGGTTTTCGTCCTGGCCGTGGAACTGTGGACCAGCTCTATACCCTTGCAAGGGTGATGGAGGGGGCATGGGAGTTTGCCCAACCAATCCACATGTGTTTTGTGGATTTGGAGAAGGCTTATGACCATGTCCCCAGGGGCACCCTCTGGAGGACTCTCCAGGAGTATGGGGTGGGTGGCTTTCTGTTAAGGGCCATTCAATTCCTTTACCACAGGAGCGTGAGTTTGGTCCGCATAGCTGGTAGTAAGTCGGACCTGTTCCCAGTGAGGGTTGGACTCCGCCAGGGCTGCCCTTTGTCACCGGTTCTGTTCATTACATTTATGGACAGAATTTCTAGGTGCAGCCGTGGTGTGGAGTGTGTCGAGTTTGGTGGCAGGAGAATCTCGTCTCTGCTTTTTGCAGATGATGTGGTCCTCCCTAGCTTCATCCAGCTCGGACCTTCAGCTCTTGGTGGGTAGGTTTGTGGCCAAGTGTGAAGCGGCTGGGATGAGGATCAGCACCTCCAAATCTGAAACCATGGTTCTCGACCGGAATGATAAATGATAAATGACCCGCACTTGTATAGCGCCTCTCAGAGTAAGGACTCCAAAGCGCTTTACACTACAGTTTATCATTCATCCATTCACACACACATTCACACACTGGTGGGGATGAGCTACGATGTAGCCACAGCTGCCCTGGGGCGCACTGACAGAGGCGGTCCCTCCGACCACCACCAGAAGACAAGGTGGGTTAAGTGTCTTGCCCAAGGACACAACAGCAGAAGTCTCCGTCCGGAGCCAGGATCGAACCTGCAACCTTCCAATTACTGGACAACCCGCTCAACCTGTTGAGCTACTGCTGGCCCAAAAGGGTGGCTTGCCAACTCCGGGTTGGGGGAGAGGTCTGTCGTGGTGAAGAGGGAGCTGAGCCAGAAAGCCAGGCTCTCGAGTTACCGGTCGATCTACGTCCCAATCCTCACCTATGGTCATGAGCTTTGGGTAATGACCGAAAGAACAAGATCGCGGATACAAGCGGCCGAAATGAGTTTCCTCCGTAGGGTGGCCGGACTCATCCTTAGAGATAGGGTGAGGAGCTCGGACATTCGGGAGGGACTCGGAGTAGAACCGCTGCTCCTCTGGATCGAAAGGAGTCAGTTGAGGTGGTTTGGGCATCTGGTCAGAATGCCTCCTGGACACCTCCCCGGGGAGGTGTTTCGGGCATGTCCTGCCGGCAGGAGGCCCCCGGGTCGACCCAGGACACGTTGGAGAGGTTACATCTCCAGTCTGGTCTGGGAACGCTTTGGGGTCCTGCTGGAGGAGCTGGTGGAGAAGGCCGGGGAGAGAACGGTCTGGTGCTCCCTAGTTGGGATGCTGCCCCCGCGACCCAGACCCAGATAAGTGGAGGAAGACGATGACGATTGTAAATGAGAATTTCAGGCCTCCTATAGGTGCTTAAAGTCCTTGAAAATGGCTTTGAAAGTGCTTGAATCTAACTAGACTTTTGTAGCACAGTGACATTCCTTTCTGTAGGACAACTAGGTTGATGTGCTTTGAGCGTACATGTTCATGTGTAAATCGTCACCGTTGTAAGAGACTAGGAAATCTTAAACCAGGGGTATTCAATCCTGGTCCTGGAGGGATGGTATCCAGCACGTTTTAGTTGTTCCTCTGCTCCAACACACTTGATTCAGTGGTTGAATCACTCGCAGACTGTTATCCATCTTTTGTGAATTTGTTGTGCTGAACACAGCCTGTGCTCTGATTCCTGTTAGAGCTTGAATTAATAGTATAAATCATCAGAAAGTGTGTTGGTTATAACATACTTTAACAAAAAAAAAAAAAAAACTCTGTGGGACATTTAGCCTTTTCCCATTTGAGCATCATTAATAAAATGTAAAGAGGGCTTGTCAGAGGACATGATACAACCACACTAAATACAGTGGTTCTGGGGATCTTCAGGGGGAACCTGACCCACCTTTGAGTGAGCAAAGTGCAGATATCCGTATGGAGACCTCCTGCTGAACTCCTCCAGGATCTCTCTGGTGGGAGGAGGTAGCTGCAGAGCAGGGATCTGCGCCCTGCACCTCCTCTGACAGGAGGCTGCCCTCAGGAGGTGCCAGTAGACCTGCTGATCCGGAGCTGCAGTGAAAATTGGCTCCGTGTGTTTGCTGCTGCAGAGATTCGAGCAGTAGCTCACCGAGTCTCTGAGAAGACGGCGCAAACGCAAACTTAACTCTAAGAACCGGATCGATCCCGTCCAGTTCCCAGCTGCGTAATGGTCCAGCGCCAGTCCGTAGGCGGCGGTGAGAGGCATCAGGTCCTCTTTGGGGAAATCCTTAAAACTGTAGTCCTCATATTGTGCAGATGGTGTCTTTAGAAATGATGCAAAGAAGAACAGTGACACCAAATGTCCTTTTGCGCAAAATGGAACCATGATAGGAGACCATCCCCGCGTTCCAGACCCCTGCCTTTTGTGTGGTTGTCTGCTAGACAGCTCAGGGTCTGTGGGAATTCCGGGATTTGGTCTTTGTGAAGCTGCTGGCTCGAGTTACCCAGAACAGTCCCACAGACATGCGTAATGGGACAAATTACGCGTCTGCAGCGTTTTATTTTTGCGTTTATGAGCAGGATCTCTTCGGTTCAGGGCCTGGACCTACTGGTTGCACGTATGTGATATTTTCAGATTGTGTTGAATCATACACTGCTGTTTACTGCTGACTCCACACAGACGACAGAAGTGGAGCTGCAGAAGGAAACATGCACTAACGGAAAAAAAAAAACTTAAACTACTTTACGGCTCTGGGGTTTCAGTGGCGAATCTGCAGCTGGAGTCACTCAGTATAAAGGCGCCACTGATTTCAAAATAAAATTACCACTTCAGCTTCACGTTTGCAGATCAAACTCAGATCTAACCAAGACCCAACCAGATTAAATCGACGTGATAACTTTTCTTTAATTCTAAGCCAGTTTATAAAATATTTCCCCCTTCATCTTTTATTTTTTAAGGAAGTTGTGTCCCCTATTTTTCCTTAATATGGGAAGTTTGACAAAGGCTCTTCCCACTCCTGCCAACATTCCTCCCACTCTGGTAAACCTCGGCTCCTCAGACCTGGAGTTTGTCCACGTTTACAGCCTCAGCCCCACATCCGCAGCGCAAACAGCGCACACCACGCAGGCCTTCGCATTAACGCTCCAGAAGTGTGTTAGTGGCCCCTTTTTAATTTATTTACGTCTACCGAGTTCACCGACTTCCTCGTGTCAAAATGTTTGTCCACTGCGTGGTGTTTGCTTCGCTCTTCGCTTGTTTTTCCGTGAAGTGCAACCCCAGTCCGGTGTTAGGAGATGTCGTCGTGGACAGATACTACATCCCTCAGAACTGCGCACGAGAAGTAAAAAGCGGAGATTATGTTCGGTACCACTATAACGCATCGTTTCTGGATGGGAAAGCGCTCGATTCAAGGTGAGTTGTAGGAAAATGTAAATCATTGCTTAAAGGCTTAGTTGCAGAGGTCTGCTGCAAGTTGTTGCAAAGGATATAGAAATATATAATTTCTGTTGGTCAGAATAAAATTGCAGACTCCACCGCTGGTTGTCTGCATCAGGCCCTGCAGAATCAGATGTTGACCCACTTTTCTGTCTCCTCCAGCCATCAGAGAGGAGCCGCTAAGGTGGGCCTGATTGGGGAGGGCCGCCTCATCGCTGGGGTGGATAAAGGCCTGCAGGGGATGTGCGTGAATGAACGCAGGAAAATCACTGTCCCGCCACACCTGGCTTACGGAGACACCGGCGCAGGTAGACGTCTACGACATGTTTACAGCATCTCAATTTATGTGTGAGGGTATAAACTAAAATATAATTTAACGAGCCTTTGATGCATTTTGTCTGCAATAATCAGATGGAACTGGTTATCTCCCTGTCAGGGGAAACTTTAATGAGTGGGTAAGTACAGTGGGATGTGCACGTTTGGGCAGCCTTGTTAATCTTCATGATTTCCTGTGTAAATTGTTGGTTGTTATGATAAAAAAATCAGTTAAATATATCATATAGGAGGTGCACTCAGTAATGTTTGAGAAGTTGAACTGAGTTTATAAATTTACAGAAAGTGCAATACTGTAATTATTTAAACAAAATTAGACAGGTGCATAATTGTAGGCACCACAAAAGATAAATGAACTCAATATTTAGTAGATCTTCCTTTTGCAGATGAGATGGACATTCCAGAATGTTCTACTCGTTCCTCTGCATGAACGCCTTAGTAGATTTTTGGCAGTGTTTAGGGTTGTTGTCTTGTTGAGAGAACCAGCCTCGGTGCAGCTTCAGCTTTTCACCGATTCCTGGACATTGGTCTCCAGAATCTGCTGATATTGAGAGGAATCCATGTGTCCCTCAGCTTTAACAAGATTCCCAGTCCCTGCACTGGCCACACAGCCCCACAGCATGATGGAGCCACCACCATGTTTTACTGTAGGTAGCAGGTGTTTTTCTTGGAATGCTGTTATTTCTCCTCCATGCATAACAACCCTTGTTACACCCAAATAACTCAGTTCTAGTTCCATCAGTCCACAGCACCTTATTCCACCTTATTGTTTTGAGACCCCATGTTGCTGCTCGTCAGAGAATATTCAAAGAGGAGGAAAACTTACAACTGCCCAATTAAATAATCTTTCTGGATTCACCTGCGTATGGAGGTCAAGGGTCACTGAGCTTACCAAATCTTTTTTAAGTTCCCAATTAGTTCTAAAGGTTTTGACATCAATAAAATGTCAACAGTGGCCAAATTTATGCACCTGCCTTATTTTTATTTAAAAATTATTTTTACTTTCTGTAAATCCTATAAACTTTGTTTCGCTTCACAAATATGACTGTGTGTGTCTCCTATATGAGATATTTAACTAACGTTTTGTATTGTAACAACCAACCATTTACACAGGCAAAGCATGAAGATTATCAAGGCTGCTCAAACTTTTGCATCCCACTGTATCCCAGATGTCACCCCATTATGGTGATCATTTGTTATGATTATCTGGGGTGCAGATCTTTCATGACTTCCAAGACTGACCTTCTTGGTGGCTTAGTGGTAGAGTGTCCGCCCTGGGACTGGGAGACTGGGGTTCCAATTGTGTCATTCATTCATCTGTTTATTTATAAAACACCTTCTACGACCTTATCAGCAGACCAAGGTGTTGAACACACGCATAAAACTCACAATAAGAATATAATCTATATAATGCTATGTATCATTAAAAGGAAGATAAAAATAAAAAAACAATCATAAAAACATAAGAATTTTGAATAAAATCAGGAAAATAACATAGAGATGTAAAACCAGCTAAAAAACTATAAAAGATCAAGGCAGTGTTGGTGATTCCAAATCACAAAAAAATGAGTCTTCAGACAAGACTTAAAAACCAGAAGCGATGGCGCCTACCTAACACTCAAAGGTAACTCGTTCCAGAGCGCTGGAGCCAGAACCGAGAACACACAATCCCCCTCGATCTGTATTTGGAGCGGGGGACCACCAACAGCTGAACAAAGAGACCGAAATGGGACATGTCTGTGCAGTAGTGCTGACAGATAGAAGGGAGCAGTGCCTTGAAGAGCCCTGTACACAAGTAGCATGATCTTAAATTTTGCTCTGTACTGCAGTTAGTGATGCCAGCACCAGAGTGATGTGTTCCCGGCGTCTAGTGCCTGTCAGAAATCTCGCAGCCCAGCTCTGGATGAGCTGCGGCCTTGCAACTGTGCCTTGACTCAAGCTGGCATACAAGGCATTGCAGTAGTCCAGCTGGGACTGGACAAACGCATGGATAACAGACTCCAGGAAGCCATCAAGACCTAACATCTGTTAAACAGTCCAACAGTGAAGAGAGATCCACCATCCTCCCACCGGAGTGCATGATATATCTGGCAATTATTGGTTTAAATATGGAATTTGACACCATGCTGATGAAGTAGAAGCCCCTGGAGATATACTACAAACAGAAGGGGACTGAGAACACAGCCCTGTGGCACGCCCAAGCCGATTCCCACCCAAGGAGATGAGGCTTCCCCCATCCTAACACAGAAGCTCCTGCCCTGAAAGTTGGAGTGAAGCCATTGACAGGTCATACCAAAGACTTTAAAAATGGGACCTAATGCCACCCTGATTGACATTCAGCTTTAAGGAGTTGGATTGAGGGGTCAAACCACCAAAAAGTTCCCAAGCGCAGCCACTGCTTCAGCTCACCGCTCCTCATGGGGATGAGTTAAATGCGGAGATGTAATTTCACCAGTGTGTGATGATGACTATGGGAGAGATCCAATATGAGGCAGGGTACCAGTTCTTAGTCAGTATAAAAATCCAGTTCTTCTTATGCTGTACATGATTCTTCAAACTGCAGCTGGACCCATTGTGGTTAGCTGTTAGCTCATACATTTGATCAGAACTAATCTGTATTTCTCCTAACTTTGAAAGAGCTCTCTACAACAGGTAAGATACTAACTGTTCACAATGTTTTTCCTCTTCAAAAACACCTGAATTATCACGTTAATGTTTAGAAGTTAAATTCTTATTGGAGCATTTGGCCTCAGTCCATCTGAAATACACCCAAGGGAGCGGAGCTCTTCACATTTCTTTTGTGACTTGTCCAGTGATGTTTTTAGGGATGTTCTCAAGCTAATGCAATGATTTCTGAGCTGTAGGCTGCTCAACCCCCCAAAGTCACTTCTTCATGTTCTGTAGTTGTTCAAATATGTGTTTATTCTACAGTTCAGTTGCAACTTTATGTGACTGTGACATGAAAAACACTAAGAACTAAAACATATCATTGCTGCATTTAAAGTGGCGGACATTTAAATCTGTGACTCACCAGTTCAATTGAAAATCGATCGATCCAAACTTCCTTCCACTACGTTCTCAGGTGATGCCGTTCCTCCTGAGACCACGCTTGTGTTTGACATCCACCTCCTGGACCTGTGGAACAAGGCTGACCTGGTCCTCACCAGAACCATCAGCACTCCCAAAGAATGCAAGCGCTCGGTGATGCGCACCGATTTTGTGCGTTACCACTTTAACGGCACTCTGCTCGATGGCACCACCTTTGACTCCAGGTGAGCTCTGGCTCAGACCAGTGCTCTGGACTGATGATGATTGTGTCCCCAACATTTAAATAGATCTACTTTTGGTGAACCTCTGACGGCCCGTGTATGTCTGCACTGTTTCGTCCAGGTGTGTTTGTGTGAAGTTGTGTGTCTTGATTTTGAGCTTGTGTGAGCCCCGCGCAGCTACATCAGGAAGCAGACCCAGAACTCTCTGGTGGGCGAGGGCTGGCTGATCAAGGGCATGGACGAGGGTCTGCTGGGCATGTGTGTGGGAGAGATCCGACACATCGTCATCCCTCCCTTCAAAGCATACGGAGAAAAGGGATCAGGTGAGAACAAGTGACCAAGATGAGAAATAATGCTGGGATTCATGCAAATGACCAAAGTACTGATGGAAAAGTGCAATATTAGTCCAGGTTTGTGCCTTTTTGTCGTTTCTCTGACATAAAACTTGATGATCAGGTCAATGTGTTTGTCCCAATCAAATAACAGTTTTAGGGAAAGTCAGCAAGCTGAGGCAGTTGACTATTAAATAATACAGTCCCAATCAAAAGTTTAAGACCACTTGGCTAATGCCCAAAATCTTATGTTGCATGGTTGTACCTTCACAAGGTATGAAGTAGAGCTTCAACATGCAACGAGAAGAAATGGGAGGGAGACGAAACATTTTCCGAGCAGCAGTTTATTGAAAATAACGCTTAAACGGAAACAGACTGTTTAACAGCTGATCAAAAGTTTAAGACCACACGCCTTAAAAAGGCCAAGTCTGTGCAAAAATGTGGATTTGTTGACATTTTCTGTCAGGTAGTGAACTTCAGGGAAAACATTCCTAGATTACACAAAGGTACTCCAGGGCGGCTCTGGTACTTCTTAGCCTCATGTTGTTCTGATTGAAGATATGAATAAATCAATTAAATGTCCTTTCTGTCTGACAGGGACAGAGATCCCCCCCCAGGCGACTCTGGTCTTCGATGTCCTGTTGGAGGACATCCACAACCCAAAGGACAACATCACCATAGAGAACCAGGTGGTGCCTGAGCCATGCACTCGCAGATCTGTGGTGGGAGATTATATTCGGTATCATTACAACGGAACCTTCCTGAACGGCGTGACCTTCGACACAAGGTGAGGGCTGGTTAGATCAAATATGGACTTCAATTCAAAGTAATGTACGGTTTGTTGTAAATCTGTGGTGATCTGCTGACGCCAGCTACCAGAGGAACAGCACCTACAACACCTACATCGGGATGGGGTATGTGATCCCGGGTGTGGACCAGGCCCTGCTGGGAGTCTGCTTTGGGGAGCGGAGGAGAGTCACCGTTCCTCCACATCTGGCTTATGGAGAACAAGGGGCTGGTAGGTTATAATCATGGCACAGAGCCAAAACAGAAGCACTTTAGTTAAAAAACAAACTGGCTTAACTGTAATAATCTTACCTCTATTCAGGTGATGTGATCCCCCCATCAGCCGTTCTAGTCTTTGACATCCATGTCATCGACTTCCACAACCCCAACGACAAGGTGGAGATCCAGGTGACCTACAAACCGGAGGTGTGTAACAACACCACAGCCGTGAACGACCTGGTCCACTACAACTACAACTGTACTCTGGTGGACGGGACGCTGCTCTTTTCCTCGTGAGTAAACGTCTAACTCCCATTAGCACTTTTAACACCTGAACTTGGCGTGGCACCTCCTTTCATCCTCAGACACGACTACGAGAACATTCAGGATGCGGTTCTGGGGGCAGACAAGGTGATCGACGGGCTGGACGAGGGTCTGAGGGGCATGTGTGTGGGAGAGAAGAGGCTGGTTACAGTGCCGCCACACTTTGGGCATGGAGAAAGAGGAGGTGAGGTTTCAGTAGTAAAACACACGTGTTTAGACTAAAGCCAAACAGATCAAATAAACAAAAGGTTAAATAAAATAAAAAGCTTTCCGTCCATCTGCTAGGGGCTGGCGTTCCAAGCAGTGCTGTACTGGTCTTCGACATCGAACTGGTGAGCTTTGAGAAAGGCGTGCCGCCCGGTTACATGTTCGTGTGGCTCGAGGACTCCCCTGCAGATCTGTTCAATGCTCTGGATGCAAACAAGAACGGAGAGGTGCCACAGGAGGAGGTAGGATAAAAATCTACATTCCTACAGATACAACACTTAAATACTAAATGTTGGATTGGAAAGTAAAATGCGTCTGTTTTTCTTTTGCTTATTTATCTAACACAATAACTGATTTGTAGAAATGAATGGAGTTTAAAATGTTATCGTTGGCTCAACCTCCTGGCCTTCATTAGATACAGCACTATTATATTCCAGGTCACAGTCCGCACGCACGCACGCACGCACGCACACACACACACACACACACACACACACACACACACACACACACACACACACACACACACACACACACACCTTTCTATCACAAGCTGTTTTTACAGGACCATAGCGTTTTCAAACCGGGATTTGCCGCGGCACCCTGGGGGGGGGGCAGTTTGTTGCAGTCAGTGTTATTAACTGAAAACTATTAAATAATTACTTGTCTTCACAATCACATTTTCTTTATTTTTGGTCTCTCCATTTGTGCTTCCATTTCTGATACATGTTCGTGTTGATACAGCAACGTCTTGTACAAAAAATCCCAAATAAAACTTGTAAAAAGTTTGAAAACTGTGGGAAAAAAAAATTTAAAACGTAGAATCAAACTGAAATAAACCCGTCTGCAGCTCATCAAGCTTGTCTAAACCCTCCTGCTCACAATCAACAAGCTGCACACAATGAGCTAAGGTTATCTAGCTAAAGCTGGCAACAAAATATCATCGTTGGCTTATTTTGGTACGAAGCGGTTAGCTAACGCTTCGCAATGCAAGAAAATGATGACATTTCATCAACTTACCGGAGAAAATCCTTCCGAAACACCGAACGTGAACTGCAGTCAATGCAGAGGTGAGATGTCCAAACATCAGAAAGTGAGACTCTGAATCCTGCTGTCTGAATCTCAGCTCTGATCTGGCTCACTTCCAGTTCCTCAAACAGGGTTTCCTACTAGAGACCACTGCAAATGTATAAAACGAGTAAAAGTGATCTTTATACTAACTGCTGGTATTTAAATGACATGAGTAACATCTGATGTCATGATTGTTACTGGGAACTACTGGCTAACGGGTTTTATCTCTGTCTCTTGGACTTCAGTTTGGAGATTTCATCAAGCTGCAGGTTGCAGAGGGAAAAGGCCGGATAAAACCTGGACTGACCATGGAACAGGTAGTGACCGAGATGTTCAAAAACCAGGACCGCAATAAAGACGGAGTGATCAAAGCCGAGGAGCTCAAACTGAAAGTGGAGGAAGACAAAGAGCGGGAACATACGAGGCATGAGGAGTTGTGAGGGGGGGAAGAAAAGGTTTTCTCAGGGATAAACCTCCAAACTCCTTAAAGAACAACACAAAGCAACAGTTTCTATCCATCATCATCAGTTTATTATTGGACAGTTTTGTGAAATTACCAGAAGACGGTAAAAAAAACAAAAAAAGTTTGTGTTACTGAAACAAGTGTGTGAGACAAGCACCTTTATGTGTCCCTGAAAGCTGTAATAAATTTGAGTGTTTGTAAGAAAATAAACAGTTGTTCCAAATGGTCACCTGCACCTTTACCTGCCTGTCTACAATCCACCTCTGAGGTCGAGGGGGGATTTTACACAAAACCACAAACATCTGAATCTACATGGCAACTTCATCAGTGAGGAGCTTAGCTGTAAGAAACACTAATGTGCTTCAGCTTTGTATGTGTGTGTGTATCACACACTTGAGCTTGAAGACGGATCACCAGGAACCTGGAGACTCGTATAGAGTATGTTTACGGAACATCAGGTATGTACAGTTTAAACACAATTTACAAAAACAGCACGTTAATAATTTAGCAGCACAGACATTCACAAAGTGCTACACATTAGATTAGGTCTAAAAGCAGCAGATTTTTATGAAGTTCACATGAAATGTTGATTTTAAATCAAAACAGGCTTGCTTGTCTAAAAGACAATGCCCTTCACTGAACTGTGTTAAGCTGCTGCCCTTCAGGAGAAGAGTTGTCCATCTGCAGTAAGTTCTGCTGATGCTTTGGTTTAAAGATCAAAAGTGAAAGTGGCGTGTGATTTTTCTGGTGTCTCATATTTGTAACAATTGTCCTCAAGTGTCCACTTTCTTTCTGTGCGTCTTACTAGTTCCTGATGAGATGATGTGTCTGAGGATGGCGTTAGGAACGTCCATCGTCTCGTCTTTTACTAGCACGATGTCAAACGAGTTCAAGTAGGACTCCCTCCTCTCCTCCACCTGAGAAACAACCGACAATGAGCTCAGGTTTTCTAAGCTGCCTGGTTCTGACACAAGGAAACTGTTCGTTAACGTCACCTGGTCATTAAGGAACCCAACGGTCAGGATGTTCCGGGGATCAGAGACGCCATCAGACATGCGTAGGTCTCCCAGAGTGTCTCCCAGCAGCAGCACGTTGTTTCGATCCTGCAGCTCTCCGAGGCCAGCGGCGTGTGACAGAGCACCTTCCCGCTTGTTGTAGGTGTGGATCAGCTGGCCTTTGAAGGCTTGCAGGAGCCCCTTAATAACAGGACAACATGAAGTTGTCGGGTCAAAAACAAGATCTGCACATTTAAACTGAAGAAGCACGAGCTTCACCCGTTAGAGGAAATGAGAAGAGAAGAGGAAATGAGAAGAGAAGAAGGGCCAAACTCACAGTGTGGTCAAAGTCCATGTAGTTAGAGATGATATGGATGTTGGGATGGAAGACGTGGTTCTGTCTGATCACCTCCTCCAGAATGTCGCCGACACCACCTGAGAAGATCAACAGAGGGACCTGGTGCTCAGCCAGATGGTCGAAAAAGCCCCTGTAGCCGTCCCTGGAGACAGAAACAACAGCGTGAGCTACGATATTCAAACGCACAAAAGAAAGGACAGAAGTGTGTCCTCATTTTGATTCAGTCTGTGAATTTGGTTAATAAATGTTTATTGATGTCACGACAAGCTGCTTTAATCTGTGATGTTTAAGTCTAGAGTGGCTCGTGTGTGTGGGTGAACGAAGAAGGGACATCTGACTTTAGAGCACCTGAGCATGGAGCGGGACTCCTTCACAGCGTGGGCCAGCATGTCCTTCCTGATCCTTTGCTGAATCAGCAGCTCGTGGACTTTAGTCCACCTGTAGGACACAGGTTTCAGATCAGCCATCCTCATCTTCAGCTTTGCTTGGCACACATCAACAAATCAGACATTTTAATTATGTAAATAACCATTCAGGTCCCTTTTTCTGTTTAACCATGTTAGTTGGATTTAAGTTAAATAAACATAAAAGCAGGAGTTCAGTTACCACTCCACCATGAGAGGCAGCTTCTCCTCTGTACTGAGATGAGCATCAATTTCAATGGGATAATATTTGTTAAACAGCTCCTTCATCTGCAGCAGAGCGGTAAACAAAAGTAAAGGCAAACATTGTGTGGTTAACATTTTTAATGCATAGGTAGATATAAAGTTAGGGCAACAGCAAATGTACCTTTATTGTGCCGTCTTCATTCATCAACAACCTGTTATTCAGGATGTCTGAAACAGCAAACAGAAGGATTTAAACTCTGATGAACCTCTAATCATATTTCTTTGATTTTCTAAATTTTTATATTTTATTTTCAACACATTCAATTTCAGAAAAGGATGATTGAAGGGAAGCTGGTTCGAAATGAAAGAAAAAAACCTAAATAAAACACAAAAACCCAAAACATGTTATGTGTGATTATTCAAAAGAAAACATTTGATACTCTGGATAGTGTTACTAACTTCTTATTTATCATCTACAAGGAGAAGCAGTGCCACTGCTGCACATTTTAAAGACCCACTCCAATGAAAATCATGTTTTTTCAGGCATTTTCCTCATGCTGCAGGACACATCTAAAGAAATTTAAACTCAAAATTGTACTTCTGAGTATTTCTGCATTAAAACCTCTGTGAATCAGCAGCAGATAAAAAAATGCAGCCTAGCTGACTGAGCTTGTGATGTCACAAACCTATTGGGTGGAGCACAAACTCCACTGTGCTCCTCAGGTTCTGATGAGTGTTGTCAACATTCAAACGGATAACTCAACTAGTGAGACACCTGACTCAGATGCAGTGAACCGGAGTTCAAATTTAAGTTGGCACATAAGACATTTTGGCTCCTTGTCAAAGTTTTTTTTAACAGTAATACAAGATGCACAAATTTTTATTAATAAATGTCCAAATGAGAGACGCCAAAAGATGTGGAAATCACGGCCAGAAAAACGTCTTTGTGGAACCCAGAGGCGAATCATTAACGAACTCCTGCCTCTATATAGAAACCAAGTACTTGAAACGGCAGCACAGGTTATGTAATTTTGGCTAAAAACTGAATAATCATAGTTTAAAGACCACTGAGAACTATTTTAAAATAGCTAAAAAAGATGATTAATTTACCCGCATGTTTTCTATTTTATATTGTGTTCTATGTTTTCTCTTCTTTTAGGCTTGCAATGTGCTTTAATGTGAGACTATTTTATATTCATACACCTTAGGGGTTGTCACAGAAACAATTCTGTTTTCACTTGTCACAATAATACAGAATGAGGAACAGAAGCCCTAAAAAAAAAAGACACACAGTGTCAGGAATAAGGTGCTTGATCATGATACGATGACCTTTGAACTTACTGTGGGTGGTGGGAACTCTTTTCCCATCATGAGCAAATCTGGTAAGTGTCATGTCAAAGTCTGAGATGACCTGTGGAAGCAGAAGGAATGAACAACAATGGAAGGCTATCCCAAGCTCTGATGAAGTCAAATGCATTGTTCAGGACAAACAGTTATGCATTTTAGTCCCATGAGGAACATCTTTACTGGTTTTGAAGCTCTGACCTGCAGGCTGCACGCTCCTGCTCTCTGCATGTGAGAGATGGTTTCCTCCACTCTGCTGCGTTCTCTCATCATCACAGAGGCCTTGGTCAGCTCTGGGATCTGAGCAGAGAAACGTCCAACTAAACTACAGCCTTACAATGCATAAAGGCATGGTTCCGTTGGTGAGAATCCAGCACATGGCCAGTGTCTCCAGGCCACAGCAGGTTTCTGGAATAATAAAACCTTCAGTAGAGTCCGAGTTGAGAAGCTTCTCACCTCGGTTTTAGACAGCTGGTTCCGGATCGTCAGAACACTCCGCACAGATGTGTAGATCCAGGGAATTTGGTAAATCTGTAAATAGACAGTGGGAATGTTTCATGTGTATCTCAAATATCAGCATATACATATTCATAACAGCTGAACACTTTCAACAGGCACAAGTTAGGTCATCTCAAGTTAGGTTAGTAGCAAAAACAAAACAAAAAACTACCCTACATTTGAATAAAGACATGTCACCCAGCCTCACTACAACTTCTAATTCAGCTCGTTGTGGAAGATGGCTGCTAAAAGTGAGCCAGGATCCGGTTTCTTCCTGTTTAAAGGGTGTTTTCCTCTCCACTGTCGCTACATACTTGCTGAAGATTGCTGTGATCTGCTGGGTTCCTTATATAGGAAACCTTTTACTAAATGGCTATATAAATAATATTAATTGAATTATCGTCACTCACCATTTTTTACCGGACACGCCACGCGCCAGTTCCGAGCTCCCCGCTATCCTAAACAGTCGTTAAACGTTAATTCATCGCGTTAATGACATCATGTATAGAGTTGTTGTTGGGGGGAATAAGCCAAACATAACAATTTCCGTTGCAGACTGTTTACTTCCGGGTGTGTTACACCTCTAAATCCCCTCCTCCCACAAACTACTGAATATTAGTTCCTAGTACACGGGGAGGATTTACTGAAATCGTTCCTGTTGTAGCAGAACTAAAACTAGTTTCAAGTTACCAGATTGTATATTCTCCTTATTTTGTCAATAGCCCTCAGTTACACAACGGTCTACTCCGTTTCATCAAATGCTCTTTCAAGAAAAAAGTGCATTCAACACATTAATCTCAAATTTGAAAAAGAAAAAAAAGTTTTAAACCATTTAATTTATTTAAGTGACCTTTTGTTTAACATGTATTGTTTTGGCATCTTATAGCAGTTTAATCCCCTTTTGTGGTTTTCAACAACCGTTGATATTCAAACTTCTTTTTGAAAATAAAGCAGCAGCAACATCTTTATTTTTTTAATGATTTATTTACTTAATATTTATTTATTCAAATTTACTACTAATGTGGATGGATGGTTTGTGTGAACAAGAATGTTTTGTTAAAGTAGGGGGACCTCTCTCGGGGGGTCCCAGAGGGGGCCTTGGCCATCCCTTGGGTCACCACTGGGAGTGGGAAGCATGTTCTTCTTTACATCTACAATGAATGTTGGAATGATAACATCACTAACTCCAATTAAAAACGATCCCAAACACTACTGTTTACTAAACTAGAGACAAGGAAGCAAAGAAACCTAAAATGAACTGTGGTGTAATTTCTTCTTCATTAGACAGCCTAAACCCCCTCTGATGGACTTCACAGAGACAGCTTGTTTAAACTCAGGAATGTTTTTATTACTGCAGAATTACAGTCCGAGTATTGAAGCATAACCTGTTAGGAGACTCATCCTCCTCGCTGATGTTTATGTCTAAACAAGTGCACACACATTGGGGATGTGTTTGCTCGCACAATGCCTACATCAGCTGATCCTTAAAAAAAATCAGATTTTTTTGTGTGTACAAAATAAAATTTGTATATCAGTCAGCACAATATTTATATAAATTTCACAGCTGCAAAAGAAAGACAAAGACAAAGGATTCAGGTCAAACTTCCTAAACCTGAAACTGTTAGATATCGTACAAGGAAAAGTAGGAATGTAGTTTACAAAAATAACTTCTTGTTGCAGCATTTGAACAACTTTCAAACACAATATTTTGTTCAATTGAACTATTTAGGTACAAATAATAATAATAATAATAATAATACACATCTCAAAGCTAAATCAGCTTCAAATGTTAAAAAGTAAAAGCAAAAAAAAAAGACAAGACAAACAAGATTCTTACATGAAAACTAGGAAGGGAGCAAAAATATTTAAACCTTTCTTTTCAGTTGGTTGAGTATTTTGGCACTGCCCTGAAACACAATGCAAGTGCAGCAATATTTTAAGTTGTATTTTTATCTCAACACTGAAATTAAGACGAAAAATATTCCAGAAAACAAATAGCGATGGTTAAAAAAAAGAAAAATTATATTTTTCTCTTAAAAAATCAAGATGTGCTTTTTATATCACAGTAACTATTATTAGTTTAATTTACTACAGGTTAAAAGTTAACTAAAAAGTCTAGAATCATGTGAAAGAGATCACCGATTTGCCAGATAATCAAACGATTCTTTTTCTACATAATCAGCCTTCATTCCTTCCATTAAAGCCAGCTGCAGATAAACTGGTAAAGGCGTTAAAATCAGACAGATTTATCGATACAGAAAGTTGTTTATTTGCAGATTAAGTTCAGCTAAACAACAGAATCTTTGATCCTCACTTCAGCATTCGATCTGTGATTGCAGCTGTCTCCGCAGGGTGAGGGTGCGTCGATGGAGCTGCTGCATCTGCTGCATGCGATCTCGTTGGCGAGCCAGGTTCTGTGGCATGGGGTAGCGAGCTTGGCCGCAGAGGTAGCGGTACGGGATTCGAACGTGGCAGGCTGCTGCTCGGCAGCGCGGCTCGGGTAAGGGGGGCAGCAGTGTCCAGCGCTTCCTCTCTGCACAGTACCGATACGCCTCCTTGCGATACTGCCTTTCCAAACTGCTGCTGTTCCCCCACCCTCCGATGATGAAGATGTCATCTCCGAGGTGGCAAATAGCAGCACCCTCTATTCCGAGAACCTCTGAAGGGAGGCTGCTGAGGATTTCTTCTGGGATGTTCCTGCTCATCTTCTGCTGTGCAGACTCAAATGTCACATTGTAGTTCTTGGAGCAACAGGAGGCGGTGTGGTAGAAGGGTGTGGAGGCCACAGCCATTTGAAAAGTACAGTAGTTATCCATTAGAGGTAATGACTGCACTTCCTGCCACCTGTGACTCTCTGTATCATAGCACATGGTCACAGTGCTCAGTCCATCATCATGGTCTATGTCTACAGGGGTCCTGGCCATCACGTACACGTAGCGATCCTCCACACTCACCGCTTTCACGTCTCGTAGGATCTTTGGTGCCGGCTCAAGGCTGGTCCACTCATCCAGCTCAGGTTTGTACACAGAGACATCCTTAAAGCCTGGACTGAAGTTCCCATGACCACCGATGCCGTAGAGGACGTCTCCCACACACATGAGGCCAAACGAGTGCTTACGCGTGACCAGGCTACTGACCTGATCCCAGCTGTTCAGGCTCATGTTGTAGCGTTCCACCATCTTTGCAAATCCAGGCTCCATGGAGCCCGCCACATAAACATGGTCCGCAGTGGTGGTGATGGCATGTCCATCTAGGTGGTTGTGAATGTGTGGCAGGTAGACCCAGCGGTCCTCAGCCACAAAGTATCCCACACATTCACTGAGGTATTCTCCGCCTTCTGAAACCCCGCCTATCACCATAATCACATCCATGTTCTGGCCGTTGCGTGGCTGGGTCAGCCCCCCGTAGGAGGCACAGAGCTCTGGAGGAGCTCGTCTGTGGCCCTCAGGGTAAACGGCGTGAAACTCCAGAGCATCCTGCACCAGCTGGTAACACGCTGCACTGTTCGCCACCAAAGGTTCCTTTTTCACCACACGTGTCAGGTAGGTAGGAGCCATCTGTGGCAGCCTTAGAAGCCTAAACAACTCTTCAAAGTACTTCTCGTGATCCTTTGGGTTTTGGTGGACCCATTTCACGACAGCCTCATACAGCTCCTGCTCAGAATCCACAGTGATTTCAGAGTCTGACAGCCAGTCTCGTAACAGATGAAACGGCAGTGCGTAGAACTCTTCGTTGCAAATAATTAGGTGGAATTTTTTCCTGATGGTCTTGGCGGCTTCCTGAGCGAGCTGGTCCAGAGAGTACATGTGGGCTAGACTATGTACAGCAACACAGTTGGACAAGGTCAAGTTCTTCACCAGGAACTCTGCACAGAAGCTCTTCAGCTGCCCCAACAAGAACCTGACGGGACAAGATTAGCAAATTTGAGTTTTTAACCAATGATTAATTAGCTCACTGAATTATAGTCCTTTGGTCAGTTGCCACAATGTTTACGGTCTGCTGTCTCTACGATCAACCTGAAGTCAGACATGTAAAAAAGTAAGTGAAGATGTCCCATTAGAGCCATGTTTTGCCCTACCCTATGTTTGTGTTATTCATTTTGCAGACTCATATCTGCTAGCATGCATATTTTTGGTCAGTGAGAGGAGACCGAAGCCCTTGGAGAAAACCCACCCATGCATTGGGAGAACCTGCCAACTCCATACAGACAGACTGGAGCTAGGTGTGCTGCTCTGAAAGTGCAGAATTTATTTATATATAAACATTAAATTAATTATATAAAAAAGGAATTACATAAAACAAATCCAACAGAATCCACCTCTCTTTATGTCTTATGTGGCAGTATTCACACTTTTGCAGGTCTGCATTTGTTTATTTTACATAATTACGATCACTCGTCTCTGCTGCTTTTAATAACTGAATAGCAGGAATCCCTTTTCGTCCCAGCAGTGGGCTGGACAAACAATGCACATCATATTTTTCACAAAAACAACACAGTGCATCAGACATTAATGAACACGTGTTATCTAAGGTGATTAGTTTGATCAGTAGCTCCGTATAAAATATGAGTGATATTAAAACAAATATCTAGGAATTGTCCATAATAAATCATCTCCGTGTGGGGACATTGTCCCATCATGTCAAACTCGCTTCGATGACTGATGACGTTGCAGTGACAACATTCATCACAGCTGGGTCACGCAGAACCAGCTGTGCTAAAGTGACACACAGAATGAAACAAACGCACACCTGTCAGCCAGCTCCAGTGCATCATTGACGTTTCCAGCGGTGACCCGGATCTCCCCCGTGTACATGAACTGGATGACGTTCTCCACGGTGTCCGGGTCGGGCCCGGTCTCCGAGCTCCACTCCCTCAGCTCCACTCTGCCGGTGCGGGACTCCGAGAACTGTCCCCCCAGCAGCAGCTCAAAGTACTGGGAGGCCGCGGAGAGGACGGAGCGGTGGGCATGTAGGGTCTGGATCCTCTCCCCGGACACCCCTCTGGAGCTGAAGATCAGGGTCAAGTCACAGAACAGCCCCATCTTTCTTTGCTCATTCTGCCGCCTGGCCAGCTCCAAACAGTGCGCCGCGCTTGTGAACTCCTCGGCCTCCTCCGGTTCTCCGTCACCTGTTACCTGCGCAGCTCCGCTCCTGCCGCGGCTCTCCCGCGCTTCCGCAGCCGCTGCCATCCCGAGGCAACCGGAGAAACTCGCAGGTAAATAAAAACTCTTGACTATGTTTGGGACGAAACTAGAAATGTGAAAACAAAACGTTAATAAACATCCAAGGACTGTCATCCATGCGTCGATTTGAGAGGCTTGATAGGAAGCGGGGAAGACTCACTTCCGTCTTCACGATTATTCCCAAAACACGATTTTTCACAAGAGGAAAGTCAGCAACAGCCAGCCAGCTTCGCCCCAACGCCTCCACACACAACACGAACCAGCCTCCCGGTAACTAACAGTTTGAATTCGCTTTTTATGTTTAAAAGACGCGTTAATGTTTCTTAATTGCAGCGAAGTTTTACCTTGCTGGCAACCATAAACACAGAATGCGCGCATGCGCGTTGCTGCGTCGATCCAACCAGATGATAAAAAAAAACATCTGTTCCCTCCTCCTGGGACCCTGCTGCAGCATCTCTATGTACTACGTGTTTAAAGACACTGGTGTTTTTGTAAAGTTTGTACGCGAAAAAAATGAATATAAAAAAAATCTCTACAAACAGCATTTTATGTCATACACAAGTAGTAGCTTAACGTAGGATCCGCCTAATTATCACATACAAGGTTGGTTTATGCAGCTGTGCTTTTCCATTTGCACACCAGCAGGTGGAATGGATTGTCCACCAGAGTTGTTTCCTAAGTGGACAGTTGTGTTTGTTTTCATTGTTTGAGCAGTGCAAGTGCTTTTTTCATTTTAAAGGCATCAAAATTATTTCAGTTCATAATGGTTTATACGTGATTTCATGCATTTCTAGCACAACACATATCAATAAAAAGCCCAAGGCGAGTTCAGTTGTTCTGATGTTTACAATAAGAGGAACATTTAGAATAAAGTCTGGTTAAGTAACAGTCTTTAAATGCATCTTTGACACAAAGGAGATACTTTATTCTTCTCAGAATTGGAAAATAATTGTAAGAAAATATAAATATTCAGCCAAAAGCAAATTTAAAACAAGTTATTTATTAATGTGCCACTATTTGTCAGCATATTACAAAAACAAAGCATTTTCACAGTTAAATAAAACAGCCAAATAAAGACAAAACACAGCAGGCTTTACAGTGAGCAGTTGCAGGTTGGTGGTGAATTCCCAACCGTTTAATGTACAGGAATTCCCACGGGAAAAGAAAACTGCCTTCATAGATCCCCCCTCAGGGTTCATTTATGCAGCATTCTGTTTACCGCCTCTGGATGGATTTCTACATCCTTCTGTCATACGGTTAACCGTAGCTACACACATGGTTGAGTTCAGACTTGACAGAATCTAAATCACAGTAGCTGAGCTGTAACGTCATGGCTGTTCCGAGGAAGGCAAAGGTGAAGAGACACTGAACCGACTCATTTCATTCCCTTATTTTTTTTTTTAATAACAGATGGAAAAAAACTTACAGCTAAACTTTTTTTCAGCATAAAATACTTTTGGTTCACACTGTGATGACTAAAATATTTCTAAGTGATAATAAAAAGTGGACAATACAAAAAAAAAACTGCCAGTTTTTAAATCAAGGCGAGTGCTCTAAAACAAGTCAGGTAAGCACTTTGATGGTCCTGAAGCAGTGAATCATGTTTAACCCTTACCTGTTTTGTGCTCAAATGACATTGACGTTAGAAAATTTAAACGTTGTGTAAGGGTTAATATCTGTAAATATAATAAATAGCAGATTTCACTAAGGTGTTGCTGTAGGTTAACTATCCAGACTCTAATCTAATGGAAACACTATTTAAATCCCGTTTATCAGCTACAGCAGATTCCTCTGCTTCTGTACTCGACTTTAACCATCAGCTGATTTCTTGCACTTGCATTGGTTCGGCTCTTTATTGGAAAACAAATAAGTTACATTTCTAAATAGTTTTAAATAACTTGTCGACAAAAAAAAAATCTAAAAACATACTTCCCCTTTTCGTCCTTAAAAACTAAAAGTAAAATTTCTATCTGAATCCCACAATCTGTGTGCGCTTCCATGTTCCAGAATGCTTCTGTCCAGTTTTCCTAAATCAGCTCAGGTGTGTTGAATGAAACGATGCTGCCAAACCACACCATCCAGGGCCTTTACATGGACATGTGCTCAGGGAGCACATAGGAGATGTCATCCCACGGGTGGCGGTACAGACCCTGTTTCAGCCTCTTCTGGTCCAGGTAATGCCCTAATGAAGCAGACACAAGTTACAGGTCATCCTACCCCCAAAGGACCTCGTCGCTCTTGGCTGGCTGTGACTGAGACTCACCAATAAAGCCCATACTACGCCCCAGGACAAAGATCCCGTTCAGAGCACCGATTTCCACAAACTCATCAGCTTCATCTCTGGAAACGTGTAAACATTTATGTGAGGAACATCATTGACCAGAAACCAAGCAAACATCTGAAATTTACATGGAGTATCTTGAGCAAGATACAAATTTGTAGTACTTTAATACAAAAACACATCTAATAGTCTTCTAAAGTATGTTATTTTGAGTTGATCTCTGTACAAAAAGCTCTGGCGCTCACGTTTCAGGAACTACAAGGGAGCCAGAGCAGAGGGGGACAGAACACGACAGGATATGGTGTCTTATTTCCTGATATTTAGACATAGTGCCTCTTATGGGATAACAGCAACACGAATCTACCACTGACTCTGTTTGCTCTGCAACGTTGATTAAGCCTGAAGGAGTTCTGCTGTGCGGTGGAGTTGCTAATGCTAACAGTTAGCATTTAGCTGAGAAGTTCTCTGCAGTTTCCTTGCCACTAAACCAACAGCCTTCTACTACGGACAGATCTTGGAAAACCATCTTGGTCTGTCGCAAACCAAGATGGCGAGTCCATGAAAGCTAATTTACAGTGCGACGTAGATCTGTCAGCTTTTCTAATTTGAGAATTTCCTCATCTATTTTCTATTGGCGGCTGCTGCAGGAAATAGGTGTGGAAGACTATTTTCACATTTAGCATGTTTGTGGAACTCAAAAGTGATTGATCATAATTAAAAAAACAAGTAAAAATGTGTTTACCAGTGAACTTGGTCTTTAAGTACAACTTATGTACAAAACTAGAAATACTGTGACAGTTATTTTTTTAAACCTTCTTTTTTACATAATTGTGAAAGTGCAATTCCTGTTCCTAAAGAAGTAGCCAGTACCTTATTTTTATTGTACTTTGCTTTCCTTATTCTGAAATGGTCTCATTTTCTCACCGTGTGAAGCCTCCACATGTTCTCAGCAGGTCCACGAAGGAAACGCCAATTAGACCGTCTACGTTGAGAATCAGGTTGGGTTTCTACAAGATACTAAAATTCAGTTATCTGAATTTAAAACAAAGCACACGAAAGCACGTCCCACAACTACCTAACTGAACCTGGGGGTTAAAATTTAACACACAAATGTAAGCACCATCTATAAACGGTGCTGTCCTGCAATTTTAACAAGACAATTTATCTAATTATTAATGCCATCTTTAATGTACGAGCTTCTCGTATTACTATAATTCGTATACGTTTATTAACAAAAACGATCATTCCCAAACAGGAAGTTTTCCTAGTTAAGATTTGAAAGACCACTTTCATTTGCTTCTAAATAAAATGCAGGTTTGTTCCTAAATCATCACAGATAAAGACGGAATGACCAAATCCTGCTCTGGCACCTTGGAGGTGGTGATCTTCTCCACATCTAGAGCATAGTCCAGTAGATGAGTGGAGGGAAAGTGCTGCTTAACAAAGTCTTTCAGGATCTGAACTCGCATGTCTGGATTGTTGATCTGGAAACAAAAAAAAACCTGTTATTCCAAAGCTTTGTGTTTTCATTATAGCACATCACCAGTTAGTTTGTGTTAAACCTGAGATACACTCAGGAGTTTGGAGCCGCTTACTGATTTGACTCTGTGCCCAATGCCCATGATCAGCTTCCCTTCCTTCTTCATCTTATTGACGAACTCCATGGGCAGCGTGCCGCTGTCGAACGCCTTGCTGAACTGCTTCGCTGCTGCGTCCAGAGCTCCTCCGAAACGGTCCCCCTGATTTCATCAAGAATTCAGTTAAGTACTCACAATTTGCAAAATAGTTAAATAAACACGACCAAATCCAGCTAAAATCTTTTATACTAGAAACAGCTTTTGAATCCCTTCCCAAGATGTTGAAAGGCACGAGTGTGTGTCTGTCTTTGTGAGTAGTACTGACAATGGTGAGCAGGCCAGAGGTGAGGCTTGAGATGAGGTCTTTTCCAGCCCGAGCACACACGATTGTGTTGTGAGCACCAGAGACAGCAGGACCGTGATCAGCAGTCACCATCAGACACATCTCAATGAACTGGCAAGCGTATCGTGGCAACCTGAACACAAGATCAGTAATGTTTGCTCTACAAAAATATAGTCAAGCAATTAAGATCCAAGACAGAACTTGACGTTCTTGTGTTGCGACTCGTGATCATGGTAAAGATGATCCCCATTTGTTATTCTCACCTGCGCTGGAACCAGAGCAAGCCTAGGACTCCTCCCAAACCCATCTCCTCCTTAAAGACCTCGGTGATGGGCATGCCAGCATAGATGAGCTCCTGTCCTCGCTCGTCACAGATACTCGTCATAAAGGAGGCTGGCTTACGAATCAGACCCAACTCCTGAAAAAATGTAACCAGAGAACAAAACAGGTGAGAAAATCTAAAATTCCTTTGCATATAAATTTGAATTTTATTTTATTCACTACTTTATTTGTACACTTATGGATTTTTTTTTACCCTGGCCCAGGAATAATCCATAGGAACGGTCGGGGGAGGAACCTCCTTGGCAGGAATGATTGTACCACTGGCCACCAGCTCATCATAAACTGTCCTGTTTCATGATATTCACACAATAATTTGTAAAAAACACTTTTTAAAAAAACTAAAAAAGCAGTACAAATAAAATTACATCATGCAATGATTTTCCTACTTGATGACATCCCCCAGCTCATCAAAGCTTTTAGGTACATAGACGCCGGCGTCCCTCAGAGCCTGGTTCTTGGCCACAGCCGTCTCTGAGGCCTGGTTGGCACAAGCTCCTGCATGGCCAAACTGAACCTACAGGTGACGGTAAAACATCAAGACCTGAAAAACTCAAACTCACCGAGCCCCACTGGATATAGGACAACAACATTTTCATTTTGGGACCCCAACTTTTTTCTTTGTTTGGGTGTTTTTGTTGTCTATGCTACTGATGGTGCACTTCAACGCAACCCCTGCTCTGTCAGTATGGGAAACTAACCGTCAACAAAGGTTTGTGTGTGTGTGTGTGTGTGTGTGTGTGTGTGTGCGTGCGTGTGTGTGTGAGGAGGAAGTGGCAGGGAGAGACAGCAGAAAAAATACAAGTGGCCTGAAATGTTTATGCATCTGTTTTGCATTTTTCTGTTTTTTGTGACTCAACTATGGCTGCAAAAACCTGCAAAGTAAAAAAAATTAAAATACAGAGTACAACATCCCAACACTTATGTTAACGGCTCCTCTATCCAGGTAGAGCAGGTTGTCTGGTAATTGGAAAGTTGCAGGTTCGATCCTGGCTCCCACCAGAGAATGCTGCTGTTGTGTCTTTGGGCAAGACACTTAACCCATTTTGCCCGCTGCTGGTGGTGGTCTGAGGGACCGGTGGCGCCCGTGCTCGGCAGCCTCGCCTCTGTCAGTGCGCCCCACTAGCGTGTGAATGGGTGAGTGTTTTGTGAAGCACCTTGGGGGGTTGTAGAACCCTAAGAAGGCGCTGTACAAATACTGGTCATTTACCAGTTCCCATCCATCGACCTCACTGGTGAGGCTGACGGAGGAAGAAATTATCTCGAACTTGCAAAAGAAACCTGGGAGTTAAAGTTGTTTTTCTTATCGCTACGGGTCTCGGTAATGTAAGATAACCGATCCACAAAGACTTATTAAAACAAACCTCTGAAGCAAACATGGTGGCACAGGTCCCGATACACCAGCACACGACGGGTTTGGTGATGCTGCCTTCTTTGACGCCTTGGCAGATTTTGTACTCCTCTGTGCCTCCGATCTGAGTGTCAGATAAAGGTGATTAAAACTGAAGCTGTCTGCTACAAACAGATTAAACTGGATCCATTTCTGCAGCGATTCCTACCTCGCCCAGCACCACTATCATCTGAATCCCGGGAGTGTCCTGGTAGCGTAGGACGTGATCCATGAAGGTGGAGCCTGGATATCTGGACAGAAAGAACAGAAACAAGAAGGACTCAAGTCATCAATGTTCGTAATGCAAACAGAATTATACAAAATGCACTTTTGTGGGAATTTTTGCCATTTTCCCTTGTAAGAAAGCGTACCTGTCCCCTCCGATGGCCACTCCTTCATAGACACCGTCTGTAGTGCGTGAGATGATGTTGTTCAGCTCGTTGGACATTCCTCCGGACCGTGATACGTACGCCACGCTTCCAGGACGGTAAAGTTTCGAAGCCAGGATGTTGTCCAGCATGCCGCCAGTGTTGCCAATCTTAAAACAACCTGGCTTGATGCCACCAACCTGGGAAACAAGGTTTACCATCATAGAACTAGACAAGAAAATGCCTTAGAAATAGTTGTTCTGTACATATTATGATGACGGCAATTAAAACATGACACTCCCTAAAGTCTGTGTGTGATTGGAAGCACCGTACCGTAGCGGGGCCAATAATGGTGATGCCCTTCTCGTCTGCTATCTTGATCAGCTTTCTTGTCTGAGCCTCTGGGATGCCCTCAGCTATGATTGCGATGGTGTGAATCTAAACGTATGAAAAAGATGACTGACCAATCCAGAGTCATGCAGAATTGTCAAAAGGCCAGCTGTGTCCGGCTTGTCTGTGTACCTGCGGATACTGCATGGCCTCCAACGTGCTGTCGAAGGCAGAGCGCAGTGAAGCAAAGCTGATCACTACGTCCACCTCAGGGTGCTTCTTCATGGCGTCAGCCATGTTCTTAAAGACCGGCAGCAGGATCTCTTTGTGGCCCCAGTAGAACTTCTGCTTGTGATCTCCACTGGGTAAAATAAAAAAAAAAAAAACATAAAATCTGCGCTACCATTCCAAGATAAGTCATCATCGAATCGGTTCCATAGCAGCTACCCGGCAAACCTACGTGAAAGGGTAGACCATGGCGGCCACAGAGGGTTGGTCACGAGAGCAGACGTAGTCAAAATCCAGCATGCCCTGCACAGCACGTGTCTGCATGCCCCAGACAATGGCCTTGGTGTGTTTGCTGAACAGCGTGGTTGCTTTGGCTGAGAGAGGAAACAGGCAGAGAAAGTGCAGATTTAAGTCAGAACTGGGAAAAAAAAAACAAACACACAAATACGGGAGTCAGGAAAACCGCAGCAGCGAGGACGTCAACAAGCAGAACATGAAGGGAACTTATTCTGAGGACCGAACGTGGAGGAGGCAGAGAAAATAACTCGGCATCCATACGCATCGTTATGGGAACAGCCCCCACTTAACACAAACGTGTGACTTTTGCAACTTTCAACCTAATGTTTAACAAAATGGAGCTGAGTGACTCAGTATTTTGCTGACCCCTCATATTCACACCCATGGAGATTAAACTCAATATCACCCTGTTCATCAGTGCAGCTGCGTCGACTCCGACTGCACAATCCAAGCTTTATGTCCTTCGGGGGTGGGGTTCATGCTGAGTTAGCACAGGAATGAGACAATTCTCATGTTTCAGTTTCTCTAGCTGGATGTGGTTTTATCTCCATCACGTTTTTCATACTGGTCCATTATAGCCGTCTTAGCTCCAGTATGAAGTGTTTTCTGAGGTTTTCAGGGTTAGATTAGCCAAGTATTTTTACTTTAAAAGATACTGGTTAGTTTATTTACAACAACTGTAGGTTTTTAAAAATTTATTTTATTTTTTTCTTCTTTACAAAGGGGTCTGTTTGTTTCCCCCCACTTAGTTGTGCATCATCTATTACGAGTCACATTTTACAAATAATTTGTTCAACGTGTTTATTTCCTAGAAAATTCTTAGCTACTCATTGGGAAGAAATTAAATTACTTTCCAGAGTAATTAGAATAAAAAAATAACCCAATTTCTGCAAGTACATTACTGAGGATAAAGTCTGCATAATTAATGCAGTTAATGAGCTAAAGGCCACGTTTTACATTCATGTTGCCATCTCACGTCTCTCCTTACCTGCTTCCTCTTGGCACATCTGACACGACCACACAAAACTACAACTGCCTCTTTTAGATGAACTCCACTGAGGACAAATGTTTGTGATGAAGATGAACCATGTACTGAACTGATGAATTTCTACAACTGTGACCTTTAAATGCACATATTCAGCAATGTTAGCCTAAAAGGGAATGCATCAGATCCACTTAAAGTTTATTAAAACAGAACAACCACTTTGATGCAAGAATAAAAAGGTCAAACAAGGGTTAAACAAAGGTGGGAGGGCAGATGGAGGTTAAAGAGTGGAGAGGACTGGAGGACATTTTTATTTTGCTCGGCATCCTTCCATACCTCCACTGCAGCCTGGAGAAGCTTGAGCTTCAGTGACACCACAGGATAGAACAGAAATTGTAACACAATGAGCACACAGAAAGAAAAAGAATAGGTTTGCATTTAATGCATCTTCACCGTTTTTATTAAGCACACTTAAAATGCACAGCACCAACTGTGTGCCATCTTTGAAAACCACACGAAGCACAGCAGAGGGAAGAGCATGCAGAGCTACGTTCACTGTGCTGCTGCAAAAAGCAATCTATAAAGGTTTAGCCAGGTCAATCAACAGCTTTTGTCCCCAAACCACAAGTAAACCTTTAGCTAACAAGACCATCAACATTACCCCCCAAAAAACACAACTCCGAGGAAAGCCCCAGAAATATTTACTGAAAGTCCCATATTTGTGAATCTTAGCAGCTGAAAATCATCATCTTAAACTCAAATTTCTGTTAGAAGATCAAGGTGATTTTAAAATGTTGGTTTCACGTTTGTATTTTTATCCCAGAAAGAGAAAAGGGACCAATGAGGAGCACAAGGGCAGCTGATGGCAGTGAAAGCATGGCACACCTACCACTTACCTTTACAATCGCCTGTGACCACATTCTTCAGAGGCCACAGGATAGAATGAAGAGAGTCTTAGAAGAACAAGCATGAAAGAATTGCAAGTGAGTGGACAGTTGGAGCAGCAAAACAAAGATGGAAAAGGGTGTAGGTGGCATTTAGGGGAGGAAGAAACAAACAAACGGAGAAATTAAATTAAAAAGCAAAAGTGAATGAGCAACAATGAGAGACTAACTAATAAGAAGCAGTTAAAGAATGTATTTAAATGTCTGCTCATTACCTGGTGGAAGGCCTGCTTTTGACTTTTTGGGTGGGGTGACATCATTAGTGGTTTTAGCTTCAGAGAACGAAGCTGTTCTCGATGTAGCCGGAGTCTGAGGGACAACACGGGAGACAAACACGATCATGCCATTTAAGAAGTTGAGAGCAAAAGTAGACAAACTATAGGATAAAATATTACTGTTGGCACTATTGAGATGTCATTTATCCTAAATACGAGTTATTTTCGTCAGCCTGAATTTATACCCAGAATTGAAACTGTTTGTGCAAAGCTCCGCCCACGCCTGCTCCAACAATTTGCACCTACAACAGCGTCTAGGGAAGCCTGCTGTTGCATGGGCCTTGGGAATCCAGTAGCTTAAGTGCCCAGCCCTCTAACCACTGGACTACCAAGTCTGTTACAAAACAATGGTTACTTAACACACATGTCCTGAGCTGGCCATTACATGCGTCTTTGTAGACAGGACATTTGGTTTTGACGGTGATGTTTCATCGCCAACGCAGAAGTAATCTGTTGGAATATCTAGGCTTCAGAACTGAGACCAGACCAGATTCAGGAAGGGGAGAAATGCCAGGTGACGCAAGCGGGCCACTTTCTCCTGGATGCAGGAAAAATCTGTACATCAACCAAACTGAAGCTGGGGCAGGATGCAGCCAAAACGAGTGTGGGAGTATTTCTCATGAGGAAAGGACAACATAGTAAAAAGCTCAGATGTGCATTCTCCATGATAAGTCAAATGAAGGTGAAACTATGCACAACTGCAACTATTTGTTTTCAATTGTGTCACATGGCCCATGAGACCGGGATGAAGAGGAGTGTTTTTTTTAATTGAAAACGTTCATATTTAGTAAAACACTGATCTCAGGTCAAAGCCCAGTGGGGTATGGGCTTAAACATGCATGACTGATTCCTGAAAACCCTCGAATCCTTTTCCTTTCCATTGGCACCTAATGTATTTTAGAGAGTCGGTAACCTCTATCCCATACTGACTGTACACAATCTAAAATAAGATTTAAAACAGGAATACCGCTGCGCTGCTGCTGGTGTTGAGCAGGAAGTTGGCAGTGTGAGCGGCCGTTGGTGGCTGATGGGGGATCGGCCGGTGGCCCAGGGCCATCCCAACGATAGCCGTCATGTGGGTTTCAGTTCCGAACACGTGAATAGGAATCCCTGTGGTCTTTCCTTAAGAAAGCAGAAACAAAACACCATTTTGTTTGCTGCTGATGCATTTTAAAACATGAAATATGATTTCGCCAGGTGAGTGATCAGCTCCCTCACCTACTTCCCCCATCACCCTCAGGCCTTCCTGGTAGTTGGGCCCGCCACGTCGCACAAATATGGAGACCTCGTGCTCCTTTAGGGGACCTTGGTAATCTTTAATGGCTCTGACGATGCCCTGAGGACAAAGACAGGGCTCAGCCTAGAAAGTACACAAGCACCGCCCGACCTGAACAGTTTATTTTTTAATCACTGCAAAGGACAAATGTAGCTTATTGCTTTTCATGTCCCAGGTCAGGTCATTTACTTTTTATGTTTACAAAGTTAAATAGCAGAAACGAATAATCTTTGGTAAATATCAACATTCCTTTGAGACAGCAGGTACACGTTAAGGCTTTCACTGCTCGACACGTTATTAAAATAAAAAGGTTAAAACTCAGACACCAGGGACTCTGAACTATATAAAGAAATAAGTAAAAAGAAAGAGGAAAAAGACACGTCCACTGATATTGTGTTTCAAGATGTTTCACCTTAAATGTTGCTGCAACGTTGGTGAAGTTGGCAATACTTCCTCCGATGATCAGCACTTTTCCTGAAGAGGAAATGAACAAGATGAGAATGTGTTACATCACTGATTAGAACCATGAAACGTTTGGTCAGTAATGTTTTACAATATCGCAATACAACTGACAGTCACACTCCAGCAGAAGCAGCCGGCACCAGAAAGGTCTATGTAAGCCAGGACATTTGGAGATCTTTTTCCAACGTTCTTTCCACTCTGCAGCCTTTAACTTTGTCCCACTTTTTTCTTTTTTTTACTTTACTGGATGCCAAACCGTGTTTAAACATCATCTGTTCTCACCTTCAGGGTGTTTTTCACGAGTCATGAGTGACAGGATGGTTTTTGCATAGTCGTAGGTCTGTTGTTCACTCGGTGCACCCGAGTACTCGCCATAATTAGCCAGCTCATCCACCCCACCCAGATCACAGATCGTGTCACTGAAGGGGAGGAGGTAAACAGTCAAACGCTCTTCCCTCATTTACTTTAATCCTTTTTGTTTTAAAGATGCAGGAAAAAAAGTTGAGCAACAGGAGTTTCAAACAGCGATTCAGAGAATCTCTGAATGTAAAATGTGTTTTTTTATTTATTAACCTGAAGCTTTAATTAACTAGATTTCAGATATTGAGCTACCTGTAGACCACTGAAGCACCTCCTCCAGCCACCATGGTCCAGATCCTGCCTTGAGGGTTCAGAAGGGTCAGCTTCAGACTAGCACCGCTCTTTGCATCCAGATCTGCTATGTAGGCTTCCTAAAAGTGGTAAAACACAGATTTAGGAATGATAGACGTAAGATAGTATGTGGACAAGATCAAAAATAGACACCATACCATACCAATTCATTTATAAAGCACCGTTTACAAATAGCATGGCAGCTAACCAAAGTGATGTACAAAAACAAGCCAAAGAAACGTAGAATGAAACTAAGGCATAAGCTAAAACACATAAAAAACAAAGCATAAAAATACATGTTAAAGATAGTAGTCAAAGAGAACAAGTAACAGCACTATACCAGGAAATAAGGGGAAAACCCCCCGATTTAAACCAGCTAACAATGATGCTAATAAAACTGAATGGGCTAAGAAATATTACATGGTGCAAATAAGAGAGTAACTAATTCATATCAAACTAACAGCAGAAGCAAGACTTTGAAATGAATCCTAAATTTAACCGGGAGCCAGTGTCAATCAGCAGGAATAGGAGTGATGTGCATGCTTCTGTTGGTGTTGGTTCAAAATCTGGCTGCAGGAATTTGAACTTTTTGTAGTCTGCCTAAGGCAGACGCATTAATCCCAATCAGCACAGAATTAGCATAATCCAGACAGGAGGTAATGAATACATGAATGACAGACTCAAGATGCGGGCGTTTGAGGATGGCTTTAAGATATGTGATGCGGTGGCAAGACACAATCATGCCCGCTGGATATTTTAACCTGACCACTCCAGTTCGGCTTTCTGCTGCTTTAGCTAACTGCAGCGAACTTACGTGTTAACAACCATGGACGGCCTGGACGTATCTGTAAGAGGTTGTACTTCCATCTTTCTTACATTGTTGGATCACTTTTGCTACAGTATTTTGACCGATATGTAAAGCTTTCCTGATCTTCTTGTAACCCTCACCTTTTTGTGTAAAGAAATGATTTCTTCTCAGATTTTGTGACATTTCTCTTCCATGTGGAGCCATTGTTGATAACAAAGAAAAGCCCTTCTCATTTCATGCTAAGTAATGTCCTTTTAAAGTCCCCTGTCTGCTGGACACCTCAAATAAATAATTAAGACTCACCTCTGGTTAATGCCTGTTAATTTCAATTTTGTAGTCTCAAGTGTGGCTTTTCTTCTAAGAAGGGATGCACTCATTTTTGCAACATGGGCTTGACAGGAGTTGTTGGAAAAATCACTTTTTTGTGTGTGAAAATTAACAAACCTTGTTTGAAATCAATGGCCCACATTTGTGGGAGTATTTAGTAGTGTGGCATCTCAGAGAAAACGTTGACTAGGAAAGGAAACTAAAGGTTTTCTGACAAATGTAGTGGGTGGGTGTACTTATTTATGCTGAGTACTGGAACAGTATGGCTCATTCCCAGTTTGGGTTATATATTGATAGACCAGATAGTATATCTCTGCAAATGTAACCTGAAATGCTGAAAAAGCCCCTATGTAATGACTCAGATGACCCACTGTCTTGTTTACATTTAGCAAGCAAACGTGGAAACTCCAAAGAAAGAGAAATGTTTACATTTCATTTTGGACCAGATGCGCCTCATAAGCTGGTGGTCTTTTGTAAAATCCCTCTTCTTCATCTTTTCTTGCTGTTTTATGGAACTCATAACAAACCAAGAAGGTGGTCATTTGCATTACGGTGGATTTTTCAATGCTGTGGGTGAATATGACAATATGCCAACTTTAAAGGTGTAGTTCACTCATTTATTCAATATATTTGCAGTGGTCTTCAGAGGGAATGAATGTCTTGTAAGTTGTAAAAAGCTCAAATACACCTGTTACAGGAAGTACAAGTCAGCTAGAAGAGAAAGTAGCTTCAGACGGCAGGAATTGGAGGCTTATTTCCTGATATTTGGAAATCTCACCTCTGATTGGATAACAGCAATGCAGCTCTACCACTGACTCCATTTATTTTGCAACATTGATGTTTTATCAACACAAGCCAAGAGGATTTCTGCTGTGGGGTGGAGTTGCTAATGCTAACAGTTAGCTTCTACTAGCTGATACGTTCTCTTCTGTTTCCTGAAAGCTAAACCAACAACATCCTTCCCTGTTGTGAATCAAGATGGGTGAGTCCATGAATGGTAAGTGACAGTGTGATGTAGATCTGTCAGACTTCTCAAATCCTAGAGGTTCACCGTCCATTTTCTATCAGAAGCTAAAGCAGGAGATGGATGTAGGAGACAATTGTCATGTTCAGCTTCCATGAAAAGCTCAAGGTGACTGATTATAATCAGAAAAATCAATTAAAAATGCCTTTTAATTTAATCACACCTTTAAATATCCTTCGTTTAAGGTGGAAAGACGATTCTGTGATTCTCCTTTTTGTGGTAAAGCCTTTAAAGTATAATTGCTCAATGTTCAACTTCGTTCTTGTAAAACCTGAACCACTGTCAGGTGATAAGCCTGACTGGTTTTCTTCACCACCCATCCCAGGGAGCTTGTTGTTAACTTGCTCAAGCGGTTTACTTTCATTACTTTTCAACGCTCTCTGGACACAAAGGGGAGGGAGTCGCCCAAAAAGTGAGTGAGGTATTAAAAGAAACTTCCAGCTACAGGTGGATAATACTTGGCTATAAACTTGGTTCATTTATGCCTCAAGTAGAAAAAGTATGAGACAGCAGCCACCCACCCACCCACATGTCTTGCTCTGTGTCATTATTGGTTAATGATGAACAAACAGGCTAAACACACAAAAAAATCTCCTCAGGTCTCACCTCTGGATATGCTTCTCTGCCAAAAGGTGGAGGGAACTCCACATTGCCCCATTTGGCCTTGCAGATGAAGTCTGCTGTTGCATCAATCTTAGCTGCCATGTCGAGGACGTAGACTCCATCCTGAGTAACGACTGGTAAACGTGCAGAAGGAAAAGCCATTTATTAGAATGTTTTTCTATTCGTTTTATTAACCTCTTCTTCCACCAGGGGTTGCAGGGTTGTCATAAATAAGAATTCTTATGAATTAATCTTTCATCTAAAAAAATCTGTTAAACATTGATGATCTCACAATAAAGATGAACAGAGACGATGTTTACCAAGTGGGTTGATCTCAAGGTAGGTGAAGTAGAGGTCCCCATAGAGGTTGAAGAGCGCCACAATAAAACTGGACAGAACTCTTTAAGAAAGGGACAAAACATAGATTAAATGTGTCAAGTGTAAAACTGTTTTATTGAGATAAAAAGTTAAACCAGTAGACAGATAATTCTCGTTTACTTTTCCCTAAAAGGTCTGGAGTTGATTACGATTAGCAAATAAAAGTGCTCCATGGCGTGTCAGAGTTTTGCAATGACAGATGTGAAATCTGTTTGACTTGGCGGGGAAGCTGGACAAGCCTCAAAGATACAAAGAGGGTTTTGTTTAATTTAAGAGAACTAAAGATGAGTGGGATTTGGAACGCAGGAAAAACAAGACTAAACAGATGAGTGAAGGTCAACGCTACAGGACAGACAGGCTGAGCGCTACAGTGGTGATTAAAAATGTTATGGTGACATTTTAAGAGACAGCTTTTCCCTTTACTTCCTATTTATAAGAATAATGTATGACTTTAAAGAGCAAGTCACCCCCCCAAAAAACTTTTTTTTGCTGATAAACTAAATAAACGAGTGTCTAATCGTGCTGCAGACACATGTAGTGAATAATTTGGCACTTCAGTGCATCTTAGTTAAAATTTAAATATTCTGCCTAAAACTGGCAGTGTTGTGCCATTGTCAGATAAAAACTCTGCACTGTATTTTAATTTAAATCTGCCACCGCTATTGGCTAAGAGGTATGCTATGATGTAAACTAGTACATTATGATGTCACAATAATGTCGTGAGCCTGTGTGTGTGTGTGTATTTGTTAGCAGCTCTGCCTTCTCGGTCTGCCAGGCAACAGCATTTGTAGCATTTTTCAAACATGAATTGGCAGTGGAGTTAGACTCTGTTAGGGGTTGACTTGCTCTTTAAGGAGGGCATCCCTTAACGGTCTCTGTGAAACAGTTAAAACTAGAGGTCGACCGACGTCGTTTTTCTATTGCCAATATGAAGCACACATGGTCAGTCAGCCGATTGGCCGATATCCTTTTCCATCTTATTTTCATGCTAAAATGTCACCGACAGTTGACGCACAAAGTTTCTGAAGCTGACTCCTTTTTTAAACTCTGGATTTAACCAAACTGTGAAATCTTAACTTTGTGCACTTCTCAGTGTATTTATTATGCAGACGTTATTAGTGAATGCAAAAATACATTTAAATCAAATTCTGAAACCGCATCCAGCTGCCCGATGATGTGCCTGACTTTAAATCAGCCTTACTAAATGACAAATATAGGCCGATGCTGATGTATATAAAAACGGTAACCCCTAGTCAAAACCCCACAAAGGCTTGAAGGAAAGACACACAAAAACACACAGACGGTGTGTTTCAGGTTTGAGTTCATCACTGATACATTCCTATTATTTATTGGAATTCTAACGTTTTCTTATTCAGACAAAAGTCTCTAAATGACAAATGATGGGTTCGTACCCTTTCTTATCATCAGGAACATGTGTGAGCAGCTGCTCTTTGACTTGGTCCTCGGTGAGCTTCTCATCTACTCCAACCATCAGCCTCTGGGCCTTGGCGTCCACGTCACCCACCTCCACCCCTCCCTCGTGGTGAAAAAGTACAAAGTCTCCCTCACGTGTGGCGTAGATGCACACGTAAAACTCTTCCTCCTGAGGGAGTAAACAACAACAAAGGACCCAAACACATTTTTGTTAGCCCAGGGTGCAATATGTAGCGTCACAGAGACGAGTCAGACAATATTCACTACGTTTCCCCAACTCTCCAAAAGTAAAAGCTTGGAGTTTGACTCACTCTGGGTTTAGAGAGAAATGTGAGCCGAGACATCACATACTGACCTATATAAAGAGTAACGTCATGCTGAGGGGTGGTGAAGGCTGTTACTAAAGGCTATAAATAAACATGAGTCGGGTTTAAAGTAAAAAAATAAAAAAAGTATTACCTGTTTGTGTGGAACAAATGGCTCAATGAGGAAGTTTTTTAACACGCCTTTAGCCTTTCCCACCTGGTTGGAGAAAACATCCCAGTTAGTCCAACTCAGTAACAAAAGGCACAAAAACCACAGAACATTGTTGCAGGAAGAAAACTCACTTTAGGGAAATGAGCTTCCTCGTAGCCGAGGTGAAAATATTTTCTGGAGGGACGTGCGTGTTGACATACTCAATAACACGTGTGTGTTTATGGTGGACCAGAATAGATCCTGCTGACCTAAAGGATCTAAAGATAAATCTGATGCCCCTGACTCTGGTCGGCACGCTTCTACAAATCACAGATCTATACGTAACTAAAAGCAGCTCAGACTCTAAATGCTGTAGTTAACACAGCATGGTGACTGGGTCCAGCTACGTTACCGTTATCCCTGCTCGATGCAGAAAACTAAATACATGCTAATTAAATCTGCAAGATAATGAAGGTTTTAAATGTAATGGTAATTAAACGAATGTGGCCAATTATAGCCAAGCACATTGTGAGTCGAGTTTAAGAATTAACACTTCAGATTGTGTAAAACTTGAACTACGATCATTTTTGAAGCTGTGATGGTGTTATGAGGCCCCGCGTGTGTTTACCGCACTTTACAGTTTTGACCCGCGGTCCGCCGCCGGAAGTACTGACTGAGTGTTGCTTTACAGCAGTATCACGTAGACCCCATAGACATGAATCTGTAAATGCCCCATCGGGTGCTGGATAGCGTTACTGCATCACCACCGTATTGGATGAGTCTCACTCTCCAAAGCAGTGACTGTAGAAAAGTTGTAAGCCAATGCAGAGTGAGCAACTTGTGTTGGATTTTGTGAAAAAGCTTTTTTTTTTAGTTGGGTAGCACCTTCCTTAGTGGAAATGAATGCAGGGGGGAATAGAGACCCGACAAAAATGGCGGTCGACCATTACGGCAGTGCCAGTCCACGGGGCATCTACGTATATATGCCTGTTGTAGACCTGCAGATTAGAGACTTGATCAATGGCAGATCAACCAAAGAAAGCTAGAAATTCCTCATCAGAGGAATCTAGGAAAAGAAAAATAGAACACGACAGAGATAGAGCCAAGACCAGAGTTAATATTGGGTCAGCTTTTCCGCGCTGGAGAGCTCTTCTTGTAAGAACGACATGTACTACGGACTCTGACCTAGCCGTGCTGCTAATGGATAGGCAAGTAATAAATTATTTCACCGGGATTTTGTGTTTGGTCGAGCATAAAGTCGTTATACAGTCCTGATAAAACTTTATTCAATGCAGAAACGTTGCTTAATGTGTTTGTTTGGGCAAGCGAGTTGGAAAACTGCCAGTAAACATTCCTCTTACGCGTGACGAAGATTTGATTTTACGACAGTGACGTAACACAGCAAGCCTAAAAAGGGCGACAGAGAGCATATTTCCGCAAAGTTCAGGAATGTGTCTTTAATGAGTAGTAAAATTGGGGTTTGTTGAGTTTATTTGAAAGTAAAATAAATACAGTAAGCATAAGTCAAAGGTCAAGAAGAAAACTACAGATAAACTATTTTAATCTGGCAGGATTTCACTGGACATTTGAGATCATTTTGAAGCCATTTCTGGAGTAACTCCACAGCATACAGGAACTTAGTGAACACTGTTTTTCATACTGGTGGCGAGAAAACCCAAACACCCGGTAAACAAACCAAAAAGGGATCCGTCAGGAAAAACAGGCACAAAAACTGTACCATGAAAAGCTCACTAAAGCAGCCCCGTGTTGACTAACAAACACTTCCTGCCATGTCATTGCAATGGTATCATTCCCTATTTAACCAGGTATGAACTCACATTTATTTCTAACCTTTTCTTACAGCAACCCAAACATAAAAATGTATGTTACGATTCAGTTGGTTTCAGTGTCTTGGACACATTATTCTGGCATCATTTCCTTCAATAACTACACATCTACAGTCAGTCTCTCATTGTAGCATGTCTGCTGCAGACTGGGAGACAAAATACATGAAAGAAATTAAGCTAATTTTAAGCTGGAATCGCATCAAGATGGAAGATTTGACACTTTGAGCTGATATTTTTACATACACCATGTGATTTTATGAAGCAAATGACACAAATCTGAAACACTGACAGTTTTTTTCTTTTCACAATTTAGTCAAAGTGTTTTTTTATTTTATTTCAAATTTCATCAATAACTGATTCGTTTGGTTGCCAACTCCTCCCAAAGTTGTCTCACCTTTTTGCACTCTCAGAACAAAGTTCCAGATACTCGCAACTACTTTTAGAATTGGTCAAATCTTTTGAATATGATAAAAATACAAGCAACATGAGGAAATTCGTGTCACTCAAGAAAATTAAGAACCGAATGAAGATTCTGGACATTTTTAAAACCCTCTTGGAAGTAAAACATCAACTAAAACGCTAATGCAGAGCAAACTCACAGTGGTTTCTTTCATTAAGTGACCCTTGAGCCAGTCTTTGACACCCTGCAGGTCCAGGTTGATGCCCACCAGCCCGAGCTTCCCGCGTCGTTTGATCAGTTGATCTGGCTTCACCACCAGCCGCTGCACGAGGAGCAAAAAGGTCAGAGATGTTACAATGTGCCCCAAAACACAAGTAACACATCAGAAAACAAGTCACAGTCACATGTATTACTGAGTGCAATACAACAGTCAAAGGGACTCTGAGACTTTATGTTTTCAGCAAAAAAACCTGACTATTTTACATGCGTGAGCAGCCATGGATGGTCCTGTGTGAGGCGGTCCCAGTCCGTTTCAGCATTCACACTGGCATAATAGAACCGGTTCTGCACAGCAGCCGATGAGCTGATGTACTTGTACAAGAACTCCTTCCCTGTCTGCTCAGATATGGCTTTAGCAGACATGGCAGCACTGGTTAGCACAGGACCTTAGAGAGCAGGAGATATAATGTTCAATTAGCCAAGTCAAGACAATAAATACACAAAAAGAGCTCACTGGAACAACAAACACAAGTGTACCCCAGCATAAACAAAATAAAACAAAAAAGGAAGCAGCGTGTTTTAATGCACTTGCCAAAATTAACTAGTTTCATTTAAAACTGAAATAAGAATAAAATTTAAACGAAAAAAATTGACAGAAAAGTATTAAATCATTTTGAAGAACAAAACCTAAGAAATCTGTACTCTGTTCTGCTTCCCAGCTCACGCCAGAGCTTACACAGCACCATCAGCTGTGTTAGCACAGCACTTCTCTACTTCTGCAGTTTGTCACGAGTGCGGCCTCGAAATCTAAAAAGGTCCAGAGATGCAGCTAGTTTTCAGCCAATAACCATTAAAGTTAATAAAAATAATCTGTCCAAATAATACTGTTGAGCTAAACTAATGAGCCTGATAACATAAAAACAAGCAAGATTATATTTTCTGTGGAATCGAGCCTAAAAACCTTCTAATAGAAACTTGGCCTCTTTTAGGTCAACGTCCACTCAAACAACATCCACTCGGCTAACAGAGGCCGCTGCTAAAATGCACATTAAACAGAATTACATCTGCCTTTTGGAGAAGGGGGTCGATGTGTCATTTTTATTAGAAAGCTGAAATATCCAGATAAAACATCAAACCACTGAGGCAAACTAGACTTTTACTAAATCAGTAAACTAATATTTGACCAACCTCTAGATAAGAAGACTCATATACAGCTAACACAAGCACTAAAACTGGTAGCTAACCAAAGAGGATTGTGGGCAAATACTTTAGTGACTGATCAACTGTTAGACATTTACAAAACAAAGAATTTCACTGACTAGCGTGTGTGTGTGTTAATTCGATGGAGAATGTTGAATATCGGACGTGGTGTACTGTGCTTTTTACAGACAAATGACCAGTCTTAAGTAAAAAAGTTAAATATTACCTTGTGTCTGTGTTTGGAAACCTCAGAATAAAGTTTTGAAAAACACCAGGTGGAAATGTACGTCTCGTCATTCCGGTTTAAGCACCCTGAATGTGGCCAAACTAGTTTTTGTCTCAATGAACTCACTCATCTGCATGTGTGTGGTGTGTTTTTTTTAACTTTACAACAGTTTCATAAAACATTTAAAACAACAGAAGACTAATACATGATAACAGATATCATTGAGTCAGATCAGTCAAAAAGAAAAAAGAAAACATGCACTGCATCTTTTGTGCAATACTGTTAGTATTTTGGGTGACTTTATGTAGACATAAGTGTATTTTCTGACCCTCCATGAGCACTTTATGCCTCAGATAAACAACCTTGTAGGTAAAACTCAGATTTTGCTCTGAGGGCCAGATGTCCCAGTGTTTAGCCCCGACATAATCCAATGGTCCAGTCTATTGTCTGAAGTTTCTTAGCCGTGAAATTTCAGCTCCCCCGTAGAAGGAAGTTGGATCTGAAGCATCTTGAGGACCACAGATGAGGACACTGATTCAAACACAGCTGCTGTTTGTTAAACTCAGAAGCTTTAGTGTCACTTCTCTAGGACTTACTGCACCATGTGTCAGGCCAGGCGTATGAATGAATGCCCTGTACGGGCTACCACACCCACTCCACAAACTCAATTACCAACTCCCAGCAAGCCAGGCAAGTTCAACCATAACTTTAGCTTCTAAGGCTCCCCGATTAAACCCATTGTGACGGGACAAACGGGCAGAAAGCAGCCCAATAACAAACCTATCAAAAATAGAGATGCCATGTTAGCGGAAGATGGGTTTAGCCTGCGTTTTTGGCTAAAATTCGTAAAATAAATAGTTTAATATTATCGATTTTAAATCCAAACAGTTAAATACGTTACAAAAAAAGACTCATAGCCATTTCTATCTCAGTTAAAGCACTAGTGACAGCAATTATGACATTTAAAGCCCAGCGCATCCTATTTCAAACAACCTTGCTAACTAGCTAACAGCTACTACAAGGAGGAAGCGGCCGCGAAGTGTATGAACAACAACTATTACCTTGTCAGTGAACTTAACACCTCCTGGAAGTAAAGGCTTTGAGTCCTGGTCACAAGCAACAGAGTTTAACACTCAGTTAGTCTTATACCGGAGTCCGTCTCTGCCTGCTTCTCTTGCCACCTCACTCCCCTCCAGTCGCACCATAATCTGACGACTGATTGCACGTCGTTAGGGCACACTGATTGGCTGAACGCTGGTCACGTTGTGGTGTCAGCCACTCCCACAACGCATCAGTAGCAAACACTGATGTTTAAAACGAAATGTTGGTGGGAAAATAAAAGCGCAGATGATGAGGAAACTATTGTTTTGGCAACAAGACTGGCCTACTTTTTACCCCCCCCCCCCCCCCAATAGACTCAGTCCATTTAATTTATTTATGGAAAACATATTTTCTCATCTTTTATTGACATTCAGTCATGCCACAGCTCAAACAGGCTAAATAAATAAAAATTAACTGCGTTCACGAACATTCTTGTGATTGCTACAGTGACATCGAGGAAAATAAAATAACAAAATAAATAAATAAAAAGAACATCTCAAATCTAAGCAGTTTTCTCTTATTTAAGTTGGGATTTTCATTCCCAAGTTTTAATGTCATTATGATTTATAATAGTTATATCTTAAGAGTTATTTCACCTGCTTAGTCATAGATTTTGCTTTATTAACTTGATATAGCCTTTAGAGACAAAGTGAGTATTAATTACCCCTTCATTAGATTTAGGTAATATTTGAACTGTTATATTTGCTTTTATACCACATGTGGATTCTCCAAAACAATAAGGTTCAAATGTCAGTTTTATTTGTAGGAATTTACAAATGCTCTAAATCTAGTAATATAGATGGAAGAGTACACAATAAAGCATTAAGTACATCGCATTTTTTATTTTAACTAGAGTGAAAGGCTAGTTAGTGAAGTGGATTTCTAAGAGTCCCTGCCCCTGGTGCCAGGGGTAAGTGGCAGCTACTGCAAACTCACTAACACCTTAGCTTTTTCATTTGGTTCAGAGAATGGAAAAACAGATCATTTGGATGTTAAACCTTAGGGCTCTGGATGGCGTGTGGATATAGGAAAGGTCCTGGAGATAGATCAAGGCCAGACTATGAAGCGCCTCAAACACAAACAAGTTTTACAGGCGAAGCCACCCGTGATGCTCGGAGATTCTTGTTCCCGTTAGGAAGCGAGCAGCAGCATCTCGTACAATCTGAGTACTGATCTGAACCATAAATAAGGAACCGAAATAATTTCCTATACACGTTTTCTTTCAAAATCCACTGACTTTAGCATCTGAGCTGAAAATAAACTTGCTTAGAAATCTGAACTGTTTGTTAAACTTAAAGATGTCAAAAGTTAGTTTTTAAATGGTGCTGGGGACCCCAATTGAAACACCAGTCAACAGAATCCTTACTACTGAACAGGATGACATGACAAAGACAAAAGTGTTACAGTAAAAGAAGAGTTTTATTTCCATAATAAAAAAGGAGAACTTTTGTTAAATGATGCATATTTCAAATGGAAAAACAATTTACAATAGGAGCTTTACCGGTTCTACTGCTTCTCCTTCAAACTGGTGGAACGAGTCGTGAGGGCTGCACTGATCAAACATGCAAAACAAGTACACAGCAGGAGGCTGACAGCATGAAAGCCTTTCATTTTCAACAAGATGAAGCTTTCAATTGCGAAATTCATGTTTACTTCCAGGTTGACCAAAAACCCAAAAGGTTTTCTATGGAAGACCTCAAACAGGAACATATTTGCAACATCTAACTGACCTCTTCCTTATCCCTGTAAGGCACCGCTAGAATATAACCGGGACAGATGTGTGGATGGTCCTGAGTGGATGTCAGGGTTGGCCATTATCTTTTACTTGTATAAAAGGAACGAGTCAATTATTTTGGCCAAGGTTGAGAAAAAATCCTTATGTGACAGGATGGATAACAAATAAATACAATTTAGTTTGTTGAAAAGGGAGGAAGACATGGCCCCCTAGCGTCCTGCTGTATAGAGGACATGAGGACGTACAAGACAATAAATATAAATAGACTTGAAGAAAGACTTAAGAGGCATAATTCTCCACATTCCAAGTCAAATATACAACGCTGTACGGAAAAGCAATGAAAACAGAACTTGAAAGTTTTGGCAAATAAGCCGATTAAAACCTGAATTTAACTGACCGGAGAACAGCGTTGGCTTCCAGACCGTGTCCTGAGATTCTACAGGATTCTCCTGGAGCAGCACGTCTCAGGTGAATCTTTCAGATATCTTGCTTCTTCTTCTTATAAAAATCATGAGCTCACATTCATGACTGGCCAGCGTTCTTCTTACCTTAAGCCTGAATCAATTCTAATATTCAGATAAACTTTAACACAATGTCAGCTTGGGTAACTAAAACATGCTGAGATCATCAAACAAAAACACCTTTGAAAAGACCTTTAAGTGCTTATGTTCAATAACTGACATCTATGAATTATGCTTCCGAGTGCCTATTAGCATCAACATGGGGAGTGAATTGAAAAGTCAAAGTATTAAACTAGTAAAGAGAATGGTGGGCAGATATCGCAACACACTCAGGAACACGGGCATCACAAGGTGACAGGGTCCACTTTTGTGTCAGTGTAAAGATGCACTCTCCCCTCGGGCTTTTTCGCTTTAACCAAACTGGAAGAAGAAAGGTCCTGAATCTGAAGAACAAAAACAACATTAACAGGATCACATCTTTTGGATTGATTGTTTTCATTCTAATTGTACAAAAGCTCACCTGAACTGGAATCAAAGCTGAATCCTCCATTATGACCACTGAAGAAAGTCCTGAAGATGTTATTTGCATCAAAATCTAAACATAAAAGAGCAAAGAACAGATATGAGTTGATATTAATATAAGCTTCTGGAGGAGAAATTTTGGGAAAAATGTAACTTACTAATTTAAAAATAAACGAGAGCCGTATGAAGTTATTTTACATAGACACTAAAGTTAAAACTTTTTAAACAAACTGAACTTTGATATTAAGGAATAATCTTGTCTTTAAAGAGCAAATTGCAGGTTAGAGACTCCCATGAACCAATGTTTAGAGAAACATAATAGAAACTTGTTTTAAACATTTTTTACACAAACATAAATTATTTAGGCTTTTAGAGTCATTTTTCTGAGAAAGTTTTTTTTTTTTTTGCCAAACTAAGTGAAGTCAGCTGAGGGAGTCCTGTTAGGTTTATGCGGCTCTGACACAGAGGAAACTTTAAATGTTTATAATTCTACTTATGATGGCGCAAAAACCATAGTTATGAGGTTGCTGCACGCCCCAGAGACCGGAGACAAACCAGAGGGAGAAACCATCGGCCAATGACGAGAGATTGTGGAGAACAGCAGGGGAGCAGCAGATGAGTTAACGATGTTAGCTTAAACTGGTGTGCTAACATCACAATATTGTACAGACTACTGTCATGTACCAGACAATTAAAATATTGTCGGTTAGATAATATAATATTAATACTTGATAATAATAAACTAATGAGCCTCTGTCAGCTGTTTCATACTCGTAATAGCCGTTCACGTAACGTAGTTTAGTGCTTAGAGAGAGGGAGACAGACGCCTCTCACCCAGTTCTGGAGCTCATGCGGGCTTCTGTGAGCTGGATCCGACCCAGACACCAGCGAGCCAGTTGAGCTGGTATTTTTAAAAGCTGTGCTTCAGTAACAGACTGATCCGCCCTCGCTGTACAAAGGAGAGATACCGCAGTAATACTCACTGCTAATAGAAGCCACACATCTGTAACCTTCCACTGCAAATTTCATATTTTCAAAACGTGCAATTTAACTACTACTCTCTTTACCATGTGCAATAATTATCTGAACTTATAATTACTATGTACTCTTGTGCAATATCTTGTGTGCTACTGCTGTTATCCTGCTGTACCTGAGCCATTGCAATATTGCAATTTCCCCACTGAGGGACTAATAAAGGTATTCTTATTCTTAATATTCTTATCCTCTCCTGGAGGTCCGCGGCGGTTCTGATCCAGTTCCGACCCGGAAACCAGCTGTCCCGCTGAGCCGCGTATCTCTTCTTGTTGTCGGTTCTGACCTGGTTCAGATGGTGATCTGAGCACCAGAAAACACCATTTAATTTTTTAAACCCCATCACGGTTCTCCAGAGCCCAGCGCGGACCTCCCAGTCTCGGTACCGACCCATGTGGGCTACAGAAGTCCCGTCTTTTCAGCTGCACAAAACGCCCTCAGGCATAGGGATAGAGGCGTTGTTTCTCTTATCTGGAGACCCGTGGATTCGACGTCTGTACAGGCTGGAGTTGGTACAGCCTTCACACACCATCAACATGAACACAATCCATAACTAGTAAACACACACACTGACTCAATAACATGACCTCTCTACCCTAAAACCTGCCAGACTCCTCCTCTGTTTAATTCTGCACAGAGTAAGAGTCTGGGAACTCTCCTATTCAAATAACCCCACCCCCTGAGAAATCTAACCGAGCCAATCAGTGCTGAGTATTGTACATCACACACCACAATGCAGTTTGTCATAAACATGGCGACTGAAGCAGAGTTCGCTGCGGCTCTTTCCTCTGTTCTAAAGGACCTGAATGTCTTTAAAACCACAAAAAGTAGAAGCGCTAAAGCCTTTCTTCTAAAAGAATAAAAGATGTTTGCGCCGTTGCCAGCTAAAGAACTACAGAGTCGCGCGGTACAGTCAGCATTTCCGTCTATTATCTGATTGGTTATTTTTGAGCTGCCTAGTCCCGCCCCTCATGTACCTCTCTGCCTGTGAGTTACCAGACTCTTTCTCTGTGCAGAATTAAACGGAGGACGAGTCTGGCAGGCCAGGCTAAAAACTATCCAATCTCCACTCTGAGCGGAGGCAGCACCCAACTTCTAACTCCCTTTGGTTACATCAGAGGTTAAGATTTAGAAAAAAGAGCCTTTTTAGAAGCTTTGCTGAGAAAGGAAACTTTTAACTAGAAAAAGTCTGCGGTTGTGCATTTTAAAACAAAATATCCACAATAAGCATTTCAAATAGTATTTTCTGGACAGCATTTTATATGAATTAGAAAATAAATTTAACCTGGAATTTGCTCTTTAAACTACAATGGCCACTATTTATCCCAATAAAACCCACACTCACCTATTTTACAAAATGAAGCTTCATAAAACATTTCAGTAACAGTGGTAACAAACTGGAACCTGTGGCGCCCTCTAGAGGCAAAACTAAAATATGGAAGTTTACAAAATCCACATAAAACTGTTCCTGACGTTAATATATTTTTGGCTTGGTGTGACAGCACGCCGACACTAAACTGAAATTAAATCATGAAGTAACAGAAACATTAAATATTGTTTTATTTTTCATCAGGTTTGTATATTTTGTGTTAAATCTAATGATGAGCCTGCCAGTCCTGATAAAAAAAATAAATAAAAGCATCACCTCCACCATCGAAGCCACCATCATCCTCCAGATCGTGTCCATTGTCGTAGCGTATCTTCTTCTTGGGATCGGAGAGGATGGTGAAGGCTTCACCCACCTCCTTGAACTTCTTTTCCTCCTCCTTTTGCACCTCTGGAGTTGCTGCACTGTGGCGGTCTGAAAGACAGCAGAACCAAGTCTAAATAAATCAACTGAAAATAACGGGACATGCTTTCATGTTTGCGTCGAAGACGATACCTGGGTGATGCATGAGGGCCCGTTTGCGGTACGCCTTCTTGATCTCGTCCTCTGTGGCGTTCTTACCAACGCCCAGCACCTTGTAGTAATCTTTCCTCTTGCTCTTCTTCAGCTCCAGCTGTGCTTTCTTCAGAAGATGTTTGTGATCTGAGGCACCACAGAAATGCCGTTACCACAAGTAAACCTGTAAACATCTGTTAAAGGGACCTTATGCGAGCATGGCAGCTAACCTGAAGTTTTCTCTGTCTGATAAACCTTTTCGTAGTCTCGTACAGCCTCCTCATACTGCTCTGTGTCCATGTAGCTGCAGAGACACAGTCACTGGTAAACTGCACAACACTGAGCAACAAAACTCACAAAGCGTTGGGGTACTTAGGACAGCCATGCCACCTACCACTGAGCTCTTCTTAAGTAGGCCTTGATGTAAGTGTCATCTAGTTTGATCGCATTGCTGCAGTCTTCAATGGCTTTATTTACTTTCTTCAGCTGTTGGTAAGTAATCAGATGAGTGAACTGGCTGTATTCATTTACAGGAACAATGTGTGTAACTTCAGCCGACTTCCTGCATCCTACCTTGGCTCCTGCCGTGGCTCTGTTGCAGTAGAGTTTGGCATTGGTCTTAATGTTGTTGGGGTCGATCATTAGAGCGTCTGTGTACAGCAGGTAGGCAGCTTCAAAGTTGTTGTTTTTAAATGCCTTGTTGCCCTCTTCTTTCTTAGCTTTTAACGCTTTAGCATTCTGGGTAAGGAGGAAAACAGACACTCAGGCTTTTCTTAATTTAAAGGACCATAAAATGACACTGAGGATTATTTTATTTCAGCCAATTAGAAGTTTTGGCATCTTCTACTAGGGTTGGGCTATTTGTATAATTTTCCCCACCACCAATCGTCAGTCAAACAAAAGACAAGGTTGGCTAATAATTTGTGCATGCAACGTCATGGTGCACGGACTGATTTGCAAACACAGAAGTCCAAACCATGATTTTTTTAAATAGAAGCACAGCGCATAGGTTTGCTGGAAGATAATTTGATTTTTGTTTAATTTTGTATTTGTAGTTTGGTAGAGTGAAAAAGTGTTAAAAAGACTGTTTTTGTCTTTGTTTCCCTGTGGTGCCCACCATTGTGGTATTTTATTTAAGCAAACAGTTTTTTTCTGAACATAAGACTACCAGGTTACTTTCCTTTATGAGACTGAGTGGGAAATGAAATGAATCGCTGCTGCGTTTGGACGCACTCTAAGGGGGGCTGCTTTTGCTCACTGCCAGAGGCCGCATGATCCATTTATCCTGGTCACTGTCGTATTTAAAATAATAATCATTCAATACCATTACATTCTCATTCCTTTTAATTAATATCAAGTCCCAACAAGCTGATCAAAGCGCTCCAGTAACATAAACGATGCAATTAAACAAGTTCACCTGCTGCGGCCCCAACGCACATTCCTTCAGCTCCACATAGACCTGAACTGATCACCTGCAGCTCGTGTGTAGTCTAATGTCTCTAGGGAGCTTGCTGAAGAGGTTATGAGGTTCTAGACTTTTGCCTCAGACAGACTGGTGGATGTTTACATGTTCTGGATGAATCCACGCTCCACTGACGCACTTGAAGCGGGTGCTGAATAATGAGCACTACTTAAGCCAAAGTTTTAAAATCAGGAAATGTTTTTCCAAGTGAAATAACCAGAAGTCTACCAGACTCTGAAAGACAGAAGAGCTTCCACTCGACACTGCTCTCTTGTGCACAGCGTTGAGTGTGTCACAGACACTCTCAGAGCTCCTCTTCAGTGCACTGATGGAGAGATCTTTTCTTGATAGTTACCTCCGCAACGAGTAAATTATTTGTCATTAAAAAACTAACTAAAGGGCAAACACACAAACAAATCGCCTCTTGTAAAAACAACGGCTCAGCCTATCACCGATGGTTGAATAATCCCATCGCCCACCCCTATCTTCTACTATAATCAACTGTCACTGTGATAGTTTGAAATTTGAAAGGAACTTTAAAAAGCTTAAATCTGACTGTGTTCTATGATATTAGGTAGATCATTATTCATAATTATATTTCACTTAAAGCCCAGTGTACACTACAGGGTGATGCACACTGACATTCCTCAGTAGCTTAGCACACCAACCTAGCTCGAATGGCAACTCAAACTGCACTGATTTAATGTCAGTCTTTAAACTTCAAGCTAACCGTGGAAGAGGAGGGAGGGGAACAAAAAGGAGTTCATCTTTTGTTTATTGGAGCTAAGTAATTAGTGTGGTATTCAACCAAATGCTACATCAAACTGTTGCTTTAGCATGTTGAAGCGTTAGCAGGGATGGGCTACGATCGCGAGTGTCGGACTCCTGATCGTTTTAGGTGTTTCCCTGCTTAAACTATGCAGATCTGAATAAAACGAGTGTTTAACAGAAGCTGACGATGGCTGAGGTGATAATTCAGCGGTTAGAATCAGGTGTCTGAGCAATAATGTATCAAAAACATGTAGCCACAGCACCCCACCCCCTTGACGCTACAAGACCATTTGTGTGCGTGATGATGAGGTGTCGCCTTCAGCTCCTTCCAAAGAGAGAGGGGGTGCAGGGGAGGAAGCTGAAGCTGTTAAAATGTCAAAATCTCCTCATCTCCTTGATGACATCACACTACAGACCCAGTTTCAAGTCATGTGCTGTCATTGTATTTTATTCATACTAACAATAGTTAGTATGAATAACATTTCTGTTAACTCTGGATCTTTCTGTCAGTTACAGCAGTTGTAGAGAATTGCGTCTCAGCCAAAGCATCAGAACATTCATGATAAACAGTAAAACTGCATAGTAATGGCACACTTCTGCTCTCTTTACCCTGCAGGCTAGCCGGGCCTTTTCATGGTCTGGAGCCATTCGCAGAGCCTGGACGAAGAACTGCACTGCTTTATCGATGCAGTCTTCATAGTAGAGACACAGGCCTCGTACATACAAAGCATCTGCGTTAGTAGAGTCCATCCGCAGGATATCACTGTATAAAAAACAAACAAGAAAAGATAGCATTAGCTTAAAAAATCTTTATGACATATGAACAGAAAAAATCTAAAACTGAGTGGAAAATGTAACACTTGGACTAAATAATCATGAAAATTATTAGCTTTACATAAAAACTGAGCTTCTCTTGCCTTGCAACAGACTGAGCCTCTGGATATCGTCCCAGCAGAGCGAGACACTCTGCCTTCAGGATCTTGAAGCGGTGGCATGCAGAAGCTGAAGCCAAGGCCCGGTCCATGCAGTACACCACCTGCAATCAGGACCAACAAGTACACGTGACTCTGACCTAGGGGTAGACCAATATATCGGTCGGACTATACAGTTTTTTTATACATCGAAATTAGTCGATATTTGTCAATAGTAAAGCCGATATAAAGTCAGGCACATCCTCGGACAGCCCGTGCTGTTGCAGAATTTTATTAAAATTTATTTTTAGATTCTCCCTAAATTAACTTTATTCAGGTGTCTGACTTTAACACTGAGAAGTGCACAAAGTTAAGATTTAACAGTTAGTTAGTTAGATTCAGCTTCAGAAAGGTTTTGTATGGTAATATCTGTATGCAGTGACATTTTAGCATGAAAATATGGTGTAAAACATCGAGATATTGGCCATGAAAATCGGCCCATCGGCTGACCATGTCTCCTACATATCGCCATCAGCAATAGAAAAAGCATTAGCGGTCCACCTCTACTCTGACCACGGCTGTTTGACCCACCGTTACATCCTGACACCAGGACATGTTCACACACAGATGGAGCTGGGCAGATGTTTCAAGTAAATAATGTTTTATTTTCTAATGAGACAAGAATTAAAGGATAAAAACATTGATCCTTTTCCCCTGAACACACTCCATGTGCTTGTGACTACAGAATATTTAACCCCGTGTTTATAAGAAATCAAAAAGGAAGGCAGTGCTTGTAGATCAGAAAAGTATTTTAGAGCGTGTTATAAGGTACCTTTCTAAAATCCTGTTTTTCGAAGGCGAAGTCAGCCATTTGCTCGTACTCCAGCAGCGCCGCTGCATTCTTTTTCTAAAACAAATCATTACATAGAAAATGACACCATTAGCATCATTTCCAAACCAGGTGCACTTCAGTCACTTTACCCAAGTGAGCACATCAAGTTCAACAGTGTTCAAAATGAAATCCAACTGAAAGCGTTTTATATTGCAGAAGTTCCCACCTCCTGCTGGGCCTCTCTGTTGCTGGGATCGAGCTCCAGAACCTTCAAGAAGCAGCGGCTGGCCGCCATGCCGTTTCCCAAAGACAGGTGGCACTTACCCTCACGTAGATGCCCCTGTGGTAAAAAAACAAAAACATTCAATAACTCTTCAAATCACCGTCCATAACAAACAAACACATGTTATTTGCTGATAGGGTAAATGTTAAAACGGACCTTCATGAAGCAGTCATCCAGACGCACAGCCTGCTGGGAGTCTTCTAAGGCTTCTCTAAAGCGGCACAGCATCATGAGGGTGGCCGCCCTGTTGCCATAGTAACTGGCATTTTTGGGGCATACATCTTCAAATTTAAAAAGTGAAAATAAATTCCAAAGTATAAAACAATTATTGAAAGAACATTAAAGCTAAATCAAAAATGGGAAAAGGGCACGCTAAGGTGTTTGGTAACAGGATGAACTGAGACCAACACAGGTCAAAAGAATGGACGAGGTCAATCGTGGGAGGTTACTTTGGAATTTTAATGCAGCATATTGATGTAATCTTACCAATGGCCTTGGTGTAATAGTTGAACGCTTCAGAGTAATCTTTCTTGCTGTAGTAAGCGTTACCCTGCTCTTTGAAGCCTTCGGCCTGCCTGTAGAGGTAAAACAGACACTGGGGTCAATGTGGAACGAAACAAACTAAAACCATTCAACTAATCAGTCTGTTAGCTTTAAACAAAGTCCTTCAGACAAACCAAAACCAGCTGGAAGCAAGTTACCTCTGTGCTTTTGTAAAAATACAATAGCAATCATTTGCTTTTATCTGGGATTTGAGGGATTTTTTTTTTTTTTTGCAGATGAAGTAAAATTTGAGTATTTCAAAGGACTGCGTTGTATTTCACCTGAAACTGGGACACCAGAGCAGGGCGCATATTGTCCAGCACTAAACATAGCTGTGAAACTGGCCTGTTGCAACGCTGCTGGGGAGAGTTAAATGCTAATGAAGATGGATGCAGACAAACAAGGACCTACAGCTGCTGTCAGATGTACTGAAGAATAAATCAGCTCTGGTGAATTTAAACATCTGGCAAAAAGAACAAAACATGTAAAGAAAGAATACTTCACATTAGTTTATATCTATGAATAGGCAAATGTCTGGATGAACAAGAACAATGAATAGAAGGTAACTGGCTTATTGTTATAAAAGCTGCTCTGTTATTCCACTTCTCTGAAAGCTTCTTTTAGACCCCGAACAATAAATAGGTCAGTCAAGCATCAGCTTACATGCTGTCTGGGATACAATGGTATTAAAACTTTAATTTGCTGAGGAAAGCTGATGGGGATTGTGGTAGACGTGAAAATATTGGTTTCATCACTTTTTGCCTTTTTCTTTTAATCTGGGATGTAGCTTACAAACATTAAGGGATTCTAACAATTAAGAAAGCCTATCCGTTGGTCATCTTCTTAGTCCCTACACCCCCAGCAGGTTCCTGAGGTCCAGTGACCAAAGCCTACTGGTTGTGCAGCGTACCAGGCTAAATACCAAAGGTGACAGATCATTTGCTGCTGTGGCCCCCAGACTCTGGAACTCTCTCCCCCTGAGCCTGAGATCAGTGGGCTCAGTGGTCTCCTTTAAAAAGCAGCTGAAGACTCACCTGTTTTCCCTCTTTTTTTAAATTCATTTTCTCTCCACCTTTTCTTACATTTTTAATCACAATTTTTTTGGGGTCAAATTAAACATATTTGTAATCATTTAAAAAACATAATTCTTTTATATTTTACAATTTTTGTTTTTGTGAAGCGTCTTGTGAGTTTTATCTTGAGAGGCGCTTTAGAAACGATTGTTTTCTTTCTATCGGTGCAATAATATGTTTATGTATTTTGTCCAAAGCGACTTACATGTGATAATGAAGCCAGCAAGTTGCCCAAGAGGCTAGCAACAAACACTAATCGGTCAACCCTAGGCGGCGGTATATTGAACCAAAAAGGGAAGTGAACAAGGAGTGTGCAGTAGAGTGGGGGACGGGTGCTAGTTCAGAAGATGCTCTCTGAAGAGCAGAGTCTTCAGGAAGCCCCTGTTCTGGTCGTGCTTGGAAGGTCATTCCACATCTGTGGAACGACACATGAAAAGAGTCTAGATTGTCCTGAGTATGGTGTAGGCACTGCTAGCCCACGATCCTTTGATGACCGGAGCGGCCGGGCCGTGGCGTAAGCCTTTGCAAGGGGATTCAGGTAGATGGGAGCCGTACCATCTCGGACTTTGTATGCTAGTGATCTGAATTTGATGCGTACAGCTAACGATAGCCAATGGAGCTCAGCGAACAGAGGGGGTAATAGCAGAAGTGCTGTTAGGTATAACAATTCTAGTTATTGTGATGAATGTGTCAACTAGGGTGTGACTACCGTGATTCACCAGGTCAGATTTAACAAATTCATAGCTCACATAGTTGCAAGTTATAACCCTGGTGTTGTTACAAAACTGTTTATTAAACCTTTATAGTGCTGGTGCTTCTGGGAGTTAGGGCCGAGGGAAAATGTATAACTTAAAATTGTTCACATCCAATGTGTTGACATTCTAGTCATAAAAGAAACAAACTTTCTGCTGTTAAGAGTTTGTAGCTGATGACTCATCTAGCATTTTGTTGTCTATAAATTCTGTTCAAAGTTCTGTAAGTATGACCGATACCAGTTTACTTAGTGTCAGCTGGAGGTGAAGAAATATTCTGATAAAATTAGTGTCCGTCACCAACTTGTAGCATGTCTTCTATTCCGGATTAAGACTGGATTAAAACTGGAGATGTTTGAGAACAAATATGACAGTTATTGCAATATTATGTTTTTAGACACATGGAAATGTCACGGATGTCGTGAGCTTCTCTGATAGCTAAACTGCACACGACTTTCTATGTAAACCTCTGGACTGACTACTCTTTGTTTATATCTAAACATGTCAAATAAATCTGTTTTATTGTCTCTTTTAAAACACGTGATCAAACAGGTTTGAATGCGTCTATATGGCCACGTCCTCTCAACGCACACAGTTCGATCTTGATTCGATATAATTAAATTAGACGGTCTAAAACATATATTTCAAAGGCCGTGTGTTATAAAACGCGGTGAAATGTGCATCTATTGAGAGGACGGTGAGCCTGCTCTATCTAAGCTAGGCTAGCTCGTCTCCGGCTGCTGTGACCGCGCTGACCGCTTTCCGAACGCTTCCCACCAGCAGGCTGAGCTCACTCTGGCGTTTCTCACGTGTTACGGTGAAACACAAATAAAAGTCACATAGTCACCGTTCCATGTCGTCCTGAATGTGGATCATGGGCTCTGTGTCTACCGGCACGTCGATATCAACAGCTGCCATCTTTTCTGGAAAGTACGAACCGAAAGCGACCGTAAAGAAGCAACGTCACTTCCGTTTTTCCTCTTTATGGGTCGTAGGAAAGTAGGCAACTGGTACAAGTATTGTTATATAAATGTTTGCTGTGGCCACTAATTCACGATTTTTTAGGATTTATTGACATTAGTTCTGTTTCAAAAATTAGACCTCACATAAAAAACGAAGCCCGAAGACCTCTTATGATGAATTATATAAATGAAAACCGTGTTCCCTCGCCCGGACGTGGGTCACCGGGGCCCCCCACTGGAGCCAGGCCTGGAGGTGGGGCACGTTGGCGAGCGCCTGGTGGCCGGGCTTTCACCCATGAAGCCCGGCCGGGCACAGCCCGAAGCGTGGGTCCCCCTTCCCATGGGCTCACCACTCGTGGGAGGGGCCAAAGGGGTCAGGTGCAGTGTGTGATGGGTGGTAGTCGAGGGCGGGGACCTTGGCGGTCTGATCCTCCGCTACAGAAGCTGGCTCTTGGCACATGGAATGTCACGAGGTTGAGAGGTTCCGACTAGATATAGTCAGACTCACCTCAACGCATGGCTCTGGCTCTGGAACTAGTTTCCTGGAGAGGGGTTGGACTGTACCACTCTGGAGTTGCTCCCACTGAGAGGCGCAGAGCAGGGGTGGGCATACTAGTCTCCCCCATCTTGGTGCCTGTATGTTGGGGTTAGAGGGTAGCCTCCCTCTGCCTACGTGTGGGGGGACGGGTTCTGACTGTTCTGACATAGACTGTACATAAGACTGTGGTCTGTGCATAAGCACAGACCACAGTCTTATGTACAGTCTATGTGCACCAAACTACAGTTCAGACTACCCACCCTTTTGGAGACCTTGGAGGGGGTGCTGGAAAGCGCTCCTTCCGGTGACTCCCTTGTTCTGCTGGGGGACTTTAACGCTCACGTGGGCAACAACAGTGAGACCTGGAGAGGTGTGGTTGGGAGGAACGGCCCCCCCGATCTGAATTCAAGTGGTGTTTTGTTATTGGACTTCTGTGCCAGTCATGGATTGTCCATAATGAACACCATGTTCAGACATAAAGGTGTCCATATGCGCTCTTGGCACCAGGATACCTTAGGCCGCAGCTCGATGATCGACTTTGTTGTTGTTTCATCTGACCTGCGGCCGCATGTGTTGGACACTCGGGTGAAGGTGAACAGCAAAGGTGAACACCCTAAGCGGTCTTAAGAAGTTTTATTTATACATTTATTTGTATTCTGAACAATTCTAAAATGTGACTGTTATACATCTAACCAATAGGTGTCAGTGCAATACGTTAAAGATGTGGAAACACTGGTATAACAGACTTTTTATTTTTTAGATGAGGGAGTTACTATAATTATATTCTATTTTCACACTATGTCTGTGATAAACATTAATACCCCGTGCTGCTGTGCCTTTTTGCGCCATTAACACTCTAAACGAAACAGATAAAATATAACATAAAGCCTAAATAACGGGAATTCAAAGTGTCAAAATATCCACTCAATGACTAATATTGTTGCAACCAAATATTTGGTGAGATTAGGAAACCACTTATGAAGACAACTGGTTAGAATTTGAAGTAAGCATTTCTATTAATTTATCATAAAATTAGATGGAAGACAAGGATTCATAAAAATATGCCAAATTATAATTATTTTTTCGGTTTTATTGTCGAGTTTAGTTAGTTGCAGTAGCAATAAAACGCCACAAGAGAGCGCTGTGTAATTGCGAAGATTTGGTCCTGTGGCACCAGTGCTCAGAAGCCCTGGTTATTCTCAGAAGAAAATTTGGTATAAGCTGTTTAGAATATAAATAACCTAATTAACCATTCACAGGACTCTTGCTGAAATACTAGGAAACAGAGTTTGAACCTTTGATTATTATCGGGAGCTATGAAAGACATCTTAGTGATTAATTTGAGTAAGTTTGTATTCAGTGGTTGTGATGCAGGAGAATCAAGACCGCAGTGTGTGTGGTGCTGTCTTCAGCAATCACCCTGTGATCTGTACCTGTTAGCCAGGGTCAGGTATCTTGATTCAGTCTAGGCATTCAAATTATTTAGAGCAATTAATGTATAGCTGGATTGTAGAATGTAGAAATCAAAGGATCTTTAGATGTATTATTAGGATTTTGGGACACGTTTTTACTTGTGGACCACTTTCATTCATTACTTTTATCAGCAGAGAAGGATAAGGCCCTGGTGTGTGTGTGTGTGTGTGTGTGTGTGTGTGTGTGTGTGTGTGTGTGTGTCTTAGTTGGGTTTTATGGTAAAAAACAGTCTTTTATTTATTTTTAGACCATTTTCTAACAACTAAGTGATGTTTTCCTGCTTGTTACTTAGGTTTGTAGAAATCAGTACTTCAGTAAGATCCAGATCCAGTAAGAAGAACTCTATTAACAGTTTTGACTTTAAAATAGTGGCTCCCTTTGCTCTTTAATACAGATTTATACTAAATAAAGCACCTTTTATTAATAATCTTTAATAATGTGATGCACTGAAATACCTTTATGGCTAACAATAGCTACAAGACAACCAATGAACGTATTAATTAGGGACAAACACACAGAGTGGGCAAAAAAGTATTTAGTCAGCCACCGATTGTGCAAGTTCTCCCACTTAAAATGATGACAGAGGTCAGTAATTTTCATCATAGGTACACTTCAACTGTGAGAGACAGAATGTGAAAAAAAATCCATGAATTCACATGGCAGGATTTTTAAAGAATTTATTTGTAAATCAGGGTGGAAAATAAGTATTTGGTCACTTCAAACAAGGAAAATCTCTGGCTCTCACAGACCTGTAACGTCTTCTTTAAGAAGCTTTTCTGTCCTCCACTCGTTACCTGTATTAATGGCACCTGTTTGAACTCATTATCTGTATAAAAGACACCTGTCCACAGCCTCAAACAGTCAGACTCCAAACTCCACTATGGCCAAGACCAAAGAGCTTTCGAAGGACACCAGGAAAAGAATTGTAGACCTGCACCAGACTGGGAAGAGTGAATCTACAATAGGCAAGCAGCTTGGTGTGAAAAAATCAACTGTGGGAGCAATTATCAGAAAATGGAAGACATACAAGACCACTGATAATCTCCCTTGATCTGGGGCTCCACGCAAGATCTCATCCGGTGGGGTCAAAATGATCATGAGAACGGTGAGCAAGAATCCTAGAACCACATGGGGGGACCTGGTGAATGACCTGCAGAGAGCTGGGACCACAGTAACAAAGGTCACCATCAGTAACACACTGCAACGGCAGGGAATCAAATCCTGCAGTGCCAGACGTGTTCTGCTGCTGAAGCCAGTGCATGTCCAGGCCTGTCTGAAGTTTGCCAGAGAGCACATGGATGATACAGCAGAGGACTGGGAGAATGTCATGTGGTCAGATGAAACCAAAGTAGAACTTTTTGGTATAAACTCAACTCGTCGTGTTTGGAGGAAGAAGAATACTGAGTTGCATCCCAAGAACACCATACCTACTGTGAAGCATGGGGGTGGGAACATCATGCTTTGGGGCTGTTTTTCTGCTAAGGGGACAGGACGACTGATCCGTGTTAAGGACAGAATGAATGGGGCCATGTATCGTGAGATTCTGAGCCAAAACCTCCTTCCATCAGTGAGAGCTTTGAAGATGAAACGTGGCTGGGTCTTCCAACACGACAATGATCCCAAACACACCGCCTGGGCAACAAAGGAGTGGCTCCGTAAGAAGCATTTGAAAGTCCTGGAGTGGCCTAGCCAGTCTCCAGACCTCAACCCCATAGAAAATCTGTGGAGGGAGTTGAAAGTCCATGTTGCTCAGCGACAGCCCCAAAGCATCACTGCCCTCGAGAAGATCTGCATGGAGGAATGGGCCAAAATACCAGCTACTGTGTGTGCAAACCTGGTAAAGACCTATAGTAATTGTTTGACCTCTGTTATTGCCACCAACGGTTATGTTACAAAGTATTGAGTAGAGTTTTTTTTAATTGACCAAATACTTATTTTCCACCCTGATTTACAAATAAATTCTTTAAAAATCCTGCCGTGTGAATTCATGGATTATTTTTCACATTCTGTCTCTCACAGTTGAAGTGTACCTATGATGAAAATTACTGACCTCTGTCATCATTTGAAGTGGAAGAACTTGCACAATCGGTGGCTGACTAAATACTTTTTTGCCCCACTGTATATCAATTACAAAGACAAACAGGTAAAAACCAGGAATATTTATAAGTTCATGTGGAATACACATTTTACATTAATGAAAAAAAGCACACTTACACTAGTCATTAATCCTACCAGATGACAAACAAAATACAGATTGCTTGGAGCATTTCAGTATGAGGAATATATTAAACAAAAGTTGATCTTAATGTAATCACTGTAGAAAAAACTATTTTTATAGTTCAACGTATTTCAAAACATGATTTATTTAGATGTACGTAAAAAACAGCAGCATATCTGCCTCTTTTTATTGCACCAACACCATCAAACAGTTGCGAGAAATTCCTTGAAACACTTTAGGTCTCCCTGTTTAGTTTTTCATTAATAGCACTGAAACCTTTATTCAGCAAGTCATCCCCTACCAGATTCTTACTCAACTCCCACTTCCTGTTTGAAAAATGCAACAAATGCTTTTGCCTATCAGACCGAGAGGGCGGAGCCACTAACAAATACACACACACAGGCTCACAATGACATTGTGATATCATATGGTACCAGCTAACGTTCTAGGGCACCTCTTAGCCAATAGCGATGGCATGCAGAGTTTTTACCTGACAATGGCACAACACTGACAGTTTTAGGCAGAAAATAAAAATTTTAACTAGAACGCATTAAGTGCTCAACTATTGACTACACGTGTCTGCAGCATGATTAGACACACATTTATATAGTTTATCAGAAAAAAAAGTTGATTTGGGGGTGACTTGCTCTTTAAAAGGAACATTTTGACATTGTAAAGTGCTTCAGAATGAACACGTAACACGTTTTTACTACAATGTATTTATGTTCTGTTTGTAGCTAGCACCTAGAATAAGATGAAATTTTTAGTTGTGTTTATTTTAAAGGCTAACTATAAATGATGTATTAAACAGGGTGACCTAAAGTGTAACATCCTATTAATGCAGCAGGCAGAAAATTAACAGCTCCTGTCAAATAAATGTAGGTTTGGAATAAATAACTTTGTCATAAACCACATAGTTTAACACATTAAATGCTCTCTATCTTATTTAGTCAAATATTTATCTGTTTACATCAGAGTGGTGGTTGATTGTCACCCTGTAACACAGAAGACAATGACAAACACAAAATTGTGGATATATATATAAAAATGCAGATCAGATGATGTTGGTAAAGATACAACTTTGCTGAGATTCAAATATTTTCAGAGGTGCTAAATTGATCTTTATTGTCTCTTTTTAAAACATTTTGACATATTTTATGTTAACCAGTTTTAATGCAGTTTCTTGCTTCTGATTTATTTGTGAAAATTAAAATAAATTAAAAAAAGTCCTCCTAGAGTTTGACTAGAAAGCTCTAAATGAATTTAAAATATGTTCTTAAGCCTTTAAACATCCTAGTGAATTATTATAATATAAAAACCTAAAAGATGAACATCATTATGGCTTGTAGAGAGGTCCAGATCCTGGGGATCAAGCACTCAAGTGTCTTTCGACAGGAAACAGCTGAGAGATGACTCTTACGTTTTAAAGGTTGACACACTGCTCAGTCAGAGCTGAAATCTCCATCCAAACCAGAGGATCGAACATCTCAGTTAAACTCCTCATGCTGCTCTCACTCTGACTGCAGCAGTTTGGTGTCCCTCAGGCAAAGCTGGATGGTCCATGGCAGGTTGGGTCAGTGATTTCTGCTAGTCCAGCTTTGGCTGGGTTAGGTCCACAACTCTAAGTCCATTGTGCTTGTTGCTAATAAGGAGAGAAGATAATAGGTGTGTGTGTGGCCCTCAGAGGTCCAGGTGCAGGCCTGAAGAGGGTGGGGCTGATGAGGGGTCCCTGGATAATGGCGGCAGGTCCTGGAGGCAGACGTAGAGCCAAAGGTCCAGATGTCATGGTGCACAAAGCGGCTGGATTGAGTGGGCTGGTCAGGAGCCCTGCCGGCAGGGCTTTGGATAGCTGCTTCTGCAGGGCCAGTTTGGTCTGAAACAAAAATCAGCAAAAACATTGACCCAAGAAATGCGAGTGGGACACCATGCCAGGTTCTACAAGATGTTTGGACTTATTAATATCTACTATAATCACTACTTAGCAAGCTAGCGTACCACAAAGCCAGTCGCTGTTTCGTCATGCCCAAACCAAACCATAACCAAACTAGTTAACTCTATGAAGACCTCGGCATTCCCCCTCGACATCTTACCCTCATCTTTGTTTAAAAGTGCTTTTCAGTCCATCGGTCCCAACGTGCTCTCTATAATTAATGCTTCTCTGGTATCTGGTCAGGTCCCTGCTTACTTTAAGAATGCTGTAATCCACCCGCTTCTTAAAAAACTGAGTCTCGACGCCTCTCTCCATAGCAGCTTCAGACCCATCTCTAAACTTCCGTTCATCTCCAAGATCTTGGAAAAGGTTGTGGCTAAACAACTCACAGCTGCTCTTGATGAACACAACATCTATGATAGCTTCCAGTCAGGTTTTCGTAGAGCTCATTATACTGAAACAGCTCTTCTTAGGTTCTCTAATGACCTTCTGAACCACAGTGATGCAGGGGACTGTTCTGTTCTGGTCCTGCTGGACCTGACTGCAGCCTTTGACACTGTTGACCATCATCTGCTACTGGAGAGGCTGAGAGACTGGGTCGGCCTATCAGGAACTGCTCTGGAGTGGTTCTCCTCTTATCTTTCTGAGCGCTCCTTTTCTGTGGCCATCTCCAAGTTTAGGTCCTCCACCACCTCCCTTACCCATGGTGTCCCACAAGGTTCTGTGCTGGGGCCTCTGCTCTTCCTCCTCTATCTGCTCCCTCTTCAGCACATCCTGAGCTCCTTCAAAGGAATACTACCATCTTCATGCTGATGACATCCAACTGTACATCTCCTTTAAGCCCCATGAGATGTCTAAGCTGCAGCTGTTACACACCTGCTTAGACTCTATCAAAACCTGGATGCTGGGAGCTTTCTTCAGCTGAATGAAGATAAGACTGAGATCCTCATCTGTGCACCAGACAAGCTGGTTCCCAAAGTCAGAGACTTTCTTGGTCAGCTTGCTTCCCACACCAAACCTTCTGTCAGGAATCTTTGGATGACCTTTGACCCAGCTCTCACCCTGGATTCTCATGTCAGTTCTCTTGTTCGCTCTTCCTTCTTCCATCTCAGGAACATTGCTAAGCTGAGTCCCATTCTGTCCCGCTCTGAACTTGAGACAGTTATCCGCACCTTCATCTCCTCACGCTTAGACTACTGTAACTCTCTTTTCACGTGTCTGAGCAGAGCCTCCCTGAACCGTCTACAGGTGGTTCAGAATGCCTGTGCTCGGCTTCTGACCAAGTCCTCCAAACACACCCACATCACCCCGCTTCTCCTCCAGCTTCACTGGCTGCCAGTCAACTTCAGGGTTCATTTCAAGAGCCTGGTTCTGGTCTATAGGGCCTTATGTGGACAAGCACCATCTTACATTGGTGATCTTCTGAAGTTTGGTTTATGCTTGACGCATTTACTTTCTGCTTGGTGATGCGACTCGCGGATGGAACACGCTTCACAAATTGCAGCGTTTATGTTTCATGCGGCTTGTCTCTGCAGTGAGCCAATATTCTCCCAAACTGTAGGGGGCAGCATGGAGCTCTACCGCATGCATCCAACACTACACCATAGTAGAAGTAAAAATTACTGTTGTTTACAACATGGCATTCCAGCATTTTTTAACAGCGTCCTCATCTTTTCCGACGGTGCGAGCTATTTCTCTCCAAGAATTATTAACATGTCGATCACGGTGATCTCTGAGAGCTGAATCATACAAATGTCTGTATTTACGAACCTCTGCCATACTAGTTCTTGCCAGTCCGCCATGTTTTTCCTCGTCCGACCGTCCGCGTAGTTAGAAAATTTCCTAGGTGCACGGTGTGGAAAGTTTGGGCCGTGCGGAGGCGCGGTGAGGGGCGTGGTTGTACCAGGGCTGGGGTAATATGGCTATGTCAGTTTGTGTTTGTTAAAAACCTAGCAGCAGCATTCTGGAAAACCTGCCTTTGTTCAGAGGCTCCCAGGCCCCCACAATCCTGGGAATTCTGTTAAGCCAACATGGACGTAGTAATCCACCTTCATCCACTAGGACACCAGAATTGAGCAAATCCTCATTGACTCCCATGTTAAAAATGCCCATTTCTCAGCAGAAATAAAGATGTTTACAGCTTGGTTCAAAAATATTTTAGGATTATTAGATCTAGTTTACATTCATGACAACTCTGGGGGGACAAAGTTTTTTGTAACTCTTCTGTTTAAGTGGAATTTAATGCTTACAATTCTGATTAATTAATGAGCATCAGAGCCACGTCAGAGCCAGAGCTAGTGCTGGAAGCTAGCTCCGGGGAAAGGCCTGGGCTTGCCACGTTAATCGATGTTCAGCCATTTCGACTCTCTGATTTTTAGTTGTATCCTCATGTGTTTGTGTTTGGATATTAATCATGGATTTATTTGGACACAGAGGGAAAATTGTGGTTATTAACTTCACAAATAGATCATCCAAGCAGCTTCTGCTTCTTTTTCATCAGTAAGTAAAATTATATCTCTGTACGTTATTTTTCTGGCTGAATGGGGGATGCGGTGTCATTTAACTGCTTGGTCAAACACGTTGGTGGGGCTGCATAAGAAACTTGAGCAGGTACCCGGCTTCTCCTGCTCCTGCCTGGGAATGATAAATAAATGATAAATGACCCGCACTTGTATAGCGCCTCTCAGAGTAAGGACTCCAAAGCGCTTTACACTACAGTGTATCATTCATCCATTCACACACACATTCACACACTGATGGTGATGAGCTACGATGTAGCCACAGCTGCCCTGGGGCGCACTGACAGAGGCGAGGCGAGGAACAGCAGGTGGCTGGCTGTTCCTGTTTCCCAGGGCAGCCGGTGTCGATACAAGATCAGCTTGGGTGCAAGATCGGCTCGGGGTCCGTCGACTGCCGATGACGTCAAAGTAGTTGATTGGCTGAACATGAACCTTACGGAATTACGTAATCACGTTACGTTGTTATCACGTTACGTTGGTCCAGGCAAATCTTTCTGTTGGAAAGATGGACAACTTCTACAAAGAAATCCATCATTACCTCTTTGAAAATACACTTTTAGCATAGAGCTGCATGTATATTAGGGCTGAACGATTAACTGCATGTGCAATTAAATAGCGATGTGACAAAAGGAGATTTTCTAATCGCAAAGGCTGCAATTTGGCAGCGAGTGGTTAGCGCAATGCTAATATACGTGGAAAAACCCATAGGAATGCTAATGCTAATATCACCGATTACATTATTACAAATTATGAATTAGAAACGTGCCAAATGATTACATTTGGAGTCTAATAGAAAGTAAAACTACCATCAATCAAATAAGTACAGACAGGTATTTTAGTAAAGCCAGAAAACTTTTAACTCCAGAGTTTTGGCTAGCAGCTATGAGCGTACCTGAACTACGCATGGACAAGACGTCAAAAACTAAACACAAAATACTTCAATAAACGGGACACACTTCTTTCCTGCAAATACAATTTCACAAGTGTTGCTAATACCTATGATTCTTCAAGGGATTCAACATTATGAATACAATATAGTTTTTTATTTTACAAATACCATTATAAACACAAACGTACGTCCTAAGAAACATTATTTTAATAACGAAACTGTTAAATTCTTTCCAACAGTATAGATGTGTAGTGTATTTTGTCCGAGTGGGTTTGCCGTACTTTGACGTCATCGGCAGTCGAAGGACCCCGACCCGATCTTGCACCCGAGCAGATCTTGTACCGACACCGGAACGCGCGGACAAGCTTGGATGCGAGGTTGTAGTCATGCTGGTCACTTGTGGATCTCTGAGGGAGACCACAGAAACACTGCAGCTCTTTTAGTTAATGCTACTTCACTTTTGAGTCACTCAACCGCATTTCCCTTGCTAATAGTTTGTCGGTCAAACAGGGGAAAGTTCTGTGCTTTTACCATAACACCGCTTAGTCTAAGATGGGTTGAAATGTAATGTATTGGTGTGGCTGCTGGGTAACGAAACTCTACATATTTGACCAAAGATAGAGAAGGCAATCAGGCTTTGTTCTTCCACCGTGGTCAAAGATCCGCAAGTCCGCCATTGTGGCAAAAAACTTATTGCACACGGCTCCTGCATAAGAGCTGTCAGTTTCTTTATGATAAATAATCAGTTGTGCCTGTATCGGTTGGAAATATCTTTCCAAATGTTCTCCTTTATGCTCCCTGTGAAGGCAGAGTCATCTTCTTGTTCGGTGCAGTGTTGCTGTAGCTTTTGTAGAGTGGGAAAAATCTCCCCACAGGTCAGACCTTTGTCACTGGAGTCTGCTAGTGTGGAAGTGTGTATATAAGGCTAATGACGCAAACATGATGGGCAGTATTAGTTAATTAGTTACCTGCGATTTTAACAAGAGAGGATGTGCAAACTTCACAGCTGCTGCTGCGTTGATATTCACTTGTCCAGAGCGGGTCAAAATATGCAATAACTTTAAGTTATTGCATATTTTGTGCCCAAAGGAACTGAAACAATGGGAACTGGTTCTCAACAAGAAACAGTTTTCGATTCCCATCCCTAGCCGGGAGCCTAGTCGACGCTCCCAGAGACGGGACCATAACAGTCCCGGTCCATCTTAAATCTCCACAGGCGACCAGCATGAATACAGCCTCTCATGAAAGTCAGGCAGCCATGCGGGCAGGCTACCCCGATTCCCGGAGCCCCTTCGGAGCTTCTTGGGTTTGCTAAGTTAGCTAGTAGCTACATTGGTTCAATTTTTTTTCCAACCGTAACAGCCCCACCCTTAGCTCTACCTCTTTTCCCATTTTGGCACTGTCTGGGCATGACGAGACGTGTGACATGGTCAAAATGGCGGTGGTGGGAACCTCCCATTTTAAATCAAAAGCTTATAAATGGAGTCTATGGACATTATTTGTACAGTAAATATGTCGGACCTATGAGTCAATGGGAAGGGTATCAATCAATCAATCAATCAATCAATCAATCAATCAATCAAAGCTTTATTTATAAAGCGCCTTCCGCAACCCTGTCAGGAAGCCCAAAGCGCTGAAAGGGTAGGAGATTTAGGCTTAGTAATCTTGTTGTTTCATCAGAATGAAGCTGGTAAAATCTGCTGCCACCTAGCTGCCAGAGTTTGAATTGCATCACAGGAAATAAATACAGTAAAAGTTTGCATTTGAATTCTCAATAAAATTTGATACACTGCTAATATCAGTTAAGTATCATAACACAAAATATTGCAATATTTCAGTGTATTGATTTTTTCTTACATCCCTAATGAGAAGTAAGGTGCAAATAGCTCTTAGTTATACCCATGAAATCCTTCTGCTTCATTAATATTTAAACCAAATCTTTTAATGATGGTGTTGCATCCCTTTTCTTGCATCTGGCCAATGTATCATCAAGTTTGAGCATGAATTGCGGGTGCTGTAATTGAACACAAACGTGAACTAACAGAAAACTAATGAAACACGCGTGGCTCTTACCGCAAAGATAACACTGGGGTGTAGTTTATTGTAGGGGGTGAACTTAGTCTTCACAGGCTTCCCCGCCAAACGCTCTTTGTGTCTCCTGCTGTTCATGTGCTAAAAGAGAAACAAGATAAAAAAAGAAAACAACAGCAACAAATCCTTTACTTAGAGCAGTTGTAAAATTAGGTAAATGAAATAACGATAATGCATCAACCCATTTACCTGCTTCAGCTGTGTTTCTGAGTTAACAGACACTTGGCACAGCTCACAGTGAAAGGCCTGATTGGTCACACCGACCACCGCTCTGCTCTTGCTCCTGATTTGCTGTTTAATTCGGCTTTTTGGCCTCTGAGATGATCCCGATTTGACTCTGCGGTGTGAACGATGGCTGTGCTGACCGTCTAGCATCTGTTTGTGCTTCGACCCTGATTCAACCACCCAGAGGGGAGAGATTAGTAAGCTAGCATAGATTCAAATGATAAGGGTCTTCACAGTAGTAAAATGAAAATGTATACCACTACAGTGAGACTCTAGCTGGGAGCTAGAATTGACTGTCACTTTGCAGGTTGGACAGTGAAGATGCTTTTTGTTTTCCCTGGCCTCCTTCCCAGTCTCCTCCTCCTCTCCTCCTGTGGAGCTTCCTTGGATGTCAGAGTGTGGTGCTGAAGCAGAGTCTGGGCTGCACACATCTGCATGAGGACTGCTTGAAGGTGGATCAGAAAGCTCAGATTCTGAGGAGATTTGTGGAGTCTGGTGAGCCAGGGGGAGTGGTGAGGAGTCTGTGGATGAAGGCAGGGCTGTTGCTGAGCACTCCTGGGTGTTTTCAGGATGCTGTTGTGCTGTGTGGGATGAAGTGCTGGAGTCTGTGAACAGAGGGCAAAAACAAGCTGCTTAAAATATAGAAAGAGTTTTTTAAACCTTCAGTCATTGTTTACTTTTTAAAATGATTCTGCATATTCCACCTTTAGAATGGTGTTAAATGGATGTTATGTTCTGTATTTGGATTCCTATTTTTTTAAATGACCAAACTAACACTTTGAGAGAAATTTTTGACTGTTAAAATTAAAAAAAATATATTTGTATTTTCTCTTTTCTTGTGACTGCAGTTGAGAAATTTGAATATGCCCTCTGTTTTGTGGGTTAAATAAAAAGCAAATAATGCTTGTGTGATGCTGCAACTGTTAGGGTCTAGGATTTTTATGGATAGATTCATTCAATTATTTTATTTTTCAACATTTATCCTAATTAAATTTATTGGCAATTAATGAATCATGCAGCCTTTAAAATTGAATATGAATAAAATGTACGAAATCAATATGATAAAGTTTAAAAATACACATGATCTTTGTTCATTATTTGTTATTTTCTTTTATCTCACCCTCTGATTGTACCTTGTCTTTTTTCTATCATCTATAGCATTTTCATATATTTTTCTCCTTTTTTCTGTCATCTTAATCGCTCTTCCTTTGTCCTCATGCCTCTCTGCCATCTGTTGGTTTTCTCTGCCCAATCTCCCACCGTCACATCAATCAACAACCATGGCAACCACCGAAGGTAACAAGCTTATCATTATGTGCTTCGAGGGGGAAATTGATAGGTGTTGCAAGAAAATGGGAGGCAGAGGATCAATAATGGAAAGGAAAAGCAGACAGAGGGAATAGAAAAGACGGTGGTGATATTTTGTTGTCAGACAAAATGAGAAGCTACAGGACTGATGGCTGGCAGAAAGTAAAACCATAAACTGCAGAGTCATTACTCAGAAATTAGTTCAGATGAATAGAAACATTAGAAAATTATGTGTATTTTTAAAAATGATTAATAACTTATTTGTGGGTTTTAATGAGATAATGTGTAGTTTTTACTGTTAATCTCTGGAAATTTCCATCCAAATGTTGAAAATGAATTTAAAGAGCAAGTCACCCCAAATCAGGTTTTTTTCTGATAAACTACATAAATGTGTGTCCAATCGTGCTGCAGACACGTGCAGTCAATAGTTTTGCACTTTTGTGCATTTTCGTTTAAATTAAAATTTTCTGCCTAAAACTGTCAGTGTTGTGTCGGTGAATTTAAATCTGCCATCGCTATTGGCTAAGAGGTACCCTAGAATGTTAGCTGGTACAATATGATGTCACAATGTCGTTGTGAGCCTGTGTGTGTATGTATTTGTTTGCGGCTCTGCCCTCTTGGTCTGCTAGGCAACAGCATTTGTTGCATTTTTCAAACAGGAAGTGGGAGTTGAGTAAGAATCTGGTAGCCACTCCCCCTGGCTCACCAGACTCCACAAATCTCCTCAGAATCTGAGCTTTCTGATCCACCTTCAAGCAGTCCTCATGCTTGCTCTTTAATGATGCCCAGTTGTTGAAAAACATTGGTGGCTTCGTAACATATAACTATAAAAATCAAGTCTAAAATACATGGGAGTGGGTGTAAGACTCCATATTAAGCCCGGATCACACTGTGTGATTTGCGGCTGTCTTAACCAAATCCCTCGTCTGGAACATAATCATGAATCATCATTCATGATAAAAAAAAAAGGTGAATGTGAGGGAAATTTGCATATCAGACCGGCTCGGTTGCAGATGTTTGAGCCGTCTCACAACCCAAATCAGCATCCGACAATCTACAAGCATGCTTGAAAACGTAAGACTCCTGTCTGCAGTCGAGAAAAGAAAACATGCATTTGGGGGCTTTGGTTTCAATTTATGTTTAAAAGTGGATTATAAACTACACACTAGTTTTTATTCTGTTAATAGCCCAAGTAAAACGGGAGTTATACTAAAAAAATTAAACTACATTTGTAGACCATCAGCTGAATTGTGAAAACTGTGATTCTGTGATCTGTGAGAATGTGCGAGGAGATGTGCTCACGGACATAAAAAAATAAAACACAAAAACATGACATCCCTTTGCTGTTGGTGGGAATCTCACATATTGAACCAATAAGGTCGGTTCACTAGCGTTTTGCTGCAGGGGGACAGAGGAAGCTCCGTGACAGTGGGCGTGATGCTCTGTCACGGAGTGGAGCTGCAGAGTAAACAGTGAGACACAATTCACGACCAAGTTTAGATAGATATTAAAGCAATCTGCAACAGATTGTTACATTTCTGTAGTTTGCGTTTTTTTTAATGTACAAAAGAGGATCAAAGGGATGAAAGTCCAGCAGACAGATCAGCTGTTTAGCTGGAAGACCGGAAAAGGAGACCCGCAGCTGGAGTCTGACGCCAAAGCGAGGGTTTTGAAAACGATGCTTCTTTTTTGAAGAAGAGGAGTTGGGTCATGAGCTGATGCTAAAAATTTGTGTCAATGGCTATGTTTATTTTATCTTGTCAGCTTTGTTTTGGTCAGCGGTCTGCTTAGTGACGTGTGCTTTCAGGAGGTGCACTCATGACGTAACGTGTCCTGCTGGAGAGAGACGTTGTAAGTCTGCCTCACTGACATCTTGCATCGTACAGTGTGCCATCTCTCTGGAATTCCCACCTTGTGACATGAATAATCCTGTATGACGGCCGCAAGTCTCAAAGTGTGATCCGGGCTTTAGACACAATGCTTCCTTCTACGGGAGCCCGTGAGGACAAAGTACATTTATTGATTTGTAACAAATGGTTACAAAACTTTCATCATTCATAAACGTTGTTGCTTTACACAATTACCTCTTCACTTGTTGCCGATGATGAAAGAGAGTCTGATGTGCTTGGTATTTTGCTGGAGGTTGCTGGAGGATTTTTGACCCTAATGGCTATCCGTTGGTAAGGTCTTACTCGAACACAAAATACCGCTTGCTTGCAATGATGTAGGTATGTACTGCTCCCTATCACCAGGGAAAATAGACATATTGAAATTTACCTTTCTTTGGGGCTACAATGAGCAAGTGTCACTTGCTCACAACCAAGACGTGTAACACGTCTCCTCTCCAAATTTTCATTTGCATTTCTTTAAATGCTTTAATGCTCATGATCCTGCTGAATGTCTTTACTTGATAGGAGTAATTATCTATGTGACAGAACCAATGATAGCAGGACAGGTAATGGCTGGTAATTAACCAGCTGAGTGGCAGCTTCCAAGCCTTGGTACTTATTCTCTTCAATTACAGCTAATTACTCAAAGGGGAGGACTGGATTTATAAATAGAAAAAAAACTTGTACCTGTTTTGTCTTTCAGCTGCAAGTCTGGTGCTGTTGCTCCTCCCATCAGATTGTCCTCTCTGTCTCCATCTTTTCCCTCCGAGGACTGGCCGTGTCCGTTCTTCTGGCGGTTCTTCTGATTCTCTAAGGCCTTTAGCTTTCGAGCATGCCTGTGACCTTTGTAGTGGGCCTCTGCCTGGGTCTAGACATCACACAAACAAAACAAAAGTCACTGAATGGTGCAATCAGGAGTGGGCGGCCTATCAAAAATAAATCATTCGACTAGTGAGAGTGCGTTTTTCACAGCAAATTTTCAGCTATATCTAATTATTTAGAATGTAATTCCACACAAGGATTATGAACACATCACAGTTCATGCTATCATATGTGAGTGGATCAGAATGTGTAAGTATGACCTTGAGCAATCCTGTTTTTACAAGGATTAGTTGCCTTTTGGCACTATGCTGGGGCAGCTGCTGCATGGCCCATGCTAACAGGTGCTAATGCTGTGTTACAGATCACAAAACAGCCACAGTCGTCTTTAGTTTTTAAAATGAAATAAGAAATAAAATGTCACAAAGAATTGAACTAATTACTGACATTATGAAATGGTGAATTTGTTCATTCTAACTGCTTAACTCCGGTACCTGAACTGCAGGCTGTTTCCAGACAGTGGTCATGTTTAAAGATTGAAAATGAAATAATTTAATAAAAAGCTATATTTAAAAAAATATTTCGTCCATGAGGTGATTAGAGGTGTGCAGAATAAAGGTACATTTTTTTCTTTAAAAGCTAAATTTTAATAAAAAAAATTATCCAATGTTTATTTTGAAGGCCCGACACTGGGTTTATGTTTACATCTACCAGCCAATAGAGGGCACCATTGCGGGTTGCCAAACATTCTGCTGGCACAGCGAGACTGACACTGTGAAAAATGGCAGAAACTGCAAGACTGCTTCTGAGCTCAGGAGATGTCATTATCCTTCTCAGAAGAGGAGTGGCCATAAAAGATCTAAAACCAGAATGAGTTTAGGTGAAGTTACAACAGATGGACCCAAAAAAAAAAAACATTTCACATATTGGCAGCAAAACTGGTATCCTGACAGCTGGAAACTTTGTTCTCTTGTTGCAACTACAACCTCCACACACTGGATGTTGCTTTGGTGTTTGCATAGACATGAATACGTAGACGCCCCATTGGGCGCTGGAGAGCGTAACAGCGTCACCGGCACCACCTTATTGGTTGGGTCTTCTCACTCTTCAAATCCAACTGGAATCAATGCAGGGTGAGCAACTATGCCCATTTTTGTCAAGGTAAAGGTCAATTTTATTTTTAGAGTGCATTTACAGCAGCAAAGCTACACCCAAAGGGCTGTACAAGGTAAAACAAACCAAGGTACAACAAATCAACAATAAAAACCTAAAATAAGATGAGCACACAACAGTCACAATTTATAATAAAACCTGTTAAAATCTTTTAAGATGCTCAAGTCAACCTGCATTAAAAGCCAGATCAAAAAAGTGCATCTTAAGAAGGGATTTAAAATGCTCTAGATTCTGTGTGGTCCTAATGTTGAGTGGTAGCTTGTTCCACAGTTTGGGACCAACCACAGAGAAAGCTTTGACGCTGCGAGTCTTAAAGCGGGTTTTTGGAACTGTTAAAAGAGCTTGAGAGCTGGACCTTATGGTTCTGGCAGGGACGTAAGCAGACAGCAGCTCAGAGATGTAAAAGGGGGCCATTCCATGAAGGGATTTGAAAACAAAAAGTTACATTTTGAAATGGATCCTGTAAGAGACAGGAAGCCAATGGAGAGAGGCCAGAACCGGGGTTATGTGATCCCGCTTGCTGGAGCCAGTCAGCAAGTGGGCTGCTGCATTTTGGACCAGCTGAAGCCGGTGTAGGGAGGACTGGTCCAGGCCAGAATACAGGGAGTTGCAGTAGTCCAATCGGCAGGACACGAACAGATGGATGACATGTTCGAAGACATTAGCAGGAAGGTATGGCTTCACCTTCGCTAATTGCCTTGAATGCATTTTTGTGCAGCCTATACGGTTGCAAAAACTGGTCCGGCGCACTATTGAAAACAGATCATGTGGGATTATTATTGACTTTTCTAGGTGTAGGTGACACAATTGTCACATTCAGCCTGCATGTTAAACTCAGAGCGAACAATATTTTTACAGTAAAAGAAAAAAATTGTTTCTCAGTGAAGCACCTCTAAAGTAACTAACCAGACACGGAGAAAACTGAGGGAAAAGGGCTGTAAGTTCAGCAAACTACCCACAGGAGGAAAAAAACACCATAAATCTGGTCATTCGGTAAGTAGCAGCTACTTTAGGTGAGAGAAGATTATATGACGTTACATATGCAATGTGCCGTCTAATGTGTAGTCATGCTAATTACGAACTTTTACAAGCTAATAAATCTCAAAGTACGTGACAGGCGTGGTCGAAACACCCATCATTACTTTTAATTTAAATTACAGTACAACATATGTGTAATCCAGGGCGTAAGGCAAAGCCAGTTAGAAAATAGTGTTTTTAGCATCATTGACTTGCATTCAGTTTTTCGTTCTTCCAGAGACCCGTGGTGCGGAAGTAGACTTAGGCTCCCTATCCTGATTGGTCAGTTATTAATTGCAGTACCACTCCATGCAACTAGAGGTAGCATTGGACCAGCAGAAGAAATGATCTGAAATGTGAACCGTGTGTTAAAGACTTTCAAGTCAAGTTCCACAACATGACGAGAGTAGAACTCAAGTCCTAAAAGTGACGATATCACCATTATATTAACATTTTAAGACATAAATTGTATGAGTTAAGATATCGCAATATTAAACTTTGGCAATTTTGCCCAACACAGTAGCCCTGGATTAGTTGAGTTTACTAAAGATTTGTGACACCCAGTCCCCAAATCATTTTAGAGTTTACTCACCTATTTACTAAACGGGTTAAGTTGTATCTACCTAGATGATCATTCATTTGTCCCAAAAATAATTAGCTCATTTAATTTTCTTTGAACCTTTTAAGGTTTTTGAAGCAACCATCTTCAGCTAAACTATAAGTAATTACTTTATGACAATTTAAAATGCTAATTTAAATAATGCATTTTCAAATGTAATGACTTTTTCAATTCTGTAATACTCTAAACAAATCTGCACTGAACAGCAAAAAAAATCTAACTTATTTTTTTGTGCAAGATAACATTTTGCACTTTGTGCAATCCCTCAGTTGTGTGTAAACAGCATGGAATGAGTTCATTTTAATCTTTCCACTTGTTCTTATTATTTGATGATGGCTATAAAAAGCCAGTTAATAGTAAAATATAGTAATGCATATTCTAAACACTTACACATGTTATCTGTATCCTACAAAGCTGATCGACAAATTGGCATTGCTTAAAAATGTCAACATGTTTCTACAGTTGTGGTCAGAGGTTTACATACACTTGTAAAAAATATAATATAATGGCTCTACTGAGTGTCCCGTTATTTCTAAAACTCTGATTTTTCTCTGATAGAGTGATTGGAACAGATACTTCTTTGTCACAAAAAACATTCATGAAGTTTGGTTCTTTAATGTCTTTATTATGGGTAAACAGAGAAAAGTGATCACATTTGCTGGGTCACAAATATACATACAGCAACATGAACTAGCAATTTGTTGACTTAGAAACGTGTCAGTGAACTGAGCTTCATAGCATGGCCTCTTAACTTCTTGTGAGTGATTATGAATGACTACAGCTGGTGACTTCTCTTAGGCCAGGTAAATAGGGCTCATTGGATACAAACGCCCACAAACGCTACAATGGGAAAGTCAAAGGAGCTCAGCATGGATCTGAAAACGTGAATTATTGACTTGAACAAGTCAGGAAAGTCACTTGGGGCCATTTCAAAGCAGCTGCAGGTCCCAAGAGCAACAGTGCAAACAATTGTTTGTAAGTATAAGGTGCATGGCACTGTTTCATCACTGCCAAGATCAGGAAGAAAACGCAAGCTATCACCTGCTGCTGAGAGAAAATTGGTCAGGAGGGTAAAGAGTGAACCAAGAATCACCAAAAAGCAGATCTGCCAAGAATTAGAAGCTGCTGGAACACAGGTGTCATTGTCCACAGTCAAACGTGTTTTGCACCTCCATGGACTGAGAGGCTGCCGTGCAAGAAGGAAGCCCTTGCTCCAAAAGCGGCACCTTAAGGCTCGACTGAAGTTTGCTGCTGATCACATGGACAAAGATAAGACCTTCTGGAGGAAAGTTCTGTGGTCAGACGAAACGAAAATCGAGCTTTTTGGCCACAATGCCCAGCAATATGTTTGGAGGAGAAAAGGTGAGGCCTTTAACCCCAAGAACACCATGCCTACAGTCAAGCATGGTGGTGGGAATATTATGTTGTGGGGCTGTTTTGCTGCCAATGGAACTGGTGCTTTACAGAGAGTAAATGGGATAATGAAGAAGGAGGATTACCTTCACATTCTTCAACATAACCTAAAATCATCAGCACGAAGGTTGGGTCTTGGGCGCAGTTGGGTGTTCCAACAGGACAATGACCCCAAACACACATCAAAAGTGGTAAAGGAATGGCTAAATCAGGCTAGAATAAGGGTTTTAGAATGGCCTTCCCAAAGTCCTGACTTAAACCCCATTGAAAACATGTGGACAGTGCTGAAGAAACAAGTCCATGTCAGAAAGCCATCAAATTTAACTGAACTTAACCAATTCTGTCAAGAGGATTGGTCAAAGATTCAACCAGAAGCTTGCCAGAAGCTTGTGGATGGCTACCAAAAGCGCCTAATTGAAGTGAAAATGGCTAAGGGACATGTAACCAAATATTAGCACTGCTGTATGTATATTTGTGACCCAGCAAATGTGATCACTTTTCTCTGTTTACCCATAATAAAGACATTAAAGAACCAAACTTCATGAATGTTTTTTGTGACAAAGAAGTATCTGTTCCAATCACTCTATCAGAGAAAAATCAGAGTTTTAGAAATAACATGACACTCAGTAGAGCCATTATATTATATTTTTTACAAGTGTATGTAAACTTCTGACCACAACTGTATGTGTACACTGTGCGAACTGCAAAGGCACATTCAAATTCAGTGTGCAGAGGCTGGTCTTTTCATGACTGTGTGCACCCACACTGTTTCAGCTGATGTCTCCCTGTGAACACTGCATAACACTGGCTATAAAATGAATATAAATGCATAAAGGGCACTATCAAGGGTCAAAAGGTGACTTGGGGGATTCATGGCAAAGCAAAGGGTATGCAAGGCCTTTGGCCTTGCTGAATGTCAGTACACACTGATCCTTCAGCACGATTGTCGGTGAGCCAGAAAGAGGAAGCTGCTCCCATTTAAATAAAGCTACAGTGTATATAGCATGCTAGTGATGTAGGTGTTCACTCTGCTCCACCATTGCACTACCATCTCTGTAGATCATGGATACAAGTGGCTGAAATGACTTGTCTCCACAGGGTGGCTGGGCTGTCCTTTAGAGATAAGGTGAGAAGTTCGGTCATCTGGGAGGGGCTCGGAGTAGACCCGCTGCTCCTCCATGTCAAGAGGAGCAAGTTGAGGCGTCTCGAGCATCTAGTTAGGGTGCCTCAAAGCTGTTAGCAATGGAGGACGCAAGCTTGTGATTGGTCAGGATGATGCTTTTGTCAACAGCGCCGCCATTGCGCCCTCAAAAACATAAAGAGAGCCGAAGATATCTAGCGGCAGACACGGAGCAGCTTGAAGAATACCTCACGGAAAAAATGGTAAAATGGTAAATGGCCTCTATTTGATATAGCGCCTTCTAGAGTCCTGGAACCCCCCAAGGTGCTTTACAACACAATCAGTCATTCACCCATTCACACACACATTCACACACTGGTGGGGATGAGCTACAATGAAGCCACAGCTGCCCTGGGGCGCACTGACAGAGGCGAGGCTGCTGAGCACTGGTGCCACCGGTCCCTCCGACCACCACCAGCAGGCAATGTGGGTTAAGTGTCTTGCCCAAGGACACAACGACAGCGACAGACTGAGCGGGTCTCGAACCTGCGACCTTCCGATTGCGAGGCGAGCACTTAACTCCTGTGCCACCGTCGCCCCACATTGCCCCAAACAAAAACCCTAAAAATAGGAAAAAAAAAGTTCACCCGTGACTGGATGAGTATGAAGATACCCAGAAAGCATTTTATTTGTGGATAGAAATGATGGGGAACATGGGTTTATAGGTGGCAAGTGCATGAAGAGGGGAAGAGAATAAGGGAAAAATTTGTGTGTGTTAAAAAGTTTCTGAAATACAAAAACACACAAAAAAAAAAAACCCACAATCATAAATGCATCATCTTGGCCCAGATACATGACTGGATACCCCAGACCAGCGCCATGCCCTCTGTTGTCCTGGCGGGGAGTTACTTTGCAACACTCCCCAGGAGATTGAGAAGTCAGAGAGCAAAACGTCAGTGCGTCTCTTGCTTGTGGAGCTGACACAGAAGCCTAAACTAGGCTTTAGGCTGTTGCCACTGCGACCCGACTCCAGATATGCAGAAGAAAATGGATTGATGGACTTTGGCCATTTTGGGGTGGACCATAATGACTAGCAAATGTGACAAGAAATCCGGCAAGAGACGTAGGAAAATAGTTTACTCAAAACTGTTTAAAAAACCTATTATCTTTGTCCTACAAAGCTGTTGGATGAATCGGCATTTGGCATTTGGGATGCTGCCCCCGCGACCCGGACCCGGATTGGCAGAAGAAGACGAGACGAGACTGTTTAAAAATGAATCAAATAGGTATTACTAATTCCACCAAAAGCAAGATCTATATCCTAAAAGGGAATTAAACTTTTTATATGCAAAAAAAATTCCTAAAATAAAACAACATCTTTCAGAGACAGTCTACCTTAAGAGCCATTTAAAAGGCTTCTTAATGTAAACTTGAACTTATTGTCATTTTATTTAAAATCAATATGATATTATTGTGAGAAACCAAACATAAACTTTCCCATTTACCTTCTGTGAGTTTCAAATACATTTTGTCTGGCCTTTACGTATAATTTTGCCACGTCTGAAATGTTTGCTTTTCAGACATGAAGTGTCTGACTCACAGTGGAGTTGAAGCGAAGGTGACAGATGTTACACGATATGATGGGTTTCTTCTTTGTCTGACTCACGCCAAAGGTGTGGTTGATCACCGCTTTCTGAACCGGGTCCATCTGAAAGGTGAAACACACATCTCGGTGCTGCTTTGAAATAAGGGAAAATCATGACTGATTTTTTTACCATTCAAAAGAAAAGTAAACATTTGTATGTTTGATTTGATGCGACAATCTCTTTCAGTGCAAAGGTTTAGTCCGCTCGGTCTCAAGAATAAACAAAAGAACATCTTTTACTCCCACATGTACTGGAATGGCAATTTGAGAAAAGTTGTAAAGTGTCGTACGGTGTTGAAATTGGGGAAGAGGCTGAGCGGTGAGGATCCGTTGACCCTGAGAGGCAGGAAGTGCTCTAGCTGAGGATGAGTCTGTGACGGAAGGGGCCGACCCGGCAGCGGCAGAGACCTGAGGAGCGGGTGGACCTGGTTCTGGGTCAGTGCACCTGCAAGAAAGCATATTCACACATCAGCAACTTGTGGAAAGACACAATTTTTACTCTCTCATATTCAGAGTCACTAACGGTCTACATAAAAGGCAGATTTTAGCACATGTGAGGACTAGACCCACAGAGCAGAGGGTTCACTTAGAGCTGCCTTAATGACTTCAGTGATAGTCAGGGATAAACGAGGTCTTTTCCTGCTTCACCAGTCCATTGTTTATCTTGAGAAACATCTCTGGCCTTTAACGCCAACTTTAATGTTTACTGTTGTGTTTTCTTCTTCAGATGATGCAAAAATCCCATCAGAGGTGAGAAAAGAGTTTTCTTACTTAACTCTGTACTAAAAGTCTGCTTTTCTGCAGGCCTTTCCTTACATTTCTGGTGTTTATTTAGATAAATTCAACAGTTTTTCACCATTGCATCATGCAATGAAATCATCTTCCATATGGCTACTTGTTTGTGGCTGACCTGCACACTTTCAGTACTCTAAAGAGCTCTGACCTTTGCCTAGAACCACAGCAGCATTAAAATGTGCTGTGTCTTACATGAGCATGACAACTACAGTCTATTGCAATGACTGTCTGCTAAATACATGTCCTGAGGCTGTTTGCTCATGAAATCATGAACGACAGATATAAATGGATTTTAATCACGATGAAAAGAAAATGCTTATTGACAAAGTTTCTTTTTAAGAAAAAGAAGACAAACATCAGATTAAAACACAGAGATACTTGGTAGGGATTAGAAATAAGCAGTTTGACTGGATGGAATGTTAATTTGGCCACAGCAGGATGAGATTAACCGTCCACTAGCAGGTGTCTTCTTCCAGGAAAACAATGCAACTGATGGATGAAGCTGGAAATTCAACCACGTGACAAGCAGATGATTAAATATGGTAAAAATGTGTTTGACAAGTACACATCTCTGTTTACTGTAGGATTTATTATCTGTCAGACATTTTAAAATCAGACTGCTCCAGTTCAAATCAAATCAGTTTATTTGATATAAGATTAAAGAAAAGCAACACAATCCTCTTTCACTTTATGATTTCAGAATCAAATGATACAAACATGAACGTCTTAATAGTTTTTCATGGTTATTCAAGAAAAAGGTTAAAGTTGAGCAGAAACAGAGGGAAGGAGAAAAGTGTGAGAAAACAAATCAATCGGTTCAGGTTTAAACAAGACTCAAATAAATGACCAGCATGACTGATGATGAGGTGGTGTTTCCATTTGTTGCAGGAGAAAAGGTTAAGAGGAATTCAAAAAGGATTCATTTTTTACTGCAGTTGTCCAATAGTCACAGAGATAAAGCAGCAGAGGTGGGTGGCGTGTCTTGTTTTATTGGTGTTTTTTTTGTTTTCTTGTTTTTTTAAACAAAGTTTTTAAAAATAAATCTTTACAAATTTTAACTGATCAAATAACATAAAACAAAAACAACCCGCCATGCTGGATCAGACTCTAAAAACACAAAACAGGCTTCAAAACACCAAAACGACTCACAAAAGTTGAATTACAAAGAAAAAAAAACAATCACAAAAATTATCAAAAAAGAAACGAATGGCAACCACACCTTTTATAGGTGTTTAAAGCCACAAAGGACCGTCACTTTAAATTATTAAAATAAAAAAAGTATCAGCTTTAAATCTGAGAGTAATCATATGTCTTACATGGAAATGAAAAGGAAACATGTAAACACAACCAACATTACCACTATTAATTAGAAATTTTTAGGAAAGTTTATGTGTGATGAAATGGTAATAAAGACGAGACAAAGGTAAAAATGGATGAAATTCCTTTATATTTGAGAACTGATTTATAAATATTGAAAATAATGTTATAATAAAGAACAATGACATTTAAGTTTATTCTAAGAAACACTTTTTATTCAAAACATCATTATAGCTGCACAAATGCATCATAAATGTCCGTTTTTAATACGGTTTTGACTATTTTGTCATCTCACAAAAAGAAAACAAAAACCTATTTTGGACAAATCTAACTTATTTTTTTACCATAACGATGGTTATGCAAATTAGGATCAGAATGTAAGCCATTAGCCTTGATTGTTATTTGATCCCTGATTGGTTGTGCAGCTTGAATCCATGCAGACAACACACACGTACACAAGCACAAACACAAATATTAAATGCTCTCTGATTTGATTAAGTCCAACCCCGTTTTCATTTAAATTCTTCACCGTGACCTTTCAAGTATCACTAATTCCACTGAACTAAATCAAATTGTGTTACACTGACTGACTGAGTAACAGAGCTGATGGAAATGAGCTAGGGTGAGAGACAATCTCATGCAGAAGAGAATATTTCACATCCACGTGGCCGATGTCTTTAATCTGCCAGTCAGGATCATTTTTGTGAGCATTGATTTTCTCTCCCATGTAAATCTGAAATTGATCTCAGTAATCCTCTACGCATACAGGACGAGAGGTTTAATTAACTGGATTTGGCACTGATCAAACCATCTGGCGACAACAGGCTGACTTAAAAGCTTTCCTTCTTGTGCATTTAAATGGACGTCAGAGTTTCAGAGTTCAGTTTTTCTTTTTACCAGAAAGTCATCATGTCACAACTTCATGACATCTAATTATTGTACCTAATTGCTTCAGTATTAGCCAGAAGTTATCACTGTAGGCTCAAAGAGCAAGAAAGGGTTTAAGCTTTGAGTTGAATTATGGTGAATAAAGTTAGTTTTTTCTAACTTTCCCTAAGAGGTGCACAGGTCCATCAAATTTAGGCCCATGGTTGCGGGGTTGCGGACAAACAATGAAGGACAAGGACAAGGCCTTTAGCAGTAGCTCAGACTAGCATTAGCTCAGTTTCTGTCAGCAGAAGCTTAAAGAGCAAGTCATCCCCTACAAGAGTCTTACTCCACTCCTACTTCCTGTTTGAAAAATGCAACAAATCCTGTTGCCTGGCATACCGAGAGGGTGGAGCCACTAACAAATACGCACACACAGCCTCACAACAACATTGTGGCATTGTAATGTGCCAGCTAACATCATATTGTACCTCTTAGCCAATAGAGATGGCAGATAGCAGCAGCAAGCCCACAGGCCCGCCCGCAGCCTCCCACCCCCAAGCCGGCTGAGCCCAGAGCCCACCGACCAGGAACCCAAGGGCGACCAGCCCCACCAGGGACCCAACAGAGCCCAGGGACCCAGATCCCACCAGGCAGCCACCAGGATCAATCAGACAGACGCCAGAAATCTTAAGCCCCCTGACACGGGAGCCGCGAACATGCAGGCAGACCAAGACACTACACTCCGCACCAAATGTGTCAGGGGGAGGGCAGGCAGGATGTGTAACAGCACAAGAAGTCCCAGGAGAGGGGATGAGTCCAAGACCCCACCTGACACATACAGTCATACCCAGACACACTCACACACTCCCTTCCTCATACTCACACATACACATACAACCTAAGACTTACAGAAATGAATGCTAGACACCCACTCACGCTCCCCATACACACCCTATTCACTCTGGTCCCGGTACTGCTGCACAATGGGTACAACCATCACTGGTTTCCAGAGTTCGCCCCTTTCTGCTGGGGTGATTATGAGAAGGCAGCCCCGCCCAACGCCAAGCAAAGCGACCCACCACCCCAGACCCCAACCAGACGGCCAGCTCCCGCTCCTAGCCTCCAGCCCTGGGAAGCCAAGCGACAACAGATCTATTTAGATTTAATTGACACTAGCATCAAAGCTAGTGCCTAGCGGTTAACTCTGGGGGAAGCCGCAGCCTGGGACTCGCATTAAAAGAGTTTGGCCATTTTAATTCTCTGAACTTGTGTCCTGTGTGTGTTCATGTTTGGATAATAATCATGAGATTATTGGACAAAGATGGCAAACTGTGGAATTGATTGCAACAGACCGTCCAAGTCTCTGCTTCATTTTAACTGGTAAGTTTTTTTCTTAAATGCAGGTAAAAATTTTATCCTTTAGTTTTGATGGCGGATAAATTCAATGTTTATAGCAGATGCTTTTCTCCAAAGCAACTTACAATTTTACCTGACATGCATGTTTTTGATCCGTGGGAGGAAACAGGAGCACATGCAGAAAACTCTTGTATGCTTTGGGAGAACATGTTCACGCAAGGAACCAGTGCAAACAGCTGTACTATCTTGCAGCCTGAACTTTACTAGACTGAAGATTTTTCTGCAGAGAAGATTTTAATATTATACCCAATAAGGCTTTGGTAGCCTCTGCAGCTTGAACAAAATCTTTGAGAATTTCAGGCACATGGAGATACATTGTTTTATGTGTGTTTGACTAAAGTAAACCCACTTTCCTCAAACCTAAAATAATTTAAGTGATTTCAACCTTTTGTGCATGCATTTGGAGAGTTGACAGTGTCAAGCTGCTGAGTTTTGACTAGGGATGTGTATTGGTGAAATTCTGGCGATACGATACGTGTCACGATATGTTGCGATGCATTCAGTCAGACGTTATTAGTAATTTTTTGGACTGAATTTATTGTAGGTATTTTCAATAAACAGTCCAAACTGATATTTAACATGTTTAAGAAAAGAAAATACACCAATGTTTGCATATGAATTCTTCCAAAAATTAGATACACAGCTTTTGAATATTGACATAATATCGCAGGAAAATATATTACAATATATCGCCATATCGATATTTTCTTACACCCCTAGTTTTGACTGTTGTCTTCTTTCTTGTTTCCATGAATAAAAATCCTTATTTTTAAATGAGCCATTTCCTGAATCATAATCTTTACTCACTCTTTTCTAAGCGGTAAGATTGTTGGTCACTTCAGACAGCCTTCCTGTACTGAGAAGTGATAAGAGATGATGAGCTAGAATAAAAAAACCTAAATCTTCAGATAAAAAAAAGAGGAGATGCTTAATGTCTATTATTTCCGAGATTAGATTACAGGTAAATAAAAAAAAAGCTTAGATTACAGACTTGAGCAGCAGTGAAAGCATCTGAGGAAACACTGCTTTTGCATTTTCTTTCATGAT